AGGATCCATCTGAAGTTATATACATGATGTAAAGCATCTTCAAATTATAAAAAAATGTACGAAAAATATATAAAAATATTATTACAATGTATAACTAACCAGTCGGTTTTGAACATTCTGGAGGTTTTACCTAAAAATTTAAAATAAATTTTAATAATAAATAATTAGAATAGTAATTCGCATATCAAATAATATACTACTTTAATCAATTAGTATTCACATTTAAATTACAGCCAATAAACAAACATATAATATTACAAAGCATGAATAAATAACACCAAATAGTTACGTAACATCATAATAATTTATTCATCATGCTTAAACAACAAATGTAATCATCATCACCATTGATATATATATATATATATATATATATATATATATATATATATATATTTAAGAAAATGTAAAACCGGTATCGTATTTGAATGTGTTACATAATACATCATTTTATTTCATGCATAATGTTTATCAAGCTTATCATTAAGATAAGTAATGTGTAGATAAGGAACAAATTGTAACGTCAAACAAGTCTATGTTATTATCCATATTAATTGATCAGTTATTGATTTTAAAGAAAAATAATAATAAGAAGAAGAAAGATTGAATCAGTGAAGAGTTCTCTTTACGGGGGATTCATTTTCAAGACTGTACAATCACAAGTATAAGTACATATTTCTCAGGATGACAATAATAATAATAATAATAATAATAATAATAATAAACTTCTGTTAGACATGGTGATAGTGAGGCAAAATAAATAAAGGTATTAAAAAATCTTTTTATAAAACAAGGAACGTTTAGTAATTCTTTGATTGTTAATGGCCTAAGTATTCAATATGGTTTCTTGGGGAAATTTTCCAGTAGTGTTTACGGAATACAACTATTAAGACATTAAATAAGCAAGATGTGTTCAGCGAAAAGTTCTCTTTACGGTGGATTCATTTTCGAGACTGTACAATCACAAGTATATATACTTATTTCCCGGGATAATAATAATAATAATCATAATGATAATAATAATAATAATAATAATAATAAGCTTCTGTTAGACATGGTAACAGTGAGGCAGAATAAACAAAGGTATGGAAAAAACTTTTTTTAATAATCAAGGGAACTAATAGTTGTTAAAGACTTAAATGTTCATTGTGAAGATAGATAGGGAAATTATCGCTAGGACAGAATGGTTTAGCATGACAAATTATAATCAGAAGAATAAAGGACACAAAAAAATAAATAAACGAATTAGGTATAAAAGATTTATGAAAAAGATGGAAGGGGGAAATAGATAACGTAAAGGAAGAAGAGTATCATCATCCTAGAAAATAAGTATATATATATGAGTGTACAGGATTGAAAATGAATTCGACGAAATATGAACTCTTCACTGAATCAATCTTTCTTATTTAATGTTTCAATGGGGTGTATTACGTTGATTAAAAAACACACACAACAAAAAACAACAGAGAAAATATTTAGTTTATAATTAGAAAGTTCAGTTTTATTCATGTTTATTTAACCACTAGACCACTAGACCTCGCGGGAGGCGGGATCGTGGATACGCACTGCTGAGGAGTCTCATACCAAAGACGAAACGGCTGTCCAGTGCTTCTAGGTTTTCCATGGTAATCTGGCTTCAATTGACTCATGATTTCAATTATTGAAACTTCTAAAAACCTCAATAAAACCACTTTTGATAATATCATACTGCTGTTCAAATTGTTAAAATAAATAAACGAAGTTTTTTTCAAGAAAAAAATTTCAAAAAGATTTGGAAAGAAAAGAAAAAGGACTGCATGGTAATTACTTGTATTTCCTCAAGCGACAAAATATTACATAATAAAATATTAGGACATAACAAAAGAAAAACGACCTTCTGTTAATGATAGGAAGTTAGGATAATAATGTGGGACAAAATGGAAAAAAGAAGAAGAGGAAATAGCAATGAAGAAATATGAAGAAGCGATATCATGTGATGGAAATGCAAAAGTCAAAATTCGGCAATCGAAAAAAAGCACAAACAATAAGTACCAGCAAAAAAAACAAGTAACACATAAAAAATTGAAAAAAAATTTAAAAACGTGGAAAAGCAGAGAAAAAACACACAAAAACAATGAAAAAAAGAGAACATAAGATAAGAAAAGACAGACAGAAAATACATTCTCTCACAAACACTAAGATCAAGTGAGTAGGTCACAAGTTACCAGGTGAACAATCCATGACAAGTGAAATGTCGCCTCACAAAAATTCAGAGAAGAAACAAACAGTCTCAGAATCACATTTATCCAAACACTAATACAATGCAAATGCATGATGTTTGTTAGGAGATGAGACTGAAGGAGCGTACTAGACAACTTGTTAACTAACGGGACATGCATGCAATAAGAGGCGCAACATCTGACAGTTTCCACGATAAAACCTCGAAAAATTCACCAGTTATTTCAAGACCGACTGAAGCGGGAGAACTTGCCATGCCACTAAGCCTAAGGCTGTGCATTGTGTGTATGCACATATCAGTAACTCGCCTCAGAAGGAACTTCTTCAACACTGACAACGTCAGACAGAGAAGGAGTAGTCGAGGAGACAACACCAGAAGCGACAGCGTCAGTGGTAGGACGTGTTACAGCTTCAACCTGTTCCGTTTCGTACACATCATAGACCGTCTCCTCCAGTGGAACAGCCTCACTGACAACACGTTCTTCAGCTGAGGACGTCAGGGATTCCATACGAGGTGACACCTCATCCACGGTCAAAGTCACCTGCTCCACCTCCATGGCAAAGTCTTCTGTCGCTGAGACCACGCTCTTCTCCTCCGTCACACCTAAGACCGAGACTGTCTCCGATTCCACTGGGGTCTCGTCCACCACAGCCTCCTTCACTGACACCAACTCAAACGTCTCCACCTCCACTTGTGTTTCGGAAACTGCAACACCTACTTCGCTCGGCTGCTCCACAACACGAGCACTATCCTGACGGTCGGATTCCTCCAACTCACCAACACCCTCTGAAACCCACTCCATCGTCTCTGGGACGGACTCCTTCTCCACCTCCTGTACAACCCGCTCCTCCATCTTAACAGTCACTGTCTCCTTGGATTCCGCCACCTGCTCAACAACCAACGTCTCCTGCTCCGCCACACTACCAGATTCCTCTGTCACTCCAACTGTGCTCTTCATGTCCGTCACCTCTACCACTCCTTTGCTAACAATTGAGACCGGGACTGTCTCCGATTCCACTGGGGTCTTTTCAACCACAGCCTCCTTCACTGAGACCTCAGGTGTCGCCACTTCAGTGGGCTTTTCAGAAACCGCCACACTCATTTCATTCGGCTGCTCCACAACACGAGCACTATCCTGACGGTCGGATTCCTCCAAATCACCAACACCCTCTGAAACCCACTCCATGGTCTGTGACACAGACTCCTTCCCTTCTTGAACAATGACCTCGGCGGTCTTCGCCGTCACTGTCTCTCCGGCTTCCGTTACCTGCTGGTATACAAAAGAACGACATTATGAATATGACGTGTTTGTCTCAAGTGTCAGCATTCGGGGAAACAAAATCAAGCGGTGGGATCAAACTGACATCTTATCAGAGGCGACAGGATGCGAAAGTACTACACATAAGTCTTTTAAACACTAAGCACTGTCTAACACACTTCACTAATCACCTCTTACACATTCACTTGACAAGAAACTCAGAGCCACACTTATCATCCATGATTCAGTCAGCTTCACAGATGTCGCTTATAACCGACGTCAACGCAGCACTATCACATACAAACGTTTCACCGGATTCAAACAATTACAATTATCAGTGTCACATACTAAAGGCAACATCATGAGAGAATGGGTTCAGCAACCAACTATGCAACACCGAAATACAATCAAACCTGTCATTCTTTCAGGCAATTCCACACACGACAAGGTGTCCTCATCTATACCCTCTATTTAGCCAATCGTCATTCTTCACACACAGAACAACATCAACAAAACCACATGCAAGCCAATTATATTGTCTTCCACAGACAATCCACCAACGCTAAACACTTTTGTTCCTCATCATTAAAAATCCTATATCTACACACAACAACACAAAGACGACATACCAATATCAGACATGGAACGGTTCTAACCTGTCGACATCTTTATCATTCATGCACATCACCACTATTAAACACAAACAGTCATCATCTAAAACCGATTATCTCGACATTTATTTATTGGTGGATTTTGCAGCTACACATGCTCCCATCACTTGAATATCGAAATCACACACAACTCAATAACAGACTACTCATCAGATTCACAATCAGAAAATCAACCACCATATCACATTTGATAAATGACAACTAATAATACCGATCAAGTGGAAAAGAGTTAATATTTACCGGAAAACCAAATGTCAGATCGAACAATCCAGTAAATGTTACCTATAATACTAACAATAAATCCATTCCAACTCACAACACCAACATCATCATCAACATCAACATCATCAACCACGACACCATCATCAACCCAAACATCATCATCAACATCATCATCAAACACAACAACAACAACAAAATACCACAAAATACCACAAACAAACACGTTTCAAACACAACATCCAACAAGTGTCAGTCATATGGAGTAGGTCACAAATACATTCTCTCACAAACACTAAGATCAAGTGAGTAGGTCACAAGTTACCAGGTGAACAATCCATGACAAGTGAAATGTCGCCTCACAAAAATTCAGAGAAGAAACAAACAGTCTCAGAATCACATTTATCCAAACACTAATACAATGCAAATGCATGATGTTTGTTAGGAGATGAGACTGAAGGAGCGTACTAGACAACTTGTTAACTAACGGGACATGCATGCAATAAGAGGCGCAACATCTGACAGTTTCCACGATAAAACCTCGAAAAATTCACCAGTTATTTCAAGACCGACTGAAGCGGGAGAACTTGCCATGCCACTAAGCCTAAGGCTGTGCATTGTGTGTATGCACATATCAGTAACTCGCCTCAGAAGGAACTTCTTCAACACTGACAACGTCAGACAGAGAAGGAGTAGTCGAGGAGACAACACCAGAAGCGACAGCGTCAGTGGTAGGACGTGTTACAGCTTCAACCTGTTCCGTTTCGTACACATCATAGACCGTCTCCTCCAGTGGAACAGCCTCACTGACAACACGTTCTTCAGCTGAGGACGTCAGGGATTCCATACGAGGTGACACCTCATCCACGGTCAAAGTCACCTGCTCCACCTCCATGGCAAAGTCTTCTGTCGCTGAGACCACGCTCTTCTCCTCCGTCACACCTAAGACCGAGACTGTCTCCGATTCCACTGGGGTCTCGTCCACCACAGCCTCCTTCACTGACACCAACTCAAACGTCTCCACCTCCACTTGTGTTTCGGAAACTGCAACACCTACTTCGCTCGGCTGCTCCACAACACGAGCACTATCCTGACGGTCGGATTCCTCCAACTCACCAACACCCTCTGAAACCCACTCCATCGTCTCTGGGACGGACTCCTTCTCCACCTCCTGTACAACTCGCTCCTCCATCTTAACAGTCACTGTCTCCTTGGATTCCGCCACCTGCTCAACAACCAACGTCTCCTGCTCCGCCACACTACCAGATTCCTCTGTCACTCCAACTGTGCTCTTCATGTCCGTCACCTCTACCACTCCTTTGCTAACAATTGAGACCGGGACTGTCTCCGATTCCACTGGGGTCTTTTCAACCACAGCCTCCTTCACTGAGACCTCAGGTGTCGCCACTTCAGTGGGCTTTTCAGAAACCGCCACACTCACTTCATTCGGCTGCTCCACAACACGAGCACTATCCTGACGGTCGGATTCCTCCAAATCACCAACACCCTCTGAAACCCACTCCATGGTCTGTGACACAGACTCCTTCCCTTCTTGAACAATGACCTCGGCGGTCTTCGCCGTCACTGTCTCTCCGGCTTCCGTTACCTGCTGGTATACAAAAGAACGACATTATGAATATGACGTGTTTGTCTCAAGTGTCAGCATTCGGGGAAACAAAATCAAGCGGTGGGATCAAACTGACATCTTATCAGAGGCGACAGGATGCGAAAGTACTACACATAAGTCTTTTAAACACTAAGCACTGTCTAACACACTTCACTAATCACCTCTTACACATTCACTTGACAAGAAACTCAGAGCCACACTTATCATCCATGACTCAGTCAGCTTCACAGATGTCGCTTATAACCGACGTCAACGCAGCACTATCACATACAAACGTTTCACCGGATTCAAACAATTACAATTATCAGTGTCACATACTAAAGGCAACATCATGAGAGAATGGGTTCAGCAACCAACTATGCAACACCGAAATACAATCAAACCTGTCATTCTTTCAGGCAATTCCACACACGACAAGGTGTCCTCATCTATACCCTCTATTTAGCCAATCGTCATTCTTCACACACAGAACAACATCAACAAAACCACATGCAAGCCAATTATATTGTCTTCCACAGACAATCCACCAACGCTAAACACTTTTGTTCCTCATCATTAAAAATCCTATATCTACACACAACAACACAAAGACGACATACCAATATCAGACATGGAACGGTTCTAACCTGTCGACATCTTTATCATTCATGCACATCACCACTATTAAACACAAACAGTCATCATCTAAAACCGATTATCTCGACATTTATTTATTGGTGGATTTTGCAGCTACACATGCTCCCATCACTTGAATATCGAAATCACACACAACTCAATAACAGACTACTCATCAGATTCACAATCAGAAAATCAACCACCATATCACATTTGATAAATGACAACTAATAATACCGATCAAGTGGAAAAGAGTTAATATTTACCGGAAAACCAAATGTCAGATCGAACAATCCAGTAAATGTTACCTATAATACTAACAATAAATCCATTCCAACTCACAACACCAACATCATCATCATCATCAACATCATCAACCACGACACCATCATCAACCCAAACATCATCATCAACATCATCATCAAACACAACAACAACAACAAAATACCACAAAATACCACAAACAAACACGTTTCAAACACAACATCCAACAAGTGTCAGTCATATGGAGTAGGTCACAAATACATTCTCTCACAAACACTAAGATCAAGTGAGTAGGTCACAAGTTACCAGGTGAACAATCCATGACAAGTGAAATGTCGCCTCACAAAAATTCAGAGAAGAAACAAACAGTCTCAGAATCACATTTATCCAAACACTAATACAATGCAAATGCATGATGTTTGTTAGGAGATGAGACTGAAGGAGCGTACTAGACAACTTGTTAACTAACGGGACATGCATGCAATAAGAGGCGCAACATCTGACAGTTTCCACGATAAAACCTCGAAAAATTCACCAGTTATTTCAAGACCGACTGAAGCGGGAGAACTTGCCATGCCACTAAGCCTAAGGCTGTGCATTGTGTGTATGCACATATCAGTAACTCGCCTCAGAAGGAACTTCTTCAACACTGACAACGTCAGACAGAGAAGGAGTAGTCGAGGAGACAACACCAGAAGCGACAGCGTCAGTGGTAGGACGTGTTACAGCTTCAACCTGTTCCGTTTCGTACACATCATAGACCGTCTCCTCCAGTGGAACAGCCTCACTGACAACACGTTCTTCAGCTGAGGACGTCAGGGATTCCATACGAGGTGACACCTCATCCACGGTCAAAGTCACCTGCTCCACCTCCATGGCAAAGTCTTCTGTCGCTGAGACCACGCTCTTCTCCTCCGTCACACCTAAGACCGAGACTGTCTCCGATTCCACTGGGGTCTCGTCCACCACAGCCTCCTTCACTGACACCAACTCAAACGTCTCCACCTCCACTTGTGTTTCGGAAACTGCAACACCTACTTCGCTCGGCTGCTCCACAACACGAGCACTATCCTGACGGTCGGATTCCTCCAACTCACCAACACCCTCTGAAACCCACTCCATCGTCTCTGGGACGGACTCCTTCTCCACCTCCTGTACAACCCGCTCCTCCATCTTAACAGTCACTGTCTCCTTGGATTCCGCCACCTGCTCAACAACCAACGTCTCCTGCTCCGCCACACTACCAGATTCCTCTGTCACTCCAACTGTGCTCTTCATGTCCGTCACCTCTACCACTCCTTTGCTAACAATTGAGACCGGGACTGTCTCCGATTCCACTGGGGTCTTTTCAACCACAGCCTCCTTCACTGAGACCTCAGGTGTCGCCACTTCAGTGGGCTTTTCAGAAACCGCCACACTCACTTCATTCGGCTGCTCCACAACACGAGCACTATCCTGACGGTCGGATTCCTCCAAATCACCAACACCCTCTGAAACCCACTCCATGGTCTGTGACACAGACTCCTTCCCTTCTTGAACAATGACCTCGGCGGTCTTCGCCGTCACTGTCTCTCCGGCTTCCGTTACCTGCTGGTATACAAAAGAACGACATTATGAATATGACGTGTTTGTCTCAAGTGTCAGCATTCGGGGAAACAAAATCAAGCGGTGGGATCAAACTGACATCTTATCAGAGGCGACAGGATGCGAAAGTACTACACATAAGTCTTTTAAACACTAAGCACTGTCTAACACACTTCACTAATCACCTCTTACACATTCACTTGACAAGAAACTCAGAGCCACACTTATCATCCATGATTCAGTCAGCTTCACAGATGTCGCTTATAACCGACGTCAACGCAGCACTATCACATACAAACGTTTCACCGGATTCAAACAATTACAATTATCAGTGTCACATACTAAAGGCAACATCATGAGAGAATGGGTTCAGCAACCAACTATGCAACACCGAAATACAATCAAAACTGTCATTCTTTCAGGCAATTCCACACACGACAAGGTGTCCTCATCTATACCCTCTATTTAGCCAATCGTCATTCTTCACACACAGAACAACATCAACAAAACCACATGCAAGCCAATTATATTGTCTTCCACAGACAATCCACCAACGCTAAACACTTTTGTTCCTCATCATTAAAAATCCTATATCTACACACAACAACACAAAGACGACATACCAATATCAGACATGGAACGGTTCTAACCTGTCGACATCTTTATCATTCATGCACATCACCACTATTAAACACAAACAGTCATCATCTAAAACCGATTATCTCGACATTTATTTATTGGTGGATTTTGCAGCTACACATGCTCCCATCACTTGAATATCGAAATCACACACAACTCAATAACAGACTACTCATCAGATTCACAATCAGAAAATCAACCACCATATCACATTTGATAAATGACAACTAATAATACCGATCAAGTGGAAAAGAGTTAATATTTACCGGAAAACCAAATGTCAGATCGAACAATCCAGTAAATGTTACCTATAATACTAACAATAAATCCATTCCAACTCACAACACCATCATCATCATCATCATCAACATCATCAACCACGACACCATCATCAACCCAAACATCATCATCAACATCATCATCAAACACAACAACAACAACAAAATACCACAAAATACCACAAACAAACACGTTTCAAACACAACATCCAACAAGTGTCAGTCATATGGAGTAGGTCACAAATACATTCTCTCACAAACACTAAGATCAAGTGAGTAGGTCACAAGTTACCAGGTGAACAATCCATGACAAGTGAAATGTCGCCTCACAAAAATTCAGAGAAGAAACAAACAGTCTCAGAATCACATTTATCCAAACACTAATACAATGCAAATGCATGATGTTTGTTAGGAGATGAGACTGAAGGAGCGTACTAGACAACTTGTTAACTAACGGGACATGCATGCAATAAGAGGCACAACATCTGACAGTTTCCACGATAAAACCTCGAAAAATTCACCAGTTATTTCAAGACCGACTGAAGCGGGAGAACTTGCCATGCCACTAAGCCTAAGGCTGTGCATTGTGTGTATGCACATATCAGTAACTCGCCTCAGAAGGAACTTCTTCAACACTGACAACGTCAGACAGAGAAGGAGTAGTCGAGGAGACAACACCAGAAGCGACAGCGTCAGTGGTAGGACGTGTTACAGCTTCAACCTGTTCCGTTTCGTACACATCATAGACCGTCTCCTCCAGTGGAACAGCCTCACTGACAACACGTTCTTCAGCTGAGGACGTCAGGGATTCCATACGAGGTGACACCTCATCCACGGTCAAAGTCACCTGCTCCACCTCCATGGCAAAGTCTTCTGTCGCTGAGACCACGCTCTTCTCCTCCGTCACACCTAAGACCGAGACTGTCTCCGATTCCACTGGGGTCTCGTCCACCACAGCCTCCTTCACTGACACCAACTCAAACGTCTCCACCTCCACTTGTGTTTCGGAAACTGCAACACCTACTTCGCTCGGCTGCTCCACAACACGAGCACTATCCTGACGGTCGGATTCCTCCAACTCACCAACACCCTCTGAAACCCACTCCATCGTCTCTGGGACGGACTCCTTCTCCACCTCCTGTACAACTCGCTCCTCCATCTTAACAGTCACTGTCTCCTTGGATTCCGCCACCTGCTCAACAACCAACGTCTCCTGCTCCGCCACACTACCAGATTCCTCTGTCACTCCAACTGTGCTCTTCATGTCCGTCACCTCTACCACTCCTTTGCTAACAATTGAGACCGGGACTGTCTCCGATTCCACTGGGGTCTTTTCAACCACAGCCTCCTTCACTGAGACCTCAGGTGTCGCCACTTCAGTGGGCTTTTCAGAAACCGCCACACTCACTTCATTCGGCTGCTCCACAACACGAGCACTATCCTGACGGTCGGATTCCTCCAAATCACCAACACCCTCTGAAACCCACTCCATGGTCTGTGACACAGACTCCTTCCCTTCTTGAACAATGACCTCGGCGGTCTTCGCCGTCACTGTCTCTCCGGCTTCCGTTACCTGCTGGTATACAAAAGAACGACATTATGAATATGACGTGTTTGTCTCAAGTGTCAGCATTCGGGGAAACAAAATCAAGCGGTGGGATCAAACTGACATCTTATCAGAGGCGACAGGATGCGAAAGTACTACACATAAGTCTTTTAAACACTAAGCACTGTCTAACACACTTCACTAATCACCTCTTACACATTCACTTGACAAGAAACTCAGAGCCACACTTATCATCCATGATTCAGTCAGCTTCACAGATGTCGCTTATAACCGACGTCAACGCAGCACTATCACATACAAACGTTTCACCGGATTCAAACAATTACAATTATCAGTGTCACATACTAAAGGCAACATCATGAGAGAATGGGTTCAGCAACCAACTATGCAACACCGAAATACAATCAAAACTGTCATTCTTTCAGGCAATTCCACACACGACAAGGTGTCCTCATCTATACCCTCTATTTAGCCAATCGTCATTCTTCACACACAGAACAACATCAACAAAACCACATGCAAGCCAATTATATTGTCTTCCACAGACAATCCACCAACGCTAAACACTTTTGTTCCTCATCATTAAAAATCCTATATCTACACACAACAACACAAAGACGACATACCAATATCAGACATGGAACGGTTCTAACCTGTCGACATCTTTATCATTCATGCACATCACCACTATTAAACACAAACAGTCATCATCTAAAACCGATTATCTCGACATTTATTTATTGGTGGATTTTGCAGCTACACATGCTCCCATCACTTGAATATCGAAATCACACACAACTCAATAACAGACTACTCATCAGATTCACAATCAGAAAATCAACCACCATATCACATTTGATAAATGACAACTAATAATACCGATCAAGTGGAAAAGAGTTAATATTTACCGGAAAACCAAATGTCAGATCGAACAATCCAGTAAATGTTACCTATAATACTAACAATAAATCCATTCCAACTCACAACACCAACATCATCATCAACATCATCATCACAAACATCATCATCAACATCATCATCAAACACAACAACAACAACAACAACAAAATACCAAAAAATACCACAAACAAACACGTTTCAAACACAACATCCAACAAGTGTCAGTCATATGGAGTAGGTCACAAATACATTCTCTCACAAACACTAAGATCAAGTGAGTAGGTCACAAGTTACCAGGTGAACAATCCATGACAAGTGAAATGTCGCCTCACAAAAATTCAGAGAAGAAACAAACAGTCTCAGAATCACATTTATCCAAACACTAATACAATGCAAATGCATGATGTTTGTTAGGAGATGAGACTGAAGGAGCGTACTAGACAACTTGTTAACTAACGGGACATGCATGCAATAAGAGGCGCAACATCTGACAGTTTCCACGATAAAACCTCGAAAAATTCACCAGTTATTTCAAGACCGACTGAAGCGGGAGAACTTGCCATGCCACTAAGCCTAAGGCTGTGCATTGTGTGTATGCACATATCAGTAACTCGCCTCAGAAGGAACTTCTTCAACACTGACAACGTCAGACAGAGAAGGAGTAGTCGAGGAGACAACACCAGAAGCGACAGCGTCAGTGGTAGGACGTGTTACAGCTTCAACCTGTTCCGTTTCGTACACATCATAGACCGTCTCCTCCAGTGGAACAGCCTCACTGACAACACGTTCTTCAGCTGAGGACGTCAGGGATTCCATACGAGGTGACACCTCATCCACGGTCAAAGTCACCTGCTCCACCTCCATGGCAAAGTCTTCTGTCGCTGAGACCACGCTCTTCTCCTCCGTCACACCTAAGACCGAGACTGTCTCCGATTCCACTGGGGTCTCGTCCACCACAACCTCCTTGAATGAAAGATTATGTGATGTCTCCATTTTGTTTGTTTCATCAGTTTTTTCTTCAATTTTTGTGGCATTGTGTGTTTCTTCCATCTTCGTGGTTTTTGTTTTTTCTTGATCTTTTTTTATCCTTAGTTCTGTTATTTCATGTTCTTTGTCTTTACTTTGCTCTTTTATTTTTTGTTCGGTCGAATCTGAACTTATATTTTCCATTGATTGAGTTTGGTTTTCTTTTTCATTCGATTTTTCTTTTTCTTCCTTTGTTCTGACTTTGGCATCGAGAGCTTTTAATTCGGTTATATTTACATCTGAAACCGCGGCTAAGGAAACGTCATGTAAAGAAATTTCTGTGACACTTGGGATCGATTGAGCCTTGCCAGCTTCTTCTACGCTTATACTTGTTTCATCAATGCTCACAGAATCATGAGGTATAAGAACATCCAAAACAACTACATGTGTTGGTGTAACTCCTTCATCGAGCAATAACTCATCATCACTAATCTCTAGCGGTTCTTCCAAACTGATTTCGAATTCAGTCTCCTCTATGATGTGTTCATAAATCGCCGCTTGTGGTATTTCTGGTAGAGTTTCAATCATTGAATACATTTCCGTTTTTTCAGTTTGCACTATATTAACAACTACTTCTTGTTTAAGTAACTCTACACCTTCGACCGTAGATACAACTGCTTTATCACCTGAAATATCAGTAACAACGTTCAAAACATCTTCAACAATTGATTCTTTCTGATCTTCTGACTTTAAAATTGTAGGTTCATTTCTTACCTCTACCAATACAACTACTTCAGTTTGACTAACAGCCATACCAACAGTATTCTGGACTTCAACAGAATAAATTCCTGAATCTTCAGGAAATGCTTCCGATATTGTCAATTCACAAACACCTGTTTCTGGAGTATAGAACATTAAAACATCCATTACGTCTGGTTGAAGTATATTTCCATTATGTTTCCAAATCACTTCTTCAGGTTGAGGATTTCCTTTAACAGTAGCTGTTAAATAAATTTCTTCACCTTCAGAAATATTTAATGGTGTTAACTCGTGAACAAAAATTGGTGAAATGTATTTGTCCTCTTTTTCACCAGCTGATGATTCAATGGAGATGTTCATAAAAATAAAAAGAATAAACAAAAAAATTATTCATCGACATTTCATAAAATTAATTAAATAAAAAGTATTTATTAAAATAACAATTATACAATCAAATAATCATACAATATTACGTAAGTTTCGACAAATAGAATCTAAAACAAAACGCATATCACAAAATGAAAAAGACATCAAGCAAGGGCACAAACACATTCTACAAAAAACTGAAGATAAGCGATAGAAAGTAATACGAAAAAACGAAAAGCGACACAAAGAACAATGATAAAAACAATGAAAAGATTAGAAGTGGAATAAAAAAACAGAGAACAGTATACAGAGGATATTGCGATTATTCAATATGAAAATCCATCACCGTAACTACCGACCAGAACAATCAAGTATACTCAGCACTATCAGTGATTACCACCACCTAACGTGGTCAATCAATATACTCAGTGAAATCCCTCTCACAACACAAAGTTTGAAAGTTCAATTAAGTGATTCTCGTGCTCTGTCTCACTATAACACAATTTTTCACAAGTCTAAATGATCTAGAGAAATGGTAGAAACTAGAAATCGCTGTAAAGTTACTTCTTATTAACTGCTTATCACCTCATCTTAGTTCATTTCACTCACCTTCAATTGTAACAATTGAGCCAGATGAAATTGTTTTGGTCATTTGTTGTTTGGTCTCAGCTTCAATCACCTCACCATGAACTTTGCAAGTGTATTCACCAGAATCCGATGGAACCACTTGATGTACTATTAGACGAGCTACTCCACTATCTTCAAAATAGATCATTTCATTACGGTCAGATTGAGTTAATTCCTTGCCATCAACTTCCCAGACAACTTGAATTGGCTTTAAGTCTGCTTGAATTTGACATTCCAGTCTACAAATAAATATAATAATGGAATACTTGTTTATGTTTCAATGCATCGTGCTTTCGACATTTCGATTGATAACAGTGTAATATGAGACTAGGTACCTAATGGTCAATGCATTCGTCATTCACTAATTATCAACATTCAGCTGAGATCGAACTCATACACATCATACACGTCCTGTGTAACATGTATATTTCAATAGACATCCATGAAGTTGAAATTCACATAGTTGAATGATAAATACTAGATTCCAAGTGCATCGTAAAAATCAACATCGATGCATATCCATTTGTCCCATGGACCCCATATACGAACGAAACACAATCTGGTCACTGCTCCTACTCATCACATACAACACATTTCTACATTTTTCATTTTCACTAATAAAGTGTCTCAACTAATCTATCCACTTCTAACCAATTACTTGTGTCAGTTGTTTGCGACAACTTATCAATCAACCAAGGAAGTTCTCACTCAATTTCAATTTCACACTTATCATATTTACCATTTACATATCCCACATCAACAAGAAAAACGCGTTTGGTTAGATGTTGCATATGTCAGTATTGTTCAGGTCAGGTCAGGTCAGGTCAGTTCGGTTCGGTTGGTCACATTATCATCCAAACTTTTTTGGTGGTTTCAATCAAGCACTTTCACATTCCAGTCAATTCAATTGGCAATTTTTACTGGCTGTGTGAACTTTCTTCCAAGGATGCCTGTTCTCCTTACGATTCACACTAATTAGTCAAACACACAAATGAAAACTGGTGTCTGAAGCCACGATTCTATCACACTGCATATTAATCGATATCATGTCATCATCAATATTACATGAGAAAAAAATAAACGCAAGGCGATAACTCACTCAAGATCCTTATGGTCTTGTACAATGTGGATATTCGGTGTTACTGGTTGTAAGAAGGTGAGAACCTTCTCAGTTACTGTTGGCACAACTTCTGTCGTTTCAGGAACTGATTTCAAAGAACAAAACAAATTGAAATTTATTCACATTGTTTATATCACATTACAAGATGGAAGAAATCGCTGACAGATTTATGCGAAAACACATTTCAACATAATCATCAAGCTATAATAACGGGGTATATTGAGTGAATTTTGTCCAGCGACTGCTTGACTGACTGCTTGACAAATGTGCTTGTGTGTTGTGAATAGCAAACTCACTAATCTCTACACATACACACACACATTCACTCTGAACATTCAACCAATCACACCAACAACGTGACCAGACCATAATTTCTGTCCACCAATATTCCCTCGTTGTTCTCTGTAATCACCATCGTAAAACAAAACAAAAGGCTAACTGCCTTCTAACAATGTGAATAGAAAACTCTCAAACCACTGAGGAGTAATCGATATCTGCTAATAACACTTTTGATAACGGCTTAGATGTAGTTCTAGTGGATCGGACCATCCACATCAACTAAACACTAGTTATTTTCTCAAATTACACCATGTTCCTTTCTATATATAGACCAGTTAATAGAAACATTATTGGACTGGACGGAAAGGAATTTACTGAAGTTCCTAAACAGTATTTTTACAAATGTCTTAAACCGACAGACTCAACAAAAACACGGCTGTACGTTCCACTCAACCATATACAACAGACGGCTTTAAAGAATCTCTCTCTCATAAATGAGAACATAATCATGACAGAATATATATATATATATATATATTAATGGACATAGGAGAACACATCAGGATGACTGAGGAGCTATTGGAGAACTGAATTGTGTACTAATCAGTGCAAATCAATCCTTTCAGGAATCTGGATAACCGGGTTGATAGGACCTACCGCAATAACTCATTATGTTAGACCAATTAACGACACAGGACTTATGGCAAACACATTATACTGGAAATGTTCTCCCATGGTTCCGATAACATATACACCAAGAATTCCCCTACAATTAACTGTCTCACTACCTATGGTCCACACAAATATGTACAATCTGTCAACAGAAACGTCAACAACTCTAAAACATTCAGTGGAGTTCGACGACCACCCCATCAATCCTTCCAAACAACATAAGGGTTTGGTTAGGAATGCCCATAAATGCAGTAGCACACTGATGGTATTCTGTGATATTATAGCCTTATTCAGGTGACTTGAACTAAACTTGGCAAGCGAATAATAATAATAATAATAATAATAAACTTTATACCATCCAGTCAGTCACCAATGTAAGAAAAATTCAAAATCACACAAAGAACCAATGTCAAAGATTTATTGAGCTCATCCATCTGAGACTAACAATATGTGTCCAATTCAATAATCAAGTGTTGAAATAGACAAAAAGAATGTCAATTAGATCACTGATATCCAGACTCGTTGTGGAAGAAGTAGTGCACAGACTCGAAGATTTAATTTCACCATTGATCAAGACAACTATTTGGACCCGCTATGCGGATGTGGATAGCATGCTCACCACCGTCAAACGGAATGTGCTGAAAAGTACCCACAATTCAATTATTAACATCTTCGATGACATAAAATTCACAATGGGAATGCAGGCGAACAACTAACTAACCTTCCTCCACGTTCCAATCATCAGAATCAATACAGGACTGAAAAATCTGGTGTTTCGCAACACAACGCAAACACACCAAACTATCGACTACAATTGTAACAAATCAGACACTCACAAGGTCAACTAAGTTCAAGGCCTATTCAATAGGGTGAAGATACACTGCAGTACAACTACCTACCAGACATAGACATGAAAAGTGCACCTAATGATTATTGTTTGCAGTAAAGGATTGCTAAAAACCCTATTCAATCAGAAAATGCTTGTCACATTCAGCACTAGACACGAAGTCAAGTGTGAACTCTAACAGACGGATTGTCGTTTCAGATATAAAATTCATATCATAGATTACAACAAGATTTTCGTGACTGTTAGCAGTAGGCGTGATCCACAAGCTAAAAGAATCACTCCAATCGTTACCGTCTAAATCAGAGGAGACAACGGTACGGGAAGATAATGCAAATATTATTCACAAAACTGATTGTTCCGACTGCAAACAACATCACATCAGTGAAGTGGTCATCCTCTTCCTCTTCACATTCGCCTATATCAACGCAAATCGCATACCTATCAAAAGTCACCACTTATCTTAAACAACATCAGTTCGTTCGTGTAGACTACTGTGCACACAACTTCAACTGAGAAATCTTTCTAATGTTCGAGTCAGTCAACTCTAAATATACCGGAACGCTTCTGGATGCTCAACTGCATCCCATTCACCAAACAGTTAGCACACAGTAAGAGATGCAATTTATTAACTAATTAAAAGAATGATAAATAACAATGATGTCAGGAATCAGGTGAAAGAGAGAGGTGATAAGTGAGTGGCTATTGTAATGATTTAACCTGAACAATCCAGTATACTCAGCACTATCAGTGATAACCACCACCTAACGTGGTCAATCAATATACTCAGTGAAATCCCTCTCACAACACAAAGTTTGAAAGTTCAATTAAGTGATTCTCGTGCTCTGTCTCACTATAACACAATTTTTCACAAGTCTAAATGATCTAGAGAAATGGTAGAAACTAGAAATCGCTGTAAAGTTACTTCTTATTAACTGCTTATCACCTCATCTTAGTTCATTTCACTCACCTTCAATTGTAACAATTGAGCCAGATGAAATTGTTTTGGTCATTTGTTGTTTGGTCTCAGCTTCAATCACCTCACCATGAACTTTGCAAGTGTATTCACCAGAATCCGATGGAACCACTTGATGTACTATTAGACGAGCTACTCCACTATCTTCAAAATAGATCATTTCATTACGGTCAGATTGAGTTAATTCCTTGCCATCAACTTCCCAGACAACTTGAATTGGCTTTAAGTCTGCTTGAATTTGACATTCCAGTCTACAAATAAATATAATAATGGAATACTCGTTTATGTTTCAATGCATCGTGTTTTCGACATTTCGATTGATAACAGTGTAATATGAGACTAGGTACCTAATGGTCAATGCATTCGTCATTCACTAATTATCAACATTCAGCTGAGATCGAACTCATACACATCATACACGTCCTGTGTAACATGTATATTTCAATAGACATCCATGAAGTTGAAATTCACATAGTTGAATGATAAATACTAGATTCCAAGTGCATCGTAAAAATCAACATCGATGCATATCCATTTGTCCCATGGACCCCATATACGAACGAAACACAATCTGGTCACTGCTCCTACTCATCACATACAACACATTTCTACATTTTTCATTTTCACTAATAAAGTGTCTCAACTAATCTATCCACTTCTAACCAATTACTTGTGTCAGTTGTTTGCGACAACTTATCAATCAACCAAGGAAGTTCTCACTCAATTTCAATTTCACACTTATCATATTTACCATTTACATATCCCACATCAACAAGAAAAACGCGTTTGGTTAGATGTTGCATATGTCAGTATTGTTCAGGTCAGGTCAGGTCAGGTCAGTTCGGTTCGGTTGGTCACATTATCATCCAAACTTTTTTGGTGGTTTCAATCAAGCACTTTCACATTCCAGTCAATTCAATTGGCAATTTTTACTGGCTGTGTGAACTTTCTTCCAAGGATGCCTGTTCTCCTTACGATTCACACTAATTAGTCAAACACACAAATGAAAACTGGTGTCTCAAGCCACGATTCTATCACACTGCATATTAATCGATATCATGTCACCATCAATATTACATGAGAAAAAAATAAACGCAAGACGATAACTCACTCAAGATCCTTATGGTCTTGTACAATGTGGATATTCGGTGTTACTGGTTGTAAGAAGGTGAGAACCTTCTCAGTTACTGTTGGCACAACTTCTGTCGTTTCAGGAACTGATTTCAAAGAACAAAACAAATTGAAATTTATTCACATTGTTTATATCACATTACAAGATGGAAGAAATCGCTGACAGATTTATGCGAAAACACATTTCAACATAATCATCAAGCTATAATAACGGGGTATATTGAGTGAATTTTGTCCAGCGACTGCTTGACTGACTGCTTGACAAATGTGCTTGTGTGTTGTGAATAGCAAACTCACTAATCTCTACACATACACACACACATTCACTCTGAACATTCAACCAATCACACCAACAACGTGACCAGACCATAATTTCTGTCCACCAATATTCCCTCGTTGTTCTCTGTAATCACCATCGTAAAACAAAACAAAAGGCTAACTGCCTTCTAACAATGTGAATAGAAAACTCTCAAACCACTGAGGAGTAATCGATATCTGCTAATAACACTTTTGATAACGGCTTAGATGTAGTTCTAGTGGATCGGACCATCCACATCAACTAAACACTAGTTATTTTCTCAAATTACACCATGTTCCTTTCTATATATAGACCAGTTAATAGAAACATTATTGGACTGGACGGAAAGGAATTTACTGAAGTTCCTAAACAGTATTTTTACAAATGTCTTAAACCGACAGACTCAACAATAACACGGCTGTACGTTCCACTCAACCATATACAACAGACGGCTTTAAAGAATCTCTCTCTCATAAATGAGAACATAATCATGACAGAATATATATAAATATATATATATTAATGGACATAGGAGAACACATCAGGATGACTGAGGAGCTATTGGAGAACTGAATTGTGTACTAATCAGTGCAAATAAATCCTTTCAGGAATCTGGATAACCGGGTTGATAGGACCTACCGCAATAACTCATTATGTTAGACCAATTAACGACACAGGACTTATGGCAAACACATTATACTGGAAATGTTCTCCCATGGTTCCGATAACATATACACCAAGAATTCCCCTACAATTAACTGTCTCACTACCTATGGTCCACACAAATATGTACAATCTGTCAACAGAAACGTCAACAACTCTAAAACATTCAGTGGAGTTCGACGACCACCCCATCAATCCTTCCAAACAACATAAGGGTTTGGTTGGGAATGCCCATAAATGCAGTAGCACACTGATGGTATTCTGTGATATTATAGCCTTATTCAGGTGACTTGAACTAAACTTGGCAAGCGAATAATAATAATAATAATAATAATAATAATAATAAACTTTATACCATCCAGTCAGTCACCAATGTAAGAAAAATTCAAAATCACACAAAGAACCAATGTCAAAGATTTATTGAGCTCATCCATCTGAGACTAACAATATGTGTCCAATTCAATAATCAGGTGTTGAAACAGACAAAAAGAATGTCAATTAGATCACTGATATCCAGACTCGTTGTGGAAGAAGTAGTGCACAGACTCGAAGATTTAATTTCACCATTGATCAAGACAACTATTTGGACCCGCTATGCGGATGTGGATAGCATGCTCACCACCGTCAAACGGAATGTGCTGAAAAGTACCCACAATTCAATTATTAACATCTTCGATGACATAAAATTCACAATGGGAATGCAGGCGAACAACTAACTAACCTTCCTCCACGTTCCAATCATCAGAATCAATACAGGACTGAAAAATCTGGTGTTTCGCAACACAACACAAACACACCAAACTATCGACTACAATTGTAACAAATCAGACACTCACAAGGTCAACTAAGTTCAAGGCCTATTCAATAGGGTGAAGATACACTGCAGTACAACTACCTACCAGACATAGACATGAAAAGTCCACCTAATGATTATTGTTTGCAGTAAAGGATTGCTAAAAACCCTATTCAATCAGAAAATGCTTGTCACATTCAGCACTAGACACGAAGTCAAGTGTGAACTCTAACAGACGGATTGTCGTTTCAGATATAAAATTCATATCATAGATTACAACAAGATTTTCGTGACTGTTAGCAGTAGGCGTGATCCACAAGCTAAAAGAATCACTCCAATCGTTACCGTCTAAATCAGAGGAGACAACGGTACGGGAAGATAATGCAAATATTATTCACAAAACTGATTGTTCCGACTGCAAACAACATCACATCAGTGAAGTGGTCATCCTCTTCCTCTTCACATTCGCCTATATCAACGCAAATCGCATACCTATCAAAAGTCACCACTTATCTTAAACAACATCAGTTCGTTCGTGTAGACTACTGTGCACACAACTTCAACTGAGAAATCTTTCTAATGTTCGAGTCAGTCAACTCTAAATATACCGGAACGCTTCTGGATGCTCAACTGCATCCCATTCACCAAACAGTTAGCACACAGTAAGAGATGCAATTTATTAACTAATTAAAAGAATGATAAATAACAATGATGTCAGGAATCAGGTGAAAGAGAGAGGTGATAAGTGAGTGGCTATTGTAATGATTTAACCTGAACAATCCAGTATACTCAGCACTATCAGTGATAACCACCACCTAACGTGGTCAATCAATATACTCAGTGAAATCCCTCTCACAACACAAAGTTTGAAAGTTCAATTAAGTGATTCTCGTGCTCTGTCTCACTATAACACAATTTTTCACAAGTCTAAATGATCTAGAGAAATGGTAGAAACTAGAAATCGCTGTAAAGTTACTTCTTATTAACTGCTTATCACCTCATCTTAGTTCATTTCACTCACCTTCAATTGTAACAATTGAGCCAGATGAAATTGTTTTGGTCATTTGTTGTTTGGTCTCAGCTTCAATCACCTCACCATGAACTTTGCAAGTGTATTCACCAGAATCCGATGGAACCACTTGATGTACTATTAGACGAGCTACTCCACTATCTTCAAAATAGATCATTTCATTACGGTCAGATTGAGTTAATTCCTTGCCATCAACTTCCCAGACAACTTGAATTGGCTTTAAGTCTGCTTGAATTTGACATTCCAGTCTACAAATAAATATAATAATGGAATACTTGTTTATGTTTCAATGCATCGTGTTTTCGACATTTCGATTGATAACAGTGTAATATGAGACTAGGTACCTAATGGTCAATGCATTCGTCATTCACTAATTATCAACATTCAGCTGAGATCGAACTCATACACATCATACACGTCCTGTGTAACATGTATATTTCAATGGACATCCATGAAGTTGAAATTCACATAGTTGAATGATAAATACTAGATTCCAAGTGCATCGTAAAAATCAACATCGATGCATATCCATTTGTCCCATGGACCCCATATACGAACGAAACACAATCTGGTCACTGCTCCTACTCATCACATACAACACATTTCTACATTTTTCATTTTCACTAATAAAGTGTCTCAACTAATCTATCCACTTCTAACCAATTACTTGTGTGAGTTGTTTGCGACAACTTATCAATCAACCAAGGAAGTTCTCACTCAATTTCAATTTCACACTTATCATATTTACCATTTACATATCCCACATCAACAAGAAAAACGCGTTTGGTTAGATGTTGCATATGTCAGTATTGTTCAGGTCAGGTCAGGTCAGGTCAGTTCGGTTCGGTTGGTCACATTATCATCCAAACTTTTTTGGTGGTTTCAATCAAGCACTTTCACATTCCAGTCAATTCAATTGGCAATTTTTACTGGCTGTGTGAACTTTCTTCCAAGGATGCCTGTTCTCCTTACGATTCACACTAATTAGTCAAACACACAAATGAAAACTGGTGTCTGAAGCCACGATTCTATCACACTGCATATTAATCGATATCATGTCATCATCAATATTACATGAGAAAAAAATAAACGCAAGGCGATAACTCACTCAAGATCCTTATGGTCTTGTACAATGTGGATATTCGGTGTTACTGGTTGTAAGAAGGTGAGAACCTTCTCAGTTACTGTTGGCACAACTTCTGTCGTTTCAGGAACTGATTTCAAAGAACAAAACAAATTGAAATTTATTCACATTGTTTATATCACATTACAAGATGGAAGAAATCGCTGACAGATTTATGCGAAAACACATTTCAACATAATCATCAAGCTATAATAACGGGGTATATTGAGTGAATTTTGTCCAGCGACTGCTTGACTGACTGCTTGACAAATGTGCTTGTGTGTTGTGAATAGCAAACTCACTAATCTCTACACATACACACACACATTCACTCTGAACATTCAACCAATCACACCAACAACGTGACCAGACCATAATTTCTGTCCACCAATATTCCCTCGTTGTTCGCTGTAATCACCATCGTAAAACAAAACAAAAGGCTAACTGCCTTCTAACAATGTGAATAGAAAACTCTCAAACCACTGAGGAGTAATCGATATCTGCTAATAACACTTTTGATAACGGCTTAGATGTAGTTCTAGTGGATCGGACCATCCACATCAACTAAACACTAGTTATTTTCTCAAATTACACCATGTTCCTTTCTATATATAGACCAGTTAATAGAAACATTATTGGACTGGACGGAAAGGAATTTACTGAAGTTCCTAAACAGTATTTTTACAAATGTCTTAAACCGACAGACTCAACAAAAACACGGCTGTACGTTCCACTCAACCATATACAACAGACGGCTTTAAAGAAACTCTCTCTCATAAATGAGAACATAATCATGACAGAATATATATATATTTATATATATATATATTAATGGACATAGGAGAACACATCAGGATGACTGAGGAGCTATTGGAGAACTGAATTGTGTACTAATCAGTGCAAATCAATCCTTTCAGGAATCTGGATAACCGGGTTGATAGGACCTACCGCAATAACTCATTATGTTAGACCAATTAACGACACAGGACTTATGGCAAACACATTATACTGGAAATGTTCTCCCATGGTTCCGATAACATATACACCAAGAATTCCCCTACAATTAACTGTCTCACTACCTATGGTCCACACAAATATGTACAATCTGTCAACAGAAACGTCAACAACTCTAAAACATTCAGTGGAGTTCGACGACCACCCCATCAATCCTTCCAAACAACATAAGGGTTTGGTTAGGAATGCCCATAAATGCAGTAGCACACTGATGGTATTCTGTGATATTATAGCCTTATTCAGGTGACTTGAACTAAACTTGGCAAGCGAATAATAATAATAATAATAATAATAATAATAATAATAATAAACTTTATACCATCCAGTCAGTCACCAATGTAAGAAAAATTCAAAATCACACAAAGAACCAATGTCAAAGATTTATTGAGCTCATCCATCTGAGACTAACAATATGTGTCCAATTCAATAATCAAGTGTTGAAATAGACAAAAAGAATGTCAATTAGATCACTGATATCCAGACTCGTTGTGGAAGAAGTAGTGCACAGACTCGAAGATTTAATTTCACCATTGATCAAGACAACTATTTGGACCCGCTATGCGGATGTGGATAGCATGCTCACCACCGTCAAACGGAATGTGCTGAAAAGTACCCACAATTCAATTATTAACATCTTCGATGACATAAAATTCACAATGGGAATGCAGGCGAACAACTAACTAACCTTCCTCCACGTTCCAATCATCAGAATCAATACAGGACTGAAAAATCTGGTGTTTCGCAACACAACACAAACACACCAAACTATCGACTACAATTGTAACAAATCAGACACTCACAAGGTCAACTAAGTTCAAGGCCTATTCAATAGGGTGAAGATACACTGCAGTACAACTACCTACCAGACATAGACATGAAAAGTCCACCTAATGATTATTGTTTGCAGTAAAGGATTGCTAAAAACCCTATTCAATCAGAAAATGCTTGTCACATTCAGCACTAGACACGAAGTCAAGTGTGAACTCTAACAGACGGATTGTCGTTTCAGATATAAAATTCATATCATAGATTACAACAAGATTTTCGTGACTGTTAGCAGTAGGCGTGATCCACAAGCTAAAAGAATCACTCCAATCGTTACCGTCTAAATCAGAGGAGACAACGGTACGGGAAGATAATGCAAATATTATTCACAAAACTGATTGTTCCGACTGCAAACAACATCACATCAGTGAAGTGGTCATCCTCTTCCTCTTCACATTCGCCTATATCAACGCAAATCGCATACCTATCAAAAGTCACCACTTATCTTAAACAACATCAGTTCGTTCGTGTAGACTACTGTGCACACAACTTCAACTGAGAAATCTTTCTAATGTTCGAGTCAGTCAACTCTAAATATACCGGAACGCTTCTGGATGCTCAACTGCATCCCATTCACCAAACAGTTAGCACACAGTAAGAGATGCAATTTATTAACTAATTAAAAGAATGATAAATAACAATGATGTCAGGAATCAGGTGAAAGAGAGAGGTGATAAGTGAGTGGCTATTGTAATGATTTAACCTGAACAATCCAGTATACTCAGCACTATCAGTGATAACCACCACCTAACGTGGTCAATCAATATACTCAGTGAAATCCCTCTCACAACACAAATTTTGAAAGTTCAATTAAGTGATTCTCGTGCTCTGCCTCACTGTAACACAATTTTTCACAAGTCTAAATGATCTAGAGAAATGGTAGAAACTAGAAATCGCTGTAAAGTTACTTCTTATTAACTGCTTATCACCTCATCTTAGTTCATTTCACTCACCTTCAATTGTAACAATTGAGCCAGATGAAATTGTTTTGGTCATTTGTTGTTTGGTCTCAGCTTCAATCACCTCACCATGAACTTTGCAAGTGTATTCACCAGAATCCGATGGAACCACTTGATGTACTATTAGACGAGCTACTCCACTATCTTCAAAATAGATCATTTCATTACGGTCAGATTGAGTTAATTCCTTGCCATCAACTTCCCAGACAACTTGAATTGGCTTTAAGTCTGCTTGAATTTGACATTCCAGTCTACAAATAAATATAATAATGGAATACTTGTTTATGTTTCAATGCATCGTGCTTTCGACATTTCGATTGATAACAGTGTAATATGAGACTAGGTACCTAATGGTCAATGCATTCGTCATTCACTAATTATCAACATTCAGCTGAGATCGAACTCATACACATCATACACGTCCTGTGTAACATGTATATTTCAATGGACATCCATGAAGTTGAAATTCACATAGTTGAATGATAAATACTAGATTCCAAGTGCATCGTAAAAATCAACATCGATGCATATCCATTTGTCCCATGGACCCCATATACGAACGAAACACAATCTGGTCACTGCTCCTACTCATCACATACAACACATTTCTACATTTTTCATTTTCACTAATAAAGTGTCTCAACTAATCTATCCACTTCTAACCAATTACTTGTGTGAGTTGTTTGCGACAACTTATCAATCAACCAAGGAAGTTCTCACTCAATTTCAATTTCACACTTATCATATTTACCATTTACATATCCCACATCAACAAGAAAAACGCGTTTGGTTAGATGTTGCATATGTCAGTATTGTTCAGGTCAGGTCAGGTCAGGTCAGTTCGGTTCGGTTGGTCACATTATCATCCAAACTTTTTTGGTGGTTTCAATCAAGCACTTTCACATTCCAGTCAATTCAATTGGCAATTTTTACTGGCTGTGTGAACTTTCTTCCAAGGATGGCTGTTCTCCTTACGATTCACACTAATTAGTCAAACACACAAATGAAAACTGGTGTCTCAAGCCACGATTCTATCACACTGCATATTAATCGATATCATGTCATCATCAATATTACATGAGAAAAAAATAAACGCAAGGCGATAACTCACTCAAGATCCTTATGGTCTTGTACAATGTGGATATTCGGTGTTACTGGTTGTAAGAAGGTGAGAACCTTCTCAGTTACTGTTGGCACAACTTCTGTCGTTTCAGGAACTGATTTCAAAGAACAAAACAAATTGAAATTTATTCACATTGTTTATATCACATTACAAGATGGAAGAAATCGCTGACAGATTTATGCGAAAACACATTTCAACATAATCATCAAGCTATAATAACGGGTATATTGAGTGAATTTTGTCCAGCGACTGCTTGACTGACTGCTTGACAAATGTGCTTGTGTGTTGTGAATAGCAAACTCACTAATCTCTACACATACACACACACATTCACTCTGAACATTCAACCAATCACACCAACAACGTGACCAGACCATAATTTCTGTCCACCAATATTCCCTCGTTGTTCGCTGTAATCACCATCGTAAAACAAAACAAAAGGCTAACTGCCTTCTAACAATGTGAATAGAAAACTCGCAAACCACTGAGGAGTAATCGATATCTGCTAATAACACTTTTGATAACGGCTTAGATGTAGTTCTAGTGGATCGGACCATCCACATCAACTAAACACTAGTTATTTTCTCAAATTACGCCGGGTTCCTTTCCACATTTAGACCTTCTTTTTGTGATTTCATTAATTGTCATCCTACATTTTTCAGTTATTAATGGATTTCGTGGTTGCTTCACATATTATTGGAATATTTGTAAATCTTTTTCATCTATTTTCCTTTGTGTTTTATTTATTACGTATTGAACTCTATCAATATTAATTTTTATGGTTTTGGATTTTCTTAAATTATCTTATTTATCGTATGGGAACGAGGTTTTCTTCTTGGTTATAATTATGATATCTAAATAATCGCTTGCTGCTGCTGTAAGCGAATGAAGTGGTCTTATGCAAACATTTCCTATTTAAACCAGGTAATTCTGGTGAATATCTTTATGATAATTTAGTTGTAGGTTTGCATTTTCGTTTATTACATCAAGTCGTCTGATTATTTACAATTATGAGTCAACTTAATCTAGACCACCGTGGAAAACCTGGAAGCATTGGACGGCCGTTTCGTTCTATCATGTGACTCCTCAGCAGTGCGTGTTCACGACCTGGTTTCGTGAGATTCGAACCCAGGATGAAACGGCTGTCCAGTGCTTTCAGGTTTTCCACGGTGGTCTAGCTTCAATTTACTCATGATGCCAATTATTAAAATTACTATAATATCCATAAAAATCCCCTTCTGTTATTCACAATTAATTTCTGTGAAACGTGTTGCACATTACATTCTGTGATTACTCATGAATGTTAAAATAATTTTATAGTAAACCATTTTGTTATCCTTATTAATTGTACTTGGGTTTTTTTAACGAGATAAGTCTACTTAAGTCAGTATTCAGTATGGAGAATGATTTGTTACTTTTCACTACTTTGTAACTGAGATTAGTTCGAGAACATGTTGACTGAATTGAAATTTATGGTTAGTGACTTATCAAGTCACTACGACCTACGTTATTAACTTGATATCAGCCCATTCTAGACCATATATATACATGTAATAAACGGGAAATTTGTCATTAAACAATATTTAAGTAATCACTGTAATTTTGTAGCATACCTTCTATATCCACAACAGTACTCGTACTGATTGTTTTCTGTAATGGCTCAACTTGTGAAGGTTGAAGATGAGCTTGTGTAGCAGTACAAGTGTATTCACCCATATCTTGAGGTGTAATATTATGTATAATTAGTATAGCTAAACCACTTTCATATTCATAGACCTGTTCGATACGATCAGAAATATTTAATTCAATACCTTCATGGCTCCATTTAATAGACGCTGGTTGTTGATCTGTTATTAACTGACATTCTAATCTAAATGTTTAATGATAGATAATTAAAATAAATTAAGAATAAGCTTAGTTTAAATGTTGTGTTTGTTACCGAGTGATTTCAGTTGAAGCATCATTAAAAATCAGGAAGCTCTGGACGGATAGTTGGGAATTTACCAATGGGTACAAACCTATTGGTTTTAGTGGTTAAGTGCTGACTGTGGACAATGAAGATCCTGATTAGGTGTGTAATTCTAGGGAGCCCCATACTAAAACGAGACAGCTGTTCAGTACATCCTAGTTCTCGATGGTGCTATGGCTCAAATAAATCATCAGCGAATACAACATACAAAACTTACTGAAGTTAAGGACTAGTTGTTTACCTGTTAGATGGAAATCAAACATTTAAAAATAGATAGCTAAGAAATCTTCACAATGTCGTTTATGAGTGCTGATAGTAATATACGTAGGACAGTCTTATTGTTGAGATTTTAAAGAAATGTAATTTATCTGAACACCTTGTTTACCCTTATACACTGAGGTATGTTAGACAGGTATAGTGAGTGCCTATCGTCCTAACTTTCATTCGAGGGTATGTTAAGAGTAGAATAAAATACACGGCAGTTAGATTTTTCAGTCATATTTAAGACTCGACTGTCTATACCCAGATTTTTACTAATATATATTATAATACTTAAATCAGATATCAGACGTCAGAACAATATATACTAGATTTCTAAGTAACAATAGTGATCACTTATTTAAGTTTTCCTTACTGCTGAAGCCTGAAATTTTTGCTTTTAGATGAACAAAGATAATCCTGACCAAACAACAAACTTCATAATTTATGAGTGAGGAAGATAGTGATTGGTTGTTTACTTTGTCAAACAAGTAGATAATCTGATAAGTAATACAAGTGGTACATATTTTCATGTCCTTGTCATTATTTGTTATTATCGGTTGTTGAAGTGAAAATATACGTTCTAGTCAGACCAGTCACGTGTTCTTGATCTGAGTTGCGTTGTTATCTCGCAAAGTGGGCACTGGCAAGATATCTACGGTAGATATTCGTAAGCGAGAAAACCAAGCTATATTTTGCTTCAGCTGACAGATGCATTTCAAGTAAGGACCGGAGTCAGGCAAGGCTGTTCACTCTCTCCCTTCCACTTTCTTCTGGTGGTTGACTGGATTATGAAGACCTCGACATCTGAGGGAAAGCACGGAGTACAATGGACAGCTCAGAATCAGTTGGACGATTGGGACTACGCAGATGACCTAGCCATCCTATCCCATACACAAGAACAAATGCAGATGAAGACAACTAGTGCGGCAGGAGCCTTTGCATCAGTAGGCCTCAACATACACAAAGGAAGAAGCAATATGCTAAATACAACACGGAGAACATCAAACCAATCTCACTTGATGGAGAAACTCTGGAAGAGGTGGAATCCTTCACATATCTGGGTAGCATCATTGATAAACAAGGAGGATCTGATACAAACGTAAAGGAGAGGATTGGCAAAGCAAGGACAGTATTCCTACAGATGCAGGACATATGCAACTTCAAAAACCAGTCAAACAATATCAAAGTCTCAATCTTCAATGCGAACGTCAAGACAGATCTACTGTACGGAGCTGAAACTTCGAGAACTACTACAAACATCATTAAAGGGTACAAGTATTCCTAAACATTTGTCTTCTTAAGATACTCAATATTCGTTGACCGGATACCATCAGCAATAGTCTACTGTGGGAGAGAACAAACCAACTTCCAGCTGAACAGGAAATTAGGAAAGGATGTTGTAGGTGGATAGGACACATATCGGGGAAGTCACCAAACTGCATCACGAAGCAAGCGCTAACTTGGAATCCTGAAGGGAAACGAACAATACGAAGGTCGAAGTATACACTGCGTCGGAAATTAGAAGCAGACATGTAAAGGATGAATGACAACTGCGGAAGAATTGAAAAGGATTGCCAATGACAAGGTTGGATAGAGAGTGATGGAGGGAGTCTTTTGCCCCTCCACGAGGATTAACAGACGTAATTTAGTAAGTAACTAAGTATGTATGTATGTATGTAAGTAAGTAAGTAAGTAAGTAAAAGATTTGATCATTCTAAAAATCGGTAACTGAATGCACCTCATATTTCTTCAGTAGTGAGACTATAATTTATGGACGACAATTGAGCGACTCTAAAGTGACTTTGAGAGTGTCTACCTACTAACTAATGCTAAATAAGGGTTATAAAGTAGCTTAAAGAATAAGGATTATGATTCACAGTTGATGGTTGGGATTAGAAATTGAATTTATGCTTTTTCATCACGAATTGACATCAGGTAAAATACCAAGACGTTATTAATCCAAATGGATGAGTGGATTTCGCGCCGAAACCAATGATCTGTTATCTTATATCAGATTGCTTCATTCATCAATTCTAATCTCGACCAATAAAAGAAAGTAATATTCGGACATTTCAAAGGTGGACTTTTTTTAAATTTAAACTTACTCTAAAGTATATTCTTCATTTGAATTTTGATATATTTCATAATGAATTGGTTTAATAAAACTAAATTCATATTCTTGTTCAATTATTTTTGATTCAATTGTTAACATCTCTGGAATTGTTGGTAATTCAGTAATTATATCTTCAATAATTGGTAAATGAGATTCAGATATTGTATATAATTCACAAGAACTTTTTAATTCATTACTATATGGAGAACATACTGATACACTGATAGTACTACCAATCATTTCAGAATTAATTTTAGGAATTTTTAATATAGATGTAAAATCAGTAGTATTTATTTCATATGGTATATGTTCAGCAGTGATTTCTACACCTTTAATATACCAACGAAATTCAATTGGCATATTAGTTGGTATAATAGAACATTCTAATTCAACTGATTGATCTAATACAACTTCTAATTGTGAATTTAATGTTTTAGCAAATTGTATATTAACAGTTTGTTGTTCTTTTGGTTGTATATGACATATTGATGTAGACTGTCCTAATGATGAGGTAGCAATCATTTGTAACATAGTATTATCATCTTTATCAGGTTGATAATTATGTAATATAGCACGATATTGTAATGTTTCATTATCAATTTGTTCTGGACCGAAATATTCAAATCTTTCAGCTGTTAATGGTGAACTTATTACCCATTGAATATCAGGTATTGGATTTGATTTTAATATAATATCCATTACAACAGTTGATCCAACTTCTGGTGTTAATTTTTCTGGTAAACCTTGAATAAATTGTGGTGCAAATTCAAGTTTTGATATAATTGGTTTAGATTGTTCGTCTGGTTTAATTGGTTGATAAGTAAGTTCAAGATTACATGAAGTATAAATTTTTTCTTCTTTTTTATCAGTTAAACGTGTTACAAAACAAGTGATTTCACCAAAATCCCATGTACCAGGTTTATTAATAGTTAATCGACTATGCCATGGATTATCTTGTGAAACATTATAACGTTCAGGTTTCTTATCAGGTGGTAATAAAAATATATCTATTCCATTCATATACCAACTAAATGTAGGTTTAGGTAATTCAATTGATGATATTTCTGGTTTATCAACTTCTACATCAAGAATTATTGTATCATCCATTTCACTATATGCTAAATTTGATGGAAGTTGTCGACTAAAACGTAATTCTGGTGGTTCAGGTACTGATAAATCATCTGTTTTAGCTGTCATTACTAGAATTGAAGATGTTACAATCTTTGTACCAGTTTGACCAGCAGCTTCAATAGTCACTTTACTAGGAAGAATATCTTGTTGAACAGATGGAATTATAAGAGTTGTACGATTTACATCTTCAAGAACTTTAAATCGTTTATTTGACTGATCCAATTGTAATCCATTTAAATACCATTTAAATGTAACAGGTGGTTCTGATTCCACTTCACACTCTAATTGAGCGCTATCTCCAGGTTGTAATTCAATTCGTTCTGGTGGTTGACGTATAAAACGTGGTTCAACAATTTTTCCATCAAGAATTTCTAATTCTAATACACTACTACACATAGTTACGCCAAGTTCATTCTCTGCGCGTACCATAATTTCTCCAACATCAAAAGCGTTTAAATCATGTATGTGTAACGTATATGTATGTGTCGCCTCATCAATATATAATTCTCTCTTAGCGGCCATTTCATGAGAAAATGATGATATTAAAACTGGTTCAAACTCCACACCGTTATGAAACCATCGTAAAGTTGGTTCCGGACATCCATTTACTGAACATTCCAACCTAAATATTGAAAAAGATATTCGAAATATTTAAATGCTCAACAAAGTAGCTTAAGAGTCATGCCTACATATATGAGAGTTTGCAATCGAGTTGAAGGTGTTTAACACTTAATTTATCTTCCATGTCGTCGAACAATCCTTTTGTCAAAAGTCGTCACACTACATAGTTTAGTCACATCATGCCATAAGAACGGTTTTAACTAAATACCGGAAAGTCAAGTATCTGTAGCGTGGTTTCGAGTTGGGATTAACTATGAACACCGCTACCAAGAAACACGTGCCAAGTAGATCAGAAGGCGTAAGAAGCTCGTTCCAAATGACTCCATAAAATCCCCGAGAAGCCGAATACCAGAAGGCAATTAATGGACCAAGTCGATGTTTATTTGCTGGCGAACTCGTGGCATCGAAAGGATACCGAGATCGTGCCAGGATACAAGCTTGGTTACAGAACGTAACTGAATTCGCGCGAAGTTACAATCAAAAGTGTAAGTATAAGTATGGAAGCAAAATATAGCTGCCATTAGCACAGTCAAACAAAAGCACGTTAAAACAAACACGGGTACAGTTGGTTATAATAATAATTGTTTTTATTAAACCAGTCGTGTTCTCGTGATGAATGTGAGTCACTACATATCCATACGACAAAGGTTGTCGGATAAAAAACATACTGCTTACTACCTACTTACGCCTGTTACCTCTCGTGGCGGAGCGTAGGCAGCCAACCAGCACTTTCCGTCCAACCCTATCCTGGACAACCCTTTCCAGTTCTTTCCAGTTGCCATTCATCCTTTTCATTTCTGCTTCCATGATACCAATTAATTAAGTCTTAGCCATTTTAAGAAGTGAGGTTCGGATATCATAGATTTGTAATAAGCTGAGGTAACGGATTCAAGCTGACAAGATTTGAAATCAAGTGTTGAATTTATTTACTTCTAGTGTAAACATAAACGGGGTGTATTCACTTATCAGCCTATTAAACTAACCATATCATTATCGATTAGTTCGTCTAATTTATGCATTATCACAAACCCGTTTAAATGAAGCTTGAAAAGGGAATGATCAGACTTGCGAATGTATTTCCGAAAGAATCAGTTTGTGTAAGATCCATTTTGAATTGCCTTATGTGTTTGTGAAAATCCCTCCATGTATATACTTGTACTTTGTTCCTATTGATTCCCTTAGTTGTACATTGTTGTATTTTGATTACATTTGAGTTGTTAATACTTGTATTTTTTATTATAGTTTTTGTTTTTCTTACGCGTTCACTAAGTTTGTGTTTCTTCCTGAACTGCATTTGTGTTGTTTTACTTGACACTTGTTCTTGGCGGTAGCCATATTGATTTGTTCCTCCTGTTGTGTGTGATCTATCCAGCCAGGATAGAATAACGTTGATTTGTTGTGATTAGTAATTTCTCTTCATCTTCTATCAACTTCTTTATTATTGTAATTTAGATTTAATTGATTGAACAATCATTGGTTGAATAGCCGGGTGGTAATATTTGTTTAGGTAATGATTTACATTAAATTTATTATGAATTATAGAACCGCTAGTTACCCGATTACTTGTTCTGATTTTGACGGGAAAGAGCGCGTGTCTAAAAATCCCCGATCGGCTATTCTTCAACATCCAAACCGTAGTTTGGATTCTACAGTTCTAAACAATTATTAATTGGCCGAAGTCGTTTGGCAATCGTTCGCGGATTTGATTATCGTTTCTGGAAATATTTGGTCGTTTCGTCTATAATGCCAACTAATCGTCGAAGGAAATCAAGTTCAAAGTTCGTTGATGTTAATGAAGAATCCCCTATTACCAAGCAAGTGCCTTTTGATGTCCTTAAGTGTCATGGTTCAGACTCGAATAGGGTTGATTATCATGGTAGTGACTCTAGTCTTAATTCGATGACAGATGACGTAAAAAATCTTAGTTTAAAGGAGAAGCAAAGGCTTGAATTATCAGGAAGAAGCGTTTTGCCTATAGCGCCTGTTGTTGGTTGAATTGAGTTATTTTGATGGAGAGTCAAAAGGATACTGGAAGTTTATAAGACAATTTGAGACGTATATAGCATCAAGAGTCACCGATGATAGCCAACGTTTGCTCTATCTCATGCACTATTGTAAGGGCAAGGCGAAGACAGCTATCGAAGGTTGTGTCATGATGGAAGCATCCTCTGGTTATAAGAGAGCAAGGGAAATTCTAAAGCGTTTGTTCGGTCAGTCTCATGTAATCGCTCGAGAAACATTAGAAGATTTATTTAATGCTGTTAATTTTGATTATACTGACGGGGAGCAACTATCAAACTTGGCCATTAAAATGGAAAACTGCGCTATGGTCTTAGAACAGATGAATTATAACTCTGATCTAAATTCGTTAGTTACTTTGGAAAGAATAGTAAGACTATTACCTCAAGTTATGCAAGCCCAGTGGGCGGATCGGGTGGATCAATTGACGGAAGATAATAGAGAACCGACTTTTGACGAGCTTACCCAATTTATAGCGTCCCGCGCAAGAGTAGCTAATAGTAGGTTTGGACGGTTAGCGAGTCGTCCGAGAAAGGGACACAACTTAAAGACAAATTGTCACTTGCAATTAGAGCAGGAGGGTAACTCTAGAGCTAAATGCAGGGTGTGCTCCCAGGACCACGCTATTTATAAATGTCCAAAATTTTTAGCGCTTACCGTTCAAGAGAGATGGTCTCAAGCAAAAGTTAATGGCATCTGTTTTGTCTGCCTTAGGCAAGGGCATAAAGTTAATGAATGTAAGCTGGCGAAACGTTGTAACGTTAATGGTTGTGAGAAGAAACACCATTCCTTGCTGCACAGCGAAAATGATAAATCTGATATCCCGAATTGTTGTGGATTTACTAAATCCCTAAGTAGCCAAGTGTGCCTAGGAATGATCCCTGTACGGTTGATGTTAGGAGATGCCGAAATGGTAGGTTATGCTTTGTTGGATAACGGGTCTGATGTAACGTTGATAAAATCGAGCTGTTTGAGGTGTCTCGGGCTGAAGGAAGACCGAGCGTCAGTGGTAGTAGAGACTGTGGGTGGTAATAGGACAATGACGGTCACAAAGACCCCTTTTGAGGTATATTCTCTAGATCGGTCAGGACATGTTACGATCGAAGGAGCTCTGATTGTGGCAGATATACCAGGTCATAAGCCAACAAGGTCGGCAGTGGACAACCTAGTTAAATGGCCACATTTAAGGGATGTACCAATAGATAACTTCGACTCTGAAGAAGTTCTGCTGTTGATTGGTTGCGACGTACCAGAAGCACACTGGGTGTTAGACCAGCGGTTGGGTGGAAGAAAAAGCCCGTACGCTGTGAAGACGTTGCTGGGTTGGACGGTTTTCGGACCCGCGTCGTATCCGGAATATAGGAAAAGAGTGGTCAATCATACCAGTAAGATACAGACCTTGGAGAACGAAATACGTAAACTTTATGATGTAGAGTTTTCTGACGTTTATTCAAATGATAAATCATTATCACTAGAAGATAAGGCGGCTATAAGGATTGTGGAAAGGGGCACACGCTTCGAAAATGGGCATTTTGTAGTTCCTATACCATGGAAAGTGAACCCAAATATGAAAGGGGAGAATTATGAAGTGGCAAGCAGTAGACTACAGAGTTTGAAGCGTAGATTGTTGAAAGATGACATTCTGTATATCAAGTATACAAAAGGTATTGAAAGTAACTTTATTAAGGGCTATGCGGAGAAGATCCCTGAACTACAATTGCAACCTAGTTATCGCCCTCGGTGGTACTTGCCTCACCATGCAGTTATAAACCCGAAAAAGCCAGAAAAACTGAGAGTAGTTCTTGACTGTGCCACCAAGTTTGCAGGCGTTTCTCTAGACGATATGATTTATCAAGGACCCGACACAACGGCTGAGTTAGTGTGTATATTATTGCGTTTTCGCAAAGAGGCAGTCGCAGTCTCTGCGGATGTTGAAGAAATGTTCATGCAAGTGAAGGTCCCTGAGTCTGATCGAGGAGCTTTAAGATTTCTGTGGTGGCAGAGGGGAGACATGTCGAAAGAACCATCCGAGTTTCAAATGACATCTCATCCATTTGGCGCCATATCATCGCCGTTTTGCGCGAACTTTGCCTTGAATAAGACAGCCCAAATATTCTCTGACGGTTATGATGGTTATGTCGTAGATGCTGTTAAGAATAATTTCTATGTTGATGACTGCTTGGTATCTTTCCCCACTTGTGATCAAGCAAAGAGTTTCGTCAAGCAGATAAGTGAATTATTATGTAGAGGAGGCTTCAAACTAAAGAAATGGGTTACCAACTCCGAGGAGGTAAGGGCCATCTTGCCTGATGTATGTAAAGAACAGTCCTTGATAGAAATGTCAACGGATTACGACACCACTCATCGAACCCTAGGTGTAGAATGGGATTTTAAACAAGATGTATTTAAGTTTTACTTTGATGCACCGGAAAGGCCTCCGACTAGGAGAGGTATTTTATCTATAGTTTCTTCTCTGTTCGATCCTCTGGGTCTGATTGCTCCAGTCTGTCTTACTGCCAAACTTCTCTTGCAAAAATTATGTAGGTCCCAAATAGGCTGGGATCAGCCTCTCAACGAGCCATACATGTCCACGTGGCTAGGCTGGGTAAGGTTTATGCGTCAGATAGGTCACGTCACGGTAGCTCGAGGTATCAAGAGGAAAATCGACGAACCCGACGCGAAAGTGGAATTGCACTTGTTCAGTGATGCTTCAGAGGTTGGTTATGGAGCAGTTGCGTACGCACGAGTCAGCTATTTGAAGGAGCCACCATATTGTATCTTGTTGTACAGCAAGTCTAGGGTAGCACCTATCAGACAAGTCACTATACCGAGACTCGAGATGGCGGCAGCGGTGTTAAGTGTGAGGCTTAGTGAAGTATTACGGAGAAGTCTGCCTAATTTTTTCTGCGAAGTAAACTTCCATACAGATTCCATGATAGTGTTATACTACATTAAGAATATTGAGAACCGATATAGCACCTATATAGCCAACCGCCTCGCTGTGGTGCACCAGTATACGAAGGTTGAACAATGGAATTATGTGAAGTCGTCACAGAATCCAGCTGATTGGACATCAAGAGGTATACAAAAAATGACTGATCTGGAATCTTGGTTCAAATGTCCTACCTTACTGCATGGCGAATTCTGTACAACAATCACTGACTGTCCGGAACCTACTCCTGACGATATTGAGTTTAGAAAAACTGCTGTGGTTAACTTGAGTAGTATAAAGCACAACATGTCACCTATTCTCTCTTATTACTCCGAGTGGTTGAAATTAGTCAGGGCCGTAGCCTGGCTTAGAAGGTTCATAGAATTTCTGATGGTGCTTCGTTCACCGAGTCATGAAGGATCCGTTCATCTAGGGTGTTTAAAGGTCAAAGAACTTGACATCGCCAAGCGTAAAATTTTGTTGATGGTTCAGAAAGAAGTGTATGGAGAAATACTTAGTGGATTTAAAACCAATGGTAAAGTCGTTAGTCACAGTGATCTGAAGGGTTTGTCACCGATAAAGCTTGATGGGTTACTCTGCGTTGGAGGCCGATTAAGCTACTCAGATTTCTCAAATGCCTTTAAACATCCAATAATATTGCCCAGTCGACACTTAGTGACAGAAATGATAATTAGATATTATCATAAGGAACAAGGGCACACAGGAACGTCACAAGTACTGGCCTCGATTCGAAAAAGGTATTGGATAATAAAAGGGACCAGCACGGTTAGGAGAGTGATAGGAAAGTGTGTGACATGCCGGCGGTATACGATGGTTACAGGGCAACAATTGATGGCACCACTTCCAGCTTGTAGAGTGCAACAAGGATGGTATAGCTTCTCAGCCGTGGGAGTAGACTACTTTGGACCTCTTTTTGTCAAAAGAGGAAGATCATTAGAAAAAAGATATGGATGTATGTTTACTTGCTTGCAAACCCGAGCAGTACATATTAAAATGGCACATAGTTTGAATACTGATTCGTTTATAATGGCCTTGTTACGTTTTATTGGAAGAAGAGGGAAACCTGCCGAAATTTACAGTGACAATGGGTCAAATTTCGTGGGTACGGTTTCTGAATTAAGGAGATTTGTGCAACAGTTGAATCAACAGAAAATAGACAAAGAACTGTCAGCTAGACAAATTCAGTGGCATTTTAACCCGCCCTCATCCAGCCACAGGGGTGGAGTTTGGGAAAGGATGATTAGGTCCATACGCCGACTGTTATTATTGATAACTAGAGAGCAGACTTTAACCGATGAGACTTTAAACACTTATTTGATCGAGATTGAAAGGATATTGAACGATCGACCCTTAACTCCGGTCGTTCAAGATGCTAACGACAAACTAGCCTTGTCGCCAAATAGTTTGTTATTATTGAGAGAATGTGACGGAATAGTCGAAGAAGGTAGCATCAGAGATAAATATGACAAACGTTGGAAACAGATTAATCATCTTGCTAATGTGTTTTGGAAAAGGTGGTTAAGAGAGTATGTACCGTCCCTACAAAAACGTCAAAAGTGGTTGGTTGAACACCGCGATTTTCAGAAAGGGGATGTAGTGATCGTAGCTTCGGACATATCAACTCGTGGAAAATGGCCCTTAGGCGTAGTTGAAGATTGTGAAATAGATGACGACGGAAGAGTTAGAACAGTGGTTGTTCGTACGAACGGTGGATTAGTCAGGAGAGATATACGTAGATTATGCCTCCTTGAAGGCTCGAATTAGTTCCTCGTGTTATCAATACAGGTAGGTCGAGTAGGCGTACTGTTGTAAGTCCTACTCGTTCCTATAGTGTGATATGCTACATAATGAACCATGACCATAGGCATCAAGGTAGCTTGTGTGATATGGAGGGATTTTAGGGGCCGGTGTAAGATCCATTTTGAATTGCCTTATGTGTTTGTGAAAATCCCTCCATGTATATACTTGTACTTTGTTCCTATTGATTCCCTTAGTTGTACATTGTTGTATTTTGATTACATTTGAGTTGTTAATACTTGTATTTTTTATTATAGTTTTTGTTTTTCTTACGCGTTCACTAAGTTTGTGTTTCTTCCTGAACTGCATTTGTGTTGTTTTACTTGACACTTGTTCTTGGCGGTAGCCATATTGATTTGTTCCTCCTGTTGTGTGTGATCTATCCAGCCAGGATAGAATAACGTTGATTTGTTGTGATTGGTAATTTCTCTTCATCTTCTATCAACTTCTTTATTATTGTAATTTAGATTTAATTGATTGAACAATCATTGGTTGAATAGCCGGGTGGTAATATTTGTTTAGGTAATGATTTACATTAAATTTATTATGAATTATAGAACCGCTAGTTACCCGATTACTTGTTCTGATTTTGACGGGAAAGAGCGCGTGTCTAAAAATCCCCGATCGGCTATTCTTCAACATCCAAACCGTAGTTTGGATTCTACAGTTTGTATATTTTATGTGTTGGTTATTAAGCTATAGGTTGACAGTAATTTTATATTATTCTGACCATAAGCTTTCATTTGATTCATTGCGTTAAAATATCTTTCTCTGTCCATAAATTACAGTTAACTAACTATCACCTGTTTTATGCTTCAGTTATGTATGTGCATATTGATATTTATTATTTATGGTTCCTTAGAGTCTCGCATCTTGCATACGCAATTACGTGGACTTTTGAGTCTAAGGTAATATAAAATATATTCACAGGTACTTGGCTTGTCTTTATGATGTTCCGATTAGTGATTTCACGACGGATTGCATAAAGATCATAATCAACAGCCCGATCACACACTATTACAGTTAATGTACTTTGTATTGTGTGTGTAGACAAAATCGAAACAAAATCGTTGTTGCCACACTTTAGAATTATTCAGATGTGCAAAATACATGAAAATGTGAAACTTTGGAAGTTTTTGATAGAGTTTTGTTCTGTGAGCTGGATGGTTTGGTCGTGGAGCTTTCATCTTAAGTTTGTGCTGGCGATGTCGTTCAGAAGAACGATGAAAGCTCCACGACCAAACCATCCAGCTCAGAGAACAAAACTCCATCAAAAATCATCCACCTGATCTACAAATCCTCACCATCTCAACTTTGGAAGTTATTCTCTGCGAATTTAGTATATAAACAACTAGTTCGGATTTATTAAACAAGGACGTAACTTTAGTTGGAAGTTACCATTCGACACAATGATCGTTGCAATATATTTTTACTCAAAAATGAAGAATACCTGAGCGAACAATTGTTTTCAATAACTTCATCATCAGCCTCTACAGTCATAAGTCCATAATTATGATATTTTACAAAGGCCAAAAATAAGGCATGTATTAATGAATTGTACAATGTTATGTGTTAAAAATGGTAAACGTTTGCATCTGTTACAATAAATATACTTCAAAATTGTATTATTTGCAAATTAGATAGGTCATTTAATAAAGGTCAGAATGATTTAGAGTTAAGTGTCCAGTCTCAATCACAGAATCAAGTTATTATGTTCTGAAGACAGTGTGGATGGCGAAATAGATATACTAAAGGACACATTACGAAATAATGGCTATCCAGATAGTTTTGTTAAAAAATACCTCGTAGAAAACACTTAAAAAAAGAAGAAACTGTGACACAGTCAGTAAAAAACCCTATATCTGAGACTAGACTTTAAAGGGGACATAGTGGATGATATTTTAACACGTCGACTCAAAAGATCTGTCGAAAGGACGTTTTACGCCGCCAAGCTACACATAATTTTCTTAACTAAACCAGTACTCACACAACTAATCAAGGATAGGTTACCGAAGATGGGCTCCTCCATGTGTGTATATCAATTCAACTGCTCCTGTGGAGCTAGTTACATAGGCCGTACTCAGAGGGCTTTTATTCTTGCGTGTTCGTGAACATATACCAGCATGGTTGGGAAAAGGAGTTACTAAATCGATTAACAGCACTATTCTTTCACACTTGGTAGGTAGTGAACATCATGTCAAAACAGAGGAAGCTTTCTCTGTTTTATATCAGGTTCCAAAATATCTACCTCAAGGAGCTAGAATACGATTGCTCTACATAGCAGAAACCATCTGGATCAACTCCAAAAAACCAAACTTATGTTTCCAGAAAAAGTATATCCAGCCTCTATGTTTACCTTGGCCCACCGGATACCTAAACTGAATATTATAAACATCTTACCCCCTTTTTTGGACTACCTCTATCTTAATCTTCATATCCATCATTCCCAATTCGTTTATCGTAATTACCTTGATAACACCCGCCTTATTACATAGTATATTCACACAACAGTATTATTATTATCATTATTATCTCAACTGACAAGCTGAAATTCTCCTACCATGTATTTTATTCACACGATTTTCATTCATTTTCATTTTTGCCATATTACTGCTATACTGATTGTGATTGAATACTTTACTCCAAATCATTCTGTACTTCATTAAATGACCTATCTAATTTGCAAATAACACAATTTTGAAGTATATATATCGTAACGGATGCAAACGTTCACCATTTATTATAACATATATACTAATTACGATATTTCATGGCCTTAGATATTGCGAATAATATTAAAATAATCTTTGAGTTTGAACAATATAAAATAGTGCGAGATACTCGTTCGGCTATCCAGGCGTTCTTGCAAGTCGTGCTGTGTAAACAATCAACCATCTATTACAAACACTAACTGAGTTAAAGGAGTTATAGAAAGGTTAGAAAAATTCGTAAAAAGTATGGAAAAATGAAGATACAATGACTGCTATGACAAATTACACTTAAATAATAACTCACGTGACAGTGTGATGCTCTGGCGCCTTTACTTGAGGTTGAAGACGTTTTTGAAAAGCTGGTGGAGTTGGTTTGGGTCCTATTAGGGAATTTTAAACAAAATAAATACTTGTTTTCAGCTGAATGAAGTTACTCAATGGAATTTTTAACATTTGTCTAGATTAAGTTATGTTGAGATAAGGTCAATTGTAAATGCATCTCAATCCTACAGATGGTCTCTGACTGTGAAGCTGAGTGACACGTGGTCGAATCCGTCATGGAGAAGTATTAAAAATAACGGTGAACTAGACAGATCGAAAGATAAGAGTAACTTGACGACATATTGGATAACTAGTGTTTTTGATTTTAAAACTCTATGGTTTATGAATGAGTGGGAATCTTACTGATTATGAATATTTTGGACTTATTTATGAAAAAAAGCTTAGTGACATAGAAAACTTAATTATTAACATACCTGATCGGATTATCACCACTTTTGTTTGCGTAGTTGTTTGACCAACTGAATTAGTTGCTCTGACAATAATTTCACCACCATCATTCATGGAGATTACATTACATTCAAGTTGTGAAGTATATCTATCAGTTTTAACCTGAAATTGTGAATAAACAAAATTTTTATAAATTTGATCATTCCCTTGGTATTGTTTGTTTGTATCATCCCATTATTGTTTAGGACTACAACTGATCAGTCTCTTGTTAACATATGTGCATCCTAGGCATCCTGTCTCGATATCGCCTTTAGTCACAATCTTTATGAGCAAATATGGGTAGTGGCTAGCAGTGGAGTCCAGGATCTCAGTTTCGTCCTACTTCGGACTCGTCAGCTAAGTGTACCTGCATCCCAGAGTTGACATTCACTCCGGGACTCGAACCCAGTGCCGTTCGCTTCAAACGCCATCGCGTCCCGGAGTGAACATCAACTCTAAAATGCAGATACACTCAGTTGACGAGCCCTAGATAGAACGAAACTCAGATCCTGGATTCCACTGCCAGCCACCATCCATCTTTGTTTAATAATTTCCATCAAGAAAGCTAAATGTTTTGTCATATAACATATCTGATACAAATATGATTGTGTATAGATTTAAAAAATTATGTCTTAGTAAAGAAAATTCCCTTCTGTAAACATTATAATGTTAAAATTTCGATACTGCTTTTTATCATATTTCACAATTATAATCTTAGTGGTGATAAACTTCACATTTATGAAGATAAATATTCATTAAGTGCTATTCATTTAATTGATAGATTGTTGAGTCGAACAAGATTATTAAAAGGTCCTAGAGATAATGCAATACAGTGGTTTGAAATGTTATCAGATATGGCTCAGAAAAGTAACCGATGGTGATCATTGCTGTAAATTTCTTTTACTTTCTTTATGTAAGTGACCTATCAGTCTCGCTAGCTAACGCTTAACCTCTACATCACTGAGCCGGCCGGTGTCCAACGGTGTTAATGTCTAACTTCAACCGATTCATGAAATTGGGCGACACATCTACCAATATCTTCAGTGAGTTACTATCTCACAACTGATGTGGTTGAACTCCACTGGTCACTGCTTCTCACTAGGTCCTGGGTTCGAATCTCGCGAGGCGGAATCGTGGGTGCTCACTACTGAGGAGTCCCATAATAAGACGAAACGGCCGCCCAGTGCTTTCAGGTTTTCCATGGTGGTCTAGCTTCAACTGACTCATGATCTCAACTATTGAAATTATTATGATATCTACAAAACCCCTTCTGATGGAGATTATGTAAACATTGAATATTGAAATTTTGTCAGACTGAAAATCTTTCGTTTTAAATCTTTTACGTAATAGAAGAAATATTGAAGTAGGTTTGTTAATGATGTGTAGGGACTGGTCATCAGTACAATGACGTAGAACAAGTAGGAATTAGTTTTTTGATGAATCTAAATAATCTTAACATAAATGGCTCACTTACTTTCCAAATTGGTCCAGATTGTAAAGATTGACCATTATGATACCAATCAATTTGAGGTATAGGTTCGCCTGAAACTTGAACTTCTAAGAATAATTGTCCACCTTCTTTTACTTCTAGTGTCCCAGTAGGTAAAGGTTTCACAAATTGTGGAGCAGTTTGTAATGGAGCTAAAATATAATACAAATGAGAAAATTTCTTAATTTTTTTACAGAACTTGTATTATAACATTCAAAATACACAAGGGAAAAGCAATATCCTCAAATACAACACGGTGAACATCAAACCAATCTCACTTGATGGAGAAACTCTGCAAGAGGTGGAATCCTTCACATATCTGGGTAGCATCATTGATAAACAAGGAGGATCTGATACAAACGTAAAGGAGAGGATTGGCAAAGCAAGGACAGTATTCCAACAGATGCAGGACATATGCAACTTCAAAAACCAGTCAAACAATATCAAAGTCTCAATCTTCAATGCGAACGTCAAGACAGATCTACTGTACGGAGCTGAAACTTCGAGAACTACTACAAACATCATTAAAGGGTACAAGTATTCCTAAACATTTGTCTTCTTAAGATACTCAATATTCGTTGACCGGATACCATCAGCAATAGTCTACTGTGGGAGAGAACAAACCAACTTCCAGCTGAACAGGAAATTAGGAAAGGATGTTGTAGGTGGATAGGACACACATCAGGGAAGTCACCAAACTGCATCACGAAGCAAGCGCTAACTTGGAATCCTGAAGGGAAACGAACAATACGAAGGTCGAAGTATACACTGCGTCGGAAATTAGAAGCAGACATGTAAAGGATGAATAGCAACTAGAAACAAGTTTAAAGGTTTGTCGAGGATAGAGTTGGTTGAAGAATTCTTGTGTGTGGCCTATGCTCCGCCATGAGGAGTAACAAGCGTAAGTATATAAGTGTATTGTAATATAAAATCAATTAATGATTCAAGTGATAAAATCAATAGACAAACATTCATCATACTTAGTATAGTGAACGTTTTACAAAAGTAAGTTTGAGTGTTATATTTTCTTAATCATATTTAAATCATGGTATTTTGATTGTTAGTTTTTATTACTAAACAATGTTTGCAAGTTTAAATTAGCTTATCTTCATTTTGAAGGGACATTTGTTTTTTTTCTTTAAATCAATATACATTTAACCGGTTCATCATTTTGAAATGCAAAGAATACTGGTAAGAAATAAACATTGTTCATATTATACTCTTCACATAACTAATTTACTAAAGAAACACATGAATAAATCAGTACTTGTTCTAGATTGATCGACAGAAACAGTAACTTTAATCACTTGCTGTCAAAATATTCATGGTCATAAGAGAGAGATTGCTTACAGAAGACTCAACATACATACATACCGTAGAGGTTACATGATAGTAAAAGTATAAACTAACCAGAAATTAAGATTTCCGCTGATGCTTGAGCTTCTCCACCAGAGTTCACAGCACGTACTGTATAAACTCCAGTATCTTCTGGATAAACACTAGAAATATTAAGTATTGTATAACCATCTGATCGAATTTCAGGAAGAAAGTAACGTGATGGTTTAATAATTTCATTATTTAGTAACCAAGTAATTTCTGGCACTGAATATAAAAAACAAACAAGAGAAATGAATTATGATTATCTATGTAAATAGAATATATTTATTTTATTTTGAATTGTCTTTATGATATACGTTTTTATTAACTCATATAATAGGTTGGTTGATCTATGATCTAATACTTCCTGCTCCCAAATGTCCTGGTAGGACCGAGAGTCAAGAGAATCAACTCTTCCTCTCCAAATGCTCTCACATGGCCACGTACATACAACTACTACCAGGGAACTCCTACTCACTGCCTTCTCGCAGCATTACTGTTGTTTACGAAATAGAGAGGACGAAAGGCGAATGTCCGGCGCTTTAATCGGGTTGGTGGACACAGAGAGTCCACCTAAGTGAGTTGGAAAACCTTGATTCCAAACCAATGATGTACATGGGCTGGCTCCAGGATCTTGAAGGAACAAATGGTGTATGAACCAATCGTTGGTCACCGGCTACCATGAGACTGCATCTCCTCACGTTGCTCCAGTGCCTTGTGGATCAGACTTTTAGGTCGAGGGCTCTGGGTGTGGCCTCCTAATAAAACCACCTGTGTTGGTTTTTTCACCCGGGTAGTATCCCAGCCCTCACACAAATCGAATGATTTATGTGATTAATTGTGTGAGTAATTAGAAAGTGTATAACATTAATGCAAATCTATTAAGTATGAATAAATAAGTGTTAAATGTGGAATTTTGAAAGATTTGCTAAATTGTGTATATGGACTGAATATTTCATCTCAAATATTCCTATATTCCTCGAATGGTTAGTTTATAATAATTACACTACCGATTGATTTACCTATCATTCACAAATTAGTACTGAATAGTCTGTGCTCGTTAATTGTACTACAGATGACCTAGTTATTTATAGAGCATAAAATAATATGACTGATGTTATAATCACGTGAGTTTTGGAGTTGCAACAATACAATGTAAATCAGGTAACTTTGCTCGTGTTCTGTGATTGAGTGAGTTTAGGATAGATAGAATTTGCGTGGGTATACATTGGCAGCGTATTTGGTGAAGGTTATTTCTATTATTGACATAAACTAATCATTGGTGGACTTGATGAGTTATTAATTCTATTAAATGGGTACATGAAAGGTGAACTAATGATAAAATCCTCAAAGTAACTGTATAATTGAATTGGCATGTTGTGTATATGAAAGTATAAATCATCAATATTAGTGAATTGTATATTTCTACTTACTCGGTGTACCTTCTATTAGTGCAATTAGTTGAACTGATTGAGATTCCATGACAGTTACACTTTTTGGTTCTTGAATAATTCTTGGTGGGACAATGGCAGCTGGTTTAGCTTTTTGAGGTGAAAATAGAAATAAAATCATGTGTTAGGTTTTCATTTGAGCAAAACCATTAACGTTTTACTCATTATTATTGTATGGGGAAAAAATCAAAAATGTTTAATCAGGAAATAAATTATTCAAACTAAATTATTAATATCTGATAGCACACACTCACAGTCACTCCTGGTTAGATTTTGTATAAATGTTGTTTTCTATTTTGTGGTGCGATGTGGTCTGTTTGCTTTGTATATAAACCCAGTATGTCTAAAATACATTATTTGTATCGCGGAGACTGCTCGTTTTCTAATTGGCGGTATCATTATGTTGTGTACTAATAAGACACAAGACCAAGAGTTATAACAGACTGGACAGCTGTTTCCTCATAGTATGTATCTACTCAATAATGGGCATATAGGACGCTACTACTGATTGAACAGAAGTCTTTTATGCCTTGTGATAATCGATTAACTATTTCTGTTCACTGAATTGTATTCTCTTGTAGACCACAAATGTCACACTATTTTTATATTCAAATGTTGAATTTCTAATGAAATATGATTAGAACTCTCAGATTTCAGCAACAGTGAAATTTCTTTGTAGCTGACATTGCTGTTTCTAGTATTTATAAACCCTCAACGACCTTGTTTTATTTATCAAGGAATGAACAGAAATTATATTTAAAGGGCATGGATTGCTGTGTTTAGGATTTATCAACTAAGTGCTTCTGGGCTTTAGTATTCAGATCCCCATCGAGATTGGAAGCAGCAGTCTATATCTTCACATTCCAGAGTTATTAATTAAACTGTCTGACTAAAAGATATATATCTGATAAAACGGGACGTAAAAAATCTGTTATGAAATTTCAGTACTTTATAATTGATATACAATGACTCCGTTTGAAATTACCTTGTATAGTAACATTCGCTTTACAAATTGACTGTCCATGAGCATTTATTGCTACACAACGATACTCAGCAGAATCATCTGGTACAGTTTCACATAATACAAGAGTATGAAACGGTGGCGCATCAAATACGCGTATATGTTCAAGATCTTTTAGAGGTAACCGCTCTCCATTTCGTTCCCAATGAACTTGTGGAGTTGGTTCACCAGTAACCTATATTTCAATCAAATAGAAAATTAAAATCAATAATAATTATTCTTTATACAAAACACCAGTGTTGAAAATTTATAAATTTAGATAGTTTTATTCGATGTGATATATATGTATCTGAAACATTTCAGACTATTTGATTATACATTAACTGGTTAAGTTATTAATTGTCGACCCAAATGGGTCATCTCTGGTAATATGAACAACAGGGGCAGAAAAGAGAAAACATTGAAAACAAAATCAAAATCACCAAGTGAGTAAGTTAAAAGAAAATGTAAACTGATTTTAAACAAAAAAGAATAGTTTGACTTTTTTGCATGAGAAAGGCTTAAACACAATCGTTGATGGTCACGCAATATCATGAATTGGTTAAAGTTAGACATTAAAAAAGTTGGATACCGGCTCACTAGTGTAGAGGTTAAACATTTGCACGTGAAACTGATATGTCCTGGATTGGAATCTCGCAAGGAGGGATCGTAGATGTGCACTGCTGAGGAGTCCCACAATAAGACGAAAAACATATAAATATTAATGTAAATAAATATCATAAGCAAGAGAAGATTTTAGATCATCAAACATATTAATAAGAAATTATAGAGCTAAAATAATCGATTGATTATGCAATCAAGGGGCTGAACATGAATTAATAGCAATTATGAATATTATCAAAAAGGGATTTTTGTGGATATTATAATAATTTAATAGTTCAGTTCACGAGTCAATTGAATCTAGACCATCAATGAAAAACCTAGAAGTACTGGACGGCCAAGTTGAGAGTATGAAGTTTGAAAGAAGTGAAGGTGGTCATCACTTAACCAGTTCACATGAACTTGGTCAGTTGATACATTTATTCACTTTATTTTCCGTTATAAAATTTTATCAAGTGAGAGTTAATTAATTCTTCAATATAATTGTAATTCATTATAGTAAATCAAGAAATAAATTGAAAATATATACTTACCTTGCATTCAAATGTAATTGGTTCTCCAGCTTCTACAATCTGTGATTCTATTAATGGTGGTATGAATTCAGGAGCTTTTCCTGATACTTTAATTTGTGTCACTGTAAGCCTTGATTTACTACAAGCTTGTCCAGCTGGATTACGCAATGTAACTGAGAAATTCCCTGTATCTTCTAAGAGAACTTTTGAAATAACAAGTTGACTAGTTGTAGAAGTTGTTGTTGTCTATTTGTGAAAGAAAAAAAAAGCATTTGTAAGTAGGTTTGGGATGTATTGAACAAAGCAGTTTATACAATTCATCTAAACCTTAACAATGAGATAACTGATGTATCTCATTCTAATGGCTTTTCAGATAATACCAATTGAAGTAACTGTTAAATTCAGTCTAAAATGATTGTAGTTTTATATGAAGACGTATTTTTAATTCTAACTTAAAGTATATTAAGGGTCACATGGTATATATGGTACACAATACTACACCTTCAGGATAGAATTTTTGAATAACTTATTGGAAATAATATATTTCAACTTACCTACTTAGTTTCATACACCTCTTAACCCCCTTGAAGGAGCATAAGTTACTCGCCAGCATTGTCTATTCAACTCTATCCTAAGCAATTATTTCTAGCCGTTTCTAGTTACTATTCATCCTTTTTATGTCTACTTTGAATTCTTGAGACAGTGTGCTCTATAATCACTTTTCCGTTTCACTTAGGGATTCCAATTTAGTACCTGCTTTGTGATACAGTGTGAGGATTGCCATTATGTATATCCTATCCAATTCCATCGTCTTTTCCTAATTTCATCTTCTGCTGAAGGCTGGTTTATTCACTCCCACAACAAGCTATTGCTGTTAATCAATCTTATCATCAAATCGGTACTCCTTAACTATGGGTTAGTGGGTTACAAATTTTACATGTTTTAAATAGTTATAACAACAAGACAAATTAGTACATGGAAACTCAGTAACATTATCTAATATTATTTGGTATTTAGAATATTTCACAATTACATCACTTAAAATTAAACTAAGTGACATTCTATAGATCATTCAAACTCTTTCTAATAATAATGATATAAATATTACACCCATTGTACTGGTGAATGATTATTTGAATTCTGTAGCTCAGTGGATAACTCTATAGCTTTAGAAGAGTAGGCTATTGAGTTGAATTCTCAATGTAAACAACACTAAGATTCAGATATATCTAGCTAATCAGTCTCGAATAACATGATACATGTTTCTTGGATTTCATTATTATCCACAGTTCATCTATTCTATACCAAATCGTAAAAATTACTGTAAAATGTAAATATTTTGCATACCTTATAGTTTTCTCTATTATTTATATCGACTTGTTCACGTGCCCAGGTAACTTCAGGTGCTGGTTCCCCATCGAATTCAACTGAAAACCTATATATAGTGAAAGAAAATATAATGAGGAGATTTACAGTTAACATAACAACATAATACTTTGGAGGTCAATTTTATTTTGTTTCAAAAATGAGGAGATTGGTGTAAATGTGAGTGAAATGGATTATTTACAACGACTTGGACATTTGAGAAGTTATCTCAATCACAATATTCATGAATTTCCAGTGGTCTTGTGGTTAAGCGCTCGCGCGCGAGACTGGTAGGTCCTGGGTTGGCATCTCGCGAGGCGGAATCGTGGATACGCACTGATGAGGAGTCCCAAAATAGGAGGAAACGGTCATGCAGTGCTTCCAGGTTTTCCATGCCGGTCTAGCTTCAATTGACTCATGATCGCAAACATTGAAATTACTACAATGTCCATAAAACCCAGCTTCACAAACAGTTTATAATCATAATACTCTTTAATTTTTACCATATATAACAGTTTTATTTTTATTGTACAAGAACTTGATGTGTGGTGTGTGCTACTTATATCGACATGAGTAGTATATTACACCAATCAGAAGTAAAATGCCTGGTAGCAAAAAGTTGGGAAGGACGGATCGAAGAGAAAGGGAATAGAGAGTAATTTTTATGTCAATGAAGGAACGATAAAGTTTAAGACAATTGATGGAAAATTTCAAATGATGTATTGAACGTATGGTTTACATATTTAAGGAAAGAAGTCTGTAATTTTATATTACAATGAATTGGTTGTCATCATTTGAGAGTCTATTCATTACAGACGTATTTCTGCACTAATGTTTATTTAGTGTGGGATAGTAATTGTACTCAAGGTTTAAAAAACCTTCAAATTAAACATTGTCTTACGTTATTTCTGAAGATTCAGGAACAGTTTGGGGTTGTAAAAATTTCAAGAACCGTGGTGCACGAATTGCAGGACCTTCTTGTGTTGGCATAACTTTTTCAGCTATTACTTCAATAGACGGTTCTGGAAGAAAGAAAAAAATGTACATATTTTTTATTTACATGTTAAACATGGATTGGAATCCCAATTGAAATTTAGATATATACTACTTAGGATTGAACGTGATACCGTGACGTTACCTACCAAGTTCCTACTTAAGTTTGGTTACGAAAATTTTTCTTCGAATACCATAGGTTAGAGCTAGTCAATAATAAATTTACTTAAACTATTCATCACGGTATTGTAGCATTAGTGCGTAAATATAGATCGATCGGAGTTAGGTATTACCACACTTGGGTCTCGGCTCAGAGGTCTATAGGTAAAGCATTCGCGCAAGAGACCGAAGGTCCTAGTCTTCTAGTGTGATCCATGTTGGCAGATGTAAACTACTTGGTTGGGGTCCGCGCGACTATTGGAACCATTAGTTAGAGACTCCTGGGGACATGGCTCAGAATCGATCACAATGGCATACGTGTATACACTCTATGTCTTCCCTTAAACTATGAGTTTAGAATTGCTTCATATCTTTCTTCCTATGAACTGATTCTTCCTTCATGTACTATATTCTTATATGTAATTTTTCTTTTATACAATACCACCACTGAATGAACTACTTCTATGAATTTGTTGTTCATCTTGTCGTGCTAATGAGGTGTGGCAAGTTGAGCAGATGCATATATTTGCTTGGTCCTACGTTGTGGTTGTCTGACTGACTGAGGTTCATGTTCCAAGTGCGCGATTGTGGACGTGCACTGCTGAGGAGTCTCATACTAGGACGAAACGGTCATCAAGTGTTTTCAGGTTTACAATGGTGGTCTAGCTTAGATTGACTGGTGATTTCAACTTTAAAAATAAATATGAGTAATGTTTTATGAAAAAGCCACATCTTCTCGTATAATTGACGCCTATGTTGTAGAAAGTACTGAATTAAGTTGTAAAACAGGTGCAGGACAAATATAATAGAGTCTTGTGATTTTATTCCAGCACCAAGTATGCATACTTCACCTGTTGACTCCTCCTGACTAAACCTTAAAACTGTGTAACAAAGTTAGTTTATAAAGTGTTAAGGCATTGCAACAATTCTCTTTGTCATTATAGATAAATTTTCTGGATTTTAATTAATATGACAAATGGAGTCCAATCCATGTCGAGTGGAGATAATTATTCACTTCAGACAATGGATGGAAGGTTGAGCAAGATGATGGATCGTTTGAAGTTAAACATTAACACCGCTGGATGCCGGCTCATTGGTCTAGAGGTTGAGAGTTCGTGCACAAAACGAAGATCCTGGGTCCAAGTCTAGTGTGCGTGGTGGTGGATGCACACTTATGAGACTTCCCGTACTGGGACGAAACGGCCATCTATTGCCTTCAGGTCCCCGTTGTTTATAAAATTTTGGATTTACTGAAACAAAGACTTGGTAAATGAATTTTAATATGATGGAATCATTTGTCAAAAAGCTTTATATGGAAATATTAAGTTTACTTATTGGGTGTCAAATCAGTGACTTTCTGAAATTTATTGTCTTTCATATTGTGTTAAGCAAATCAACTGATGTATTTAATTGAGACAGAGTATGTGTCCATTTATTAGATAGGCTAGAAAGCCTGACCTGATGTCTTCCACTTTTATTGTATAAAGCCTGCTTCATAATTGTGTAAAACAATTAATTTTAAATTTTTATATAGTTCCTAACTTACTTGGTATTGGTTTGAGTTGTGCACGAAAATCAATTACTGGTATCACCTCCAGTTTAGCAGATGCACTCACAACAGCATTTGGTTCAATGTTTACTAATTCCGGTGAAATATCACTTCGTTGAGCTACAATATATATTTCACCTGCATCTTCAGGTTTACATTTCTGCATATCTAGATAATAAATCAAACCATCAAATCTACTGATGTATCGTATTTCTTCACTTTCCGGTTGTTGTGCTTGCATAATTCCATAGGAAGGTACAGGTTGGCCATTGACGTACCATGTTACAATTGGTGATGGATTTGCAACAACAGTAGCTGTAAAACGAGCATTTTCACCTTCATTTATACATACTGACTGAGGTGGTGACATTATTATTGGATAAGGGGAGGTTATTTCTTGTAGTCTGAAAAACAAATTGTTTTGATTGGTTTACTATTTTCCATATACATATATGTGAATATTACTGTATATTGCAGTAAATTCAAAGGGAAAAACTATATCGTTTGTTTATATTTCTTGTTCTAATCAGGAAAGAGGGAATTTTTAGAATCGGGGACATTTTTGAATATATAACATAACATGTTCAGTTTTATACTGAGATAAATCATGTTTTCAGTATACAGTCTACGCCTACAAATTAGTGTTTAGAGGATATTGACAATATAATGTGTATCATTGGTTGTATTGGAGAAAGTGATCATTTGAAAGTAAAAATTTAATTGAAAAAAGTGTCGAAATCTTGTAGACATCTTAACAGTTCACTTCAGTCTGATATTTTCATCGATAATGTAATCCAATAAAAAGCTGATCATATGAGAGAACATAACACATTCTCCCTTCAAGTGACATATCTTTCTAACTGTTGTAGATTATAGTACTCACATTTTGTAAGTAGTATATTGTATTCAAATTATTTTTACTTGAAAAGTATTTTTTTAAGTGTGATTATGATTAAAAACATTCATTAACCGCTATAGATAAAGTCATGGCTCAGTTTTTAAAGAAAATGGCCAGATTAGGACATCAGTATTGCTGAAGAGGATATTAAAATTATGCATTCTACTTATCGGAGTTTACTAATTAGTTTATTTTATCCACGTTTCAATGCTTGTCAGAGTTGACTAACTGTATATGATAATAAACACTCATGGGTTAGGATTAACTGAACAATTACTAGAATTCAGAAAACATTGAACAACTCTCTGGTATGATTTGAGATCAGGTCTCACATGTAAAGTTTAGTACTGTTATCTTAACTTGAAGATAAGGGGAATTTAATTCTCGAATGCTTTAGATACTTTTGTCCTCCACTATTGTAAAACACTCCGTCCTTCCAGAAAGTATATAAATGTATTGCATAATCTATTCTAGAATAATCACCAACCAACCATAAATACTTTACGTTTAAGTGAAATTCAATGCATCAGGCCATATAAAATAAGGGATTCTTTCATGTCGGTTATATTCGATTAATGTAGTGAGAGTTTAAATAACATATTTGTTAATCAGTTTCACACCGTAACAGCCGATCGACCTTCATCACGACTACTGTGATGATGACTATATATTAAGATGACAAATGAGTGGTTCTGATTATATGACTACATACACAGAGTGGAGATTATTAAAGAAAACTACTTATAATCGTTTGTAATAATTAATGGGGAAAAAACAAACTAATCATTCCTTACCCTTCTGGTTGTTTCTTTGGTATACTAAACTTTCGAATTATTTCTTTAGGTTTCTCTTCAACTAAATATGAAATAAATAAAAAAGATCATTAAACTAGAAAAGTCATCTGATATAACGGATGGTTTACGATATTTTTCTTCTGTTACACTTATATTACAATGATACGTTAATATGTTAACAAGACTAATCATGCGGATCATTTATTTCAAACATACTTGGTTTATATACCAGCCAAACAAACCATGAAATAGGAAACAACATTTTTTGCAAAATCAAACCGAAACGTGACTGTGAACATGAGAGACTGTAATCAATAAACTGAACATAATTTGAAAACAGCAAATCCTATAATAATAATCTATAGGTCAAAATGAAGCTTATAAGTCCATTAATAGATCTCAGAAGTTGCTCGTAATTTAATCTTCACTAGGATACAACAAAACCAGATTAATACTACAGGACACATTACTCAATATGACTACAAGTAGTCAAACACAGTGAGTCCAGAGTAGAAATCAATAATAAGAAAGACAGTCACATATTTAACAGTCCGTAGGCTTTGGCTAATTGTCCACACTCAACGACAAATCATAATTTATTTTCACTACTATACATCACTTCAAATACTATATTTATTCTTAAGTTAATTAAATTTGCAGAAGTAATTAGTTCCATGTTATTCTTCCTTTTGTACTGAAAAACCCGACCAATAAACTCACTTGGTATTGTTTACTTGATTCTTCCAATTGACGTTTAGGACTGCAGTTGATCAGTCTCTTATTGGCATATGTTCATCCTGTGCGGATTGCCTCGATATTCCCTTAATTTACAAGCATTATAAGCAAAGATGGATAGTGGCTAGCAGTGGAATCCAGGACGCGCGTTTCGTCCTACTTGGGACTCGTCAGTCGGGCGTACTTGCATCCGAGTTGACGTTCACTCTGGGACTTAAACCCAGTACCGTTCACTTCAAACACCACCGCGTTATCTACTTAGCTACTGAGTGCTGATAGACACTTGCTTATGCAACGGGGTGAAGTTTAAATTAACTTGGTATCGTTTACTTGAATCTTCCCAATGATGCTTAGCACTGCAATTGATCAGTCTCTTATTGGCATATGTGCATAATGTGCTTATTAAAGCGAACGATATTGGGTTCGAGACCTAGAGTGAATATCAACTCTAAGATGCAGGTATATCCAGCTGATGAGTCCCAATTAGGCCAAAACATGCATCCTGGATTCATCATTGCCAAACAATAATCGGTAATGATTCGTACCCTATAATTTTGTACTACAACTTATATTAACGTGTGAAAGGTGATCAAGAAGAAGTCCTAGACTTTGGAGCTAAGTTATTTTCTAGTCATCAGTGTATGTATTATTTTAATGTGGAGTCCAGTAGTCGATTCGTTGTAGATATGATATCCTTGGATTTATAGGTAAATAATATTAATTGAATGTCCATGTAGTACAAATTTGCTTTTCGTTAAATAGTAATGTAAAACAAAATTTATATCAAAACTCATTCGCTTAATGCACATACGGTAATAAAATGACATATATTCTACAGAATCATTATGAATTTGACTTGACAACAAATCTATACTAAGAATAATTTATATTGAATACATTTACGAGTAATATATTTAAAAAGAACTACTGAATGAATATAATCCCTTCAATAAAAATCATGTAACAGTTATTTATTATCTCTCAACAAAAAAAGCTGGACCTACTTGGTGCTAAAATTTTTGTTCTTGCTGAAGCAGTTCCAGCTATATTTGCTGCTAAACACTGCCATGTACATAAATCTTCAGATTGTAAAGCTGCAAAATGAAGTGTTGTCTCTAGTTCATTTATTGAAATTTGAATACGACCATCTGATGTTCCAGTGAATAACCTAAAATATAATTATTAAATAGATTTATTTCCTTGAATTATTACTTAATAAATTTGAACATGTCTTTTATAATTGATGAACTAGTAAATGCTAATTCGGGGAAAGCTATATACATTACCTCCAAATGCTCTGGTACGACCGAGAGTCAGCCCTCCTTCTCCAAATGCTCTCACATGGCCACGTACATACAACTACTACCAGGGAACTCCTACTCACTGCCTTCTCGCAGCATTACTGTTGTTTACGAAATAGAGAGGACGAAAGGCGAATGTCCGGCGCTTTAATCGGGTTGGTGGACATGGAGAGTTCACATAGGGGAGTTGGAATACCCTGATTCCAAACCAATGATGTACATGGGCTGGCTCCAGGATCTTGAAGGAACAAATGGTGTATGAACCAATCGTTGGTCACCGGCTACCATGAGACTGCATCTCCTCACGTTGCTCCAGTGCCTTGTGGATCAGACTTTTAGGTCGAGGGCTCTGGGTGTGGCCTCCTAATAAAACCACCTGTGTTGGTTTTTTCACCCGGGTAGTATCCCAGCCCTCACACAAATCGAATGATTTATGTGGCACATATCTATATGATGCCTCCTTGTACCAATGTTTAAGTATTTAAATAATAAACAATAACGTACTTCAAGAAACAGTTTACAAAGAACCTAAGTCAGTATCTACCTAGTTATCTAATCTTTTCGTACAACAATATGAATCTAGATTTAACAGTAACACTTACTTGATTTTTTAAACTAGAGATTACCAAGGAACATTTTCTTGTGTCTGTTGGACTGAATTCAATTTGATAGGGATGTAAACTTTTCTCGAACAAACTTAATAATTACAAATCAAAGTTTGGCCACTTCTCTTGTTAAGATCATTCTGACAACAAAGGTTAATGAACTTGCTACTTCAATAGAAAGATTATACACTATTAGTTGCTGAGCAACATTATCTACTATTACATCATACAAATGATGATACCAATCTTCCCAGTTTGTTCGTCGGAGTCACTAGGATGCATAACTGTAATTACTGTTGGTTTTTCTAAATTCTGATTGCTTGATTTGGTTAAATTTGTATTTTATGATCGAGATCATTTTACATCGGTTCTAATGAACATTTCCAAAGTAAAGATAAATTTTCTATCTCCTAACATAACAAGCTTATATATTTCATCTAACCAATGTATTTAATATAAGCCAATAAACTTACTTTCCATCTTTATGCCATGATAGTACTGGTTGTGGTATTCCTTCTGCAACCGCATGCAATGTAACTTCTTCATTAAGGGGTGCTGTTAGTTGAGTAGGTGGTTTTTGTATGAACCGAGGAGCCTGTAAAGTTGTTTGTGGTTTACCTTCGACATGTATATTAAATCGAAGTTCCGCTTGACCAAATTGATTAGTAGCAATACAACTACAGACACCAGAATCAATATTAGGTATAGGTGTGTCTAGAATTAGTGAACATACGTTTGCACGCATGGGGACGATCTGAAATGGTAAGGGTTTAGAAAATGGAAAAGAAGATATAACTATTTGGTTTACAAACATTTAAAAGATATCAAGATAATTCTCCAATAAACCGATATAAGCTTGAAAATCCATGGAATATAGGTACTGACAAGACGCTTCGTTTGCGTTCATGGATTCTCGGAAAATAATCCATTTTACTGCATGTGAAGTCATGTGTACCTATCACTGAGATATGACTGGTAAAAACAAAACAGTTGTCCAAGGACTTTCAAGTAGATATTAGGTTTTGATGGAAATGAGTTTTAAAATATAACTAGTTATTTCATGTCAAAAGTACTTATAACATATGGGAGTACTTACCTTGTGCGTTTTATCCATGGTAATCGGACGACCATTAATAAACCATGATACTGTTGGGACTGGTTTCCCGATTACTTCAGCTTCTAAGCGAACAGGCTGACCTTCTTGTAGGTTTAACACACCAGGACAGGTGATTATCGGACCAGCTTCTGTCGGAGACCAAGGGAGAGGACCTCGACAGAATACTGGTGGTTGACCAGTTGGGGCAACGCTTGACAGAGGTACAACGGATAGCTACAAGAAAAAGATTGCGACACTTCTTGAATGTTAAGGTACACGTGAGGATATCACATTGCTTAAAAGAGATGAATGGATGTTTTCTAATTATCATGAAAGAAATCAATAATCATCAACAAATTTACTTACGTTAACAATACAATGATCTTCTCCAGCAGGATTTTTCGCTGATGCTACATAAATCCCAGAATCAGCTTCAGTTGGTTCTGTAATTTCCAATCCCACTTCACCATTGTCCTGATAAACAAAGTTGTTTATAATTATATTGGTCTCAATATCTCATAAAAATACATAAATAATCAATTTTAATGTCAATGTCTGTACCTCGGGTATTTTAATTACTGTCTGAAAGCAAACAACGAGTGGAATGTAGTGCTATCCTCTAACTTACGACTGGTTATTGTTTCATAAGTATTTTACATACAATGTATTTATCACTAAGATATAGGTTATTGGAAATATGTCAGTCAGTCAGTTAGTAACAACGTAGAACTTCGTACGTACGTACATCAGTATTGAAAATATGTCATTGTATTATAACAGGATTTCGATGGTAATTCATCAAATTAATTAATTGTATCAGTTAGCATTTATCAACAAGGTAAATTTGAAATTCAAACAAAATGGAATGAACACTAAAATTTCTAAATCCTATAATACCGTTTCATAGTTAATGAACTTGCTATGTCAATGGTAAGACTATACATTAGTTACTGAGCAACATTATCTACTATTACATCATACAAATGATGACACCAATCTTCCCAGTTTGTTCGTCAGAGTCACTAGGATGCGAAACTTTAGTTTTAAAAAGATAACTATTATAATCTAGAGTCTTTCAATCGTTTTACAAATAATTAGGTACAAATGAAAAGGGTTAAAATAAAATAAATATATGAAAAGATTACTATATTATTTATGCAGTAGAATATATAGAAATTATACGAATATCATCTTCTAGCTGAACTCTACGTTTACAAACTTTTACTACAAGGGATCTATAGGGATATTTCGAATTTCTTAGTTAAGATTATAGAATGATTTTAATTAAGCGACCATTAAAATCCAGGAACTATTGGACGGATGCCTTGTCCTTGTATGGAACCCCTTGGCAATGAGCACCCACAACCACTCCACCAGAGATCAGATCAAGGGCATTCGGCTTCATGCGCGAACGCTTATCTTTTAGACCGCTGGTTCAGGTATCTAACTCCTGAAGACGGGGTTGTGCATACACATTTCTGAAGAGTCTCATGCTAAGTTGATGAAGTAAAGTATGAGCCAGTAACCTACTAGTTGAACATTACCTCTTAGAAATTAGTCCAATCTGTGAAGGTTAAAATGCTGTGACTTTGGATGAGAAGTTGGTACAGAATAGTGAAAGGTTTCATGATCAAATTAGAAAAAATTTGTTATCCTGTCTGTCAATGTTATTAACAGTTATTCGCTTCCACCCTTAAGTTGAATATATCAGTAGGTGGAAATCACTAACTGTAAAGTGAATAATGCTAATGGATTGCTTTTAAATTTGATAGGCATACTGGAATTAATCAATAAACTGTTAATTAACCTGAGTACAGAATAACATTGAAGTCCATGAAAAAGAAAATAAAAGCAATTGATACTTACCAATACATGATAATGTATCCTTTCATCTGAATACAATGGTTTCCCATTTTTAAGCCATTGTACGCTTGGTTTGGGCTGACCATAAACTCTGCCATGTATATGTAATGGGGTCTTTTCATTTATTTTAAGTTCACTAGGGAATCGTTCAATGAAATTTGGTGGAATCATTTCTGGTTGTATAAATATTGTTTGTTGTTGATATGTATGCGATAAATCAGTGATATCCATTGATGGGTGACTTAATTTCAATTCATATTCAGTATGAACAACTGGCTCTGGTAGAACAGATCTGAAAATTAATTCATATATATTGAGTTTATGAATTTATCAATGATAGACCATCATTGAAAACCTGGAAGCAAAGAACGGGCGTTTCTTCCTAGTATAGGATGACTCAATGATGCGCATCCACGATCGCACACACGGGAGTTGAACTACTGGTCCGGTGTCTAACGATGTCAATATCTAACTAATTTTAACAATTTTGATCTTTTGAATAATTTTAATTAATACAATTTTTAAGGTATGCTATATTTATCAGTGGAATAATAAGAAAAATAGTAAAACACTTTGGAGGTCTAGTCAGCACCTACAGATAAGTCGTTAATTTTTAAGTAAACACATTTTTAAGATGATTCAGCTGAAGATAAGTAAGCTGAGACTGGTTTTTTAATCAAAGCTTAAAGAAAAAATGACCTAATAAAATCCTGAGTAAAATTGATTGTGTGACAAAAATTATGAATATCAACTATCTCTGAATCATAATTAGGGGAAAGAACTGTACCAAGTAGTTAGATTCAGTATGGGGTTGTGGAGATTATCAGGTTTTTAATTGAGATCATAAACCGAATGATGTTAGTTCAACATTGAAAATCTGAGAGCATTAGACGGCCATTTCGTCCTATTGTGGGACTCCTCGCCAGCGCACATCCACGATCCCGCTCACGCGTTTCGAACCCAGGGCTTTCAGTCTCGCACGCGAACGCTTAATTCCTAGACCATTGGGCCGACATCCGACAGTGTTAATGTCTAACCTCAACCTATCCACGTAATTTCGCGACTGTTTTCCATTGTACTGAGGTAGACACCTGTCTCTACTTGACACGGGTTAGACTCCACTGGTCACAGCTTCTCACTAGGACTCCGAGAATTCCCTCATGAAGCTAGTCACTAGTAAGCACATGGTAATTATCAGTATGGGGTTGTGGAGATTATTAGGTCTTTGATTGAGTGATTTTAAAAAAAATCGTTATAAAACCTCCTGTGGTTACCAATGATGAAATACACCTTAACAAAGATGTAAATGAATTGTTCAGTGAATAGGTAACTCAGATATTTTAAGCGGAACCTACTGATTGATCTAATTGCTTTTTCATTTCTCATAGTTTTTTTATTCAATGAAGAGATCGAAATAAATGCATAATATAAAATTTGATGTGTTTAAAACTCTCATAAAAACTCACATAGGTTCTTCACAAATTATTTGAAGACATTTTGAACATGAACCAGCTGGATTTGTAGCTGTCACTAACCATTCTCCTTGATCATCTGGTTGAATTTGTTGAACAATTAATCTTGTAATCCCTGTATTTGGTATATTTTGAATGAATTGATTCGGATTACTATATACAATCATGCCATTATGATACCAATTCAATGAATTCAATGGTAATCCTTTAACTTCTACTTCTAATATCAATTCTTGATCAAGTTGAACTCTTATTGGAGATTCTGGGAATTTAATAAACTCCGGTGGTTGAACAGTTGGCTTTTTTGTATCGCTTATAGCTAGTTTTAAACAAAATTAAATCATTACTAAGCATAAATCTATATAGCAAAGAAGATTGTAATAAACTTATACACTTTTTTCATTAAATAAGTAACAAAATAAGTAGCTATTCTGTTAAAAACAAATCGGGCTTAAGATCGACAGAACAGACTGTCAATTATATGTAAAGATATTCAAGTAGATCATATCTATCTGAAGCTTGTTCTGACTGTACTGTTCAGAAGGACTCGAAAAGCTTTACGAGTAGACAAACCATCTTGGTCAGTCAGTCAGTCAGCTCCAACGTAGGACCAGGAACGTATGTGTATCGTTCCAAATTACCATACCTCATTAGCACGACAAGATGAACAACAAATTCATAGTAGTTCATTCAGTGGTGGTATTGTATAGAAGAAAAATTGCATATAAGAATATAGTACATGAAGGAAGAATCAGTTCATAGGAAGAAAGATATGAAGCAATTCTAAACTCATAGTTTAAGGGAAGACAGAGAGTGTATACACCTATGCCATTGTGATCGATTCTGAGCCATGTCCCCAGGAGTCTCTAACTAATGGTTCCGATAGTCACGCGGACCCCAACCAAGTAGTTTACATCAGCCAACATGGCTCAGACTAGAAGTTAATGGCTTGAAGCACTGATGCCACGTTTTGGTTTGGCCACGCCTAACTTTCTTCCAACCATCCCCAACACTAGTGAGCATTGCACGTCGTGGTAATCGGTGTTCAGGCATACGCAACACGTAGCCCAACCATCACAGTCGACGAAGATTCACAACCTCACCAACTGATTTACCATCATCCATCTTAGTAGATGAAATTCCACCAAAATCCATAAAAATAAATCTGTTGTGTCTTTCCAAAAACGTTAAACACCTTTCTGAAGAAACTCATCCTGACCATTATTTTAGTGAAAACTATTCCAATCAAACTATTTGAAATCATTTGAATTTTTACTTTCCTTCAATTAAACACACTAGTAGTATGTTAACAGTTATTTTCTAAACCTTAATTAATCATAGGACGTAGAAAAAGAGGTAATGGTTTGTTATTCGACTAAACTGAAGCTCATACATTGAATGAGCAGTGGAATATATAAATGATTACTTGGATTCTTATAATTAATATTAAAAACAAAGCTTCTTGTCACTTTTGTTAGTTTTAATTCATAATGATCTTTGAAAAATTTGGCTGACAGATTAACAATTCACAAAGTGTAAAAATTTAAATGTGGGAACTTAATGATTTACTTTTCGTTATAACGCTTATATTAGACATAACTTCTGCTTGACCCGCTATATTTTCTGCTATACATGTGTAAAGACCAGAATCTTCTGAGAATAGTTCATTCATAATTAAATGTCCTGTCATTATTACTGGATGAGGCTGTAATTCATTCACATCAGACACTGGTGGTCCAACCTGAGTTTGTTGATGATCTGGACTATCAACTAAAGGTTGTCCATTTAGGTACCATTTAATGAATGGTATTGGATTGCCACAAGCTTCAGCTGTTAAAATTAATCGTTCACCTTCATATAATTCTATTTCTGGACTGAAGGTCTAATATGAAAAAGATGTATGTTAGAAAAGACAATAATTAGTGTAAATGTCATGGTAATATACGAGATAAATTAAGATAACATTGAGTTTAATTACAGTTTTTTTCTAGATATTCAACATGATTTCTTGAAGAATTCATTAAAGTACGTCAAAAGTTCTAATAAGATTAAAATTAATGTTTGATACAAATGCACTTTAGGTGTTTACTTCTAGCTGAAATTCATCTTAGTTTCTCACATATGAAATAATTATTATTATCAGCTTTATTCAATATTATATTTTTGGTACGATATAGAATTCTCAGCGCAAAGTATTTCAACAAGTTTCCGTTTCTTTCTTCTTGGTTGGTCCTCGCGATAAATAGTGAGTGATCGCCAGTTAGATGTTAGCAATCCAGTAAATGAACATCTTAATAATGTACATTCTTTTCGTTGTATATTGCCAGCAACCACATTGTCTCTTATTGAGTTTTCTGTAACTTTGACAACAAAAGGTTGTACACTTTTCAGAAACGCAGCAGAATAGGTTGTGCGATTAATAAACATAATTATATATTAAAAGAAAGAAAAATAGATAACTTGTTGAAATATCTAGATGGCAGGAACAGGTAGCCCAGATGCTCAAGCAGGCCGCACTTTTCTACGTGATGGAAATGGGTTTACACGTTTTATTTGAACACAATGAGTGTTCTGTCACGTTACATTAGTCTGAGAAACGTTAATTGAACAAAATTAAAGCAGCAATGACTATGATCGAAGTGAAAAAATAGCTAAGTTTTGGTGTAAGTTTGATGACAATTTCATATCTTCATGTTAGCCGTGTTAAAATCATCTTGCATTCGGAAATGTATTAACATCCTGTGATTTCAGAGTGCACAAGAAACATGTATAATCAGATGCTAGTGAAATAAACTTGTCTGTTAACTTCATAGGTCATAATAAACAATCATCAAGTAATACGAAGAGAATTACTGCTCATTAAGTCATATTGACTGAATTAAGAGTAAGATTGCCTAAACCTTAGGGTTGTTCGAGAGTGGGATTCATTAGCCTATCAACTAATATACTAGACTTCACGATAATCAATATGTCGATCTATTCATCAAAAGGTTTTTCGACCAAGACAAAATTTACCTTGGAATGTAGTAAAACAGTAAATATCCCCATTCATTTAATAATATTGTGTATGGGTAATCACAAATTCCAATCGATTACTGATTTATATTATGAATGGATTAATCTTGATAGTGAAACTAAGTTTTTTTTCTGTAATAAAAATATGAATTAGGGTTAAGCAAAAAATATCCAGAATTTAACTCATTCAGTGAAGTAAATTGGACAAGTTTTATCAATTGCAGTACGGCAAGTGTCAGTAAAATATATGCATCTCAATACATAATAAATAAAAATAACCATTTTCACTTCAGTCACAACTGAAGTGAATCACAAATATCTGATCAATAAACAAATATTCATAATTGACGTACTTTTGTGAAATATGGCTTCTCTGGGTACGGTCGAGGTTCTGGAGATGGTATTTGAACTTGTTTTAGACCTTCTACTTGCACTGTCAACTGGCTTAGACATAACTTATCTAATTCACGAGGATAAGGTCTTTCTGGTTCTGTAAAAGAATTAGAAATAAAAGAGTTTAAGTTTTTAAAAAAGGGACAATTGTCTTTAAGTTATAACCATAGACCCTTGAACGATATTTGGTGTGTTGGGTTATTCATGTTTTGGATATTTCAAGGTATGCATGATATTGGTGTACTAGTTGACTTAATGCAATACATACCATTATAGACTTGTCATCTATACTAAACCCAATGATTAGAAGTTAAACTTATTCAAATTATTGATGACTATTTAAATAAAATCGTTAGTTTAGCAGTGTACAATATAAAAATCGATATTGAAAAATGTATTAAATCAATTATTTCTGTAGTGCATACTACTTATGCTGACAGATACAAGTAGTATGTAGCACCAAATGGAAGTTCAATGCCTGGTGGCAGAAGATTGCTACCTTGAGGTGGTGGTCGGGCTTGCTTATCATGACGAAGCAACCGAGCTATACTGGCTGGAACAAACGTCCCTCAAGGTCCTACCATGTCAGACAGGCCGGTTGAAGGGCGGTACGAATAAAAGCAACAAACCTTAAGGTCCGAAGGCGAAGTCGTACTGCTGACTGTACAGAGGTGTGGAGGCAGTAAGGTGTTTCCTTCAGACAACCAGCATGACAGCGATGCTGCCTTCCCACAAGGAGGGGTGGGGTTAGAAACGGTCGACCCTAAAAATGCACACCTCGCCTTATCCCACGGATATCCGTCTCCGGCGGTAAGGTTTCAACAAGTACGGAGCTAACACAAAAATTACCCATAAAAAGGTCTTGTGTGACCGACCTAGAGCAGTTATCCCTTGGGCACTGCGGTCACGCTCTCAGGTCACTAAGACCACCTCTAATCCAATTTCCTTTTCAGGCACCTCCAGAAGAACCCTTCCACGGTGTGGGCAACCGAAAAGTGATAACCGCCCTCATACCTATAACAGCACTCAAGACCACATATGAGAGTAATCCAAATTACAACAGAACTAGAGGAATAATGGAGTATGTAAAAGACAGAGCAAATAAGAATTTCAAAGAATGTATTTAATGTATGATTTTCATAATTTACTAAGCCGCTATGTGACAGCTATTTTATAAAGTACAATATTACTTAAGAGCATATAGATGAGATGCAAATTATCATCATTTCAACATCATATTATTTACTTAATTTTTATTCATATTATTACAGAACAACTTACCTAAAACAGTTAACAAACCAGAAGAAATACATTTTCCAGCTGGATTCTCAGCAATTACAGCATAACGACCAGAGTTTTCAAAGAATGCTTCAGGTATATTGAGTGCATAAATACCATTACCTTCACATTCAAGTATATAGTTTGAAGAACTTGTAATTTCATGACCATCACGAGTCCTGAAATATTTAAAAGAAATAATTTTGTAAATAATGTATTATGTGACATATGGATCTGATCATTCTGTTCATCGAGAGGGTACAGCATACAACTAAATGATATATTTTTATTAAATTTTCCAGCAAATTATTTCTCATTAATCAGATTATACCTCTTCTTTGTAACCAGAGATTCGAACCCAGGACATACTAGTCTTGTGTGCGAACGCTTAACCTCTACATCACTGAGCCAGCCGGTGTACAACGGTGTTAATGTTTAATTTTAACCAATTCACGAAATTGAGTAACAGATCTACCAGTGTCATCGATGAGTTACTATCTTACGACAGACCCGGTCGAACTCCACTCGTCACTGCTTCTCACTAGAACTCCAGGAAATACTTATTGAAGCCAGTCACTACTGAGCATATGTTGATTAATATCAGAAGGGGTTTTTGTGGATATTGTAATAATTTCAATAGTTGAGATCATGCGTCAATTGAAGCTGATGACGAGCACTGCTGAGGAGTCACACAATAGAATGAAACGGCTGTCCAGTGCTTCCAGGTTTTCCATGATAGTCCAGCTTCAATTGACTTATGATCTCAACCACTGAAATTACTACAATATCCACAAAAATCCCTTCTGATATTTCATTATTGTTCATTTATAATGAAAATTTGATTAATTTAGAAACGTTTTACCCGGAAATTTCATAGACCAAATTATTTTTGAAAAAACTAAACATTGTTATTGAATTAAATAAATGAAATTCAACTTATTAATCACTTATAAAATCCAATTAATGTAATCATTATTGTTGTATCCAATTTATATTTGATATAAAAAATTAGGTTAAAACTGTTTTCCAGTCAGTGAGAAAAAATGTCGACGTCTGGGAGGGAAGCATGGGATACAGTGGACATCCAGGATGCAGCTGGACGACATAGACTTCGCACATGATCTAGATCTTCTATCGCACACGCAACAACAAATGTAGGATAAGACGACCAATGCAGCAGCAGCCTCAGCAGCAGTAGGTCTCAACACACACAAAGGGAAAAGAAAGATTCTCCGATACAACACAACATGCACCAATCGAATCACGCTTGACGGAGAAGCTTTGGAAGATGTAAAAATCTTTACATATCTGAGCAGCATCATTGATAAACACGGTGGATCTGATGTGGATATGAAGGTGCGGATCGGCAAAGCGAGAGCAGCATATTTACAATTGAAGAACATCTGGAACTCAAAACAACTATCAACCAACATCATGACCAGAATTTTCAGCACAAATGTCAAGGGAGTTCTACCGTATGGAGCGGAAACATGGAGAACTATGGAAGCCATCATCCAGGAGATACAAGTGTTTATTAACAGCTGTCTACGCCAAATACTTCAGATCTGTTGTTCAGACACTATCAGCAACAACATACTGTGGGAGAGGACAAACCAGATTCCAGCGGAGGGAGAAATCAGGAAGGAACGCTGGAAGTGAATAGGACACACATTGAAGAATTCACCCATCTACGCCACAAGGCGAGCCCACACATGGAATCCTCAAGGCCAAAGGAAAAGTGGATGACTAACGAACAGATTACGCCGAGAAACGCAGACAGACATGAAAAGAATGAACACGAATTGAATAGAACTATAAAGGGAGGCTCAGAACAGAGTGGGTTGGAGAATTCTGGTCGGTGGCCTGTGCTTCATTGGGATTAACAGGCGTAAGTAAGTAAGAGAAAAAAGTACATCTCAAATGAAAATGAACAATTATTTAACGAAATAACCAAAATAATTACCATGGACATTTTAAATAATGTAAATAATCTTACCATGTAACTGTTGGTGGTGGATGTCCATCTACTTTAACAATTAATCGAACTGATTCTCTTTCATATATTATTTGATTTTCAAGTCCTTTAATAAATCTTGGTGTCATTAAACGACCACGTACTATTAAATTTGCAGTACTTTGTGCACGACCTGCAATATTTTCAGCTTCACAAGTATATTCACCTGCATCGTCAGGAAATGCCTTTAATTTTTAAGAAAAAAAATTGAAACATAATATCTGTGTAGGGTTGTGGAGATTGTTAAGTTTTTGATTGACATTATGAATCGATAAATGTTAGACCACCATTGAAAACCTGGACGTGCTGGATGGCTGTTTCGTCCTAGTATGGGATGATTCGGCAGTGCGCATCCTTCATAATTCTTCTAATTCTGTTTTTAATTCTATTCCTTCTTTTTTCCTTTTCGGTTCTTTTTTGTTCAATCTTCTCAATCCTGTTTTTGACAGACATTCCACTTCTGATTGGTGTTACATGCTATTTATATTCACCAGCATAAGTAGCATACACCACAACACTACTTGTTGATACAGAATGGACGGAGTGTGACTAAAAGTGAAATCCAGGGTGTCCGTTGATGTTTACTCCAGGACTCGAACCCAGTGCCGTGCCAATTTGCTACTGAGTTTAACTAACCATCCACTTGTACAATATTTGTGAAAATTAATTCAGTTTGAAATGGTTTTGATTATTCCGTTATTAATATCTTTGACTGAAATTTGATCAGTTTTGGTTGACATAGGTACATCCTTTGCAGATTAGTTCGATATAGTCATTATAACACAAGTCAGCATAATCCAAATTGAATTAGTGCTACTTGGTTATTATTGATTGTCTAAAGTCAGTCAGTTAAATAGACGATGATATTCAACACTCTTCACAAACCAAAGTACCATTTGGATTTTTTATTCATATAAAATCTTTTAGCATAGAAATATTTACTTAGAACTTTCGAAATGTTTGATTACTTTGTTTAAAATGTTGAACTCAATCAATTAATTGAATATTATGTAACATATTTAAAAAACTAAAAAAAAAATTCATTAATTACAATTAACTTATTTTTGATAATAATGAAAAATAACTTACTTCACTGAGTGTTAATCGTACACGATTATTTGTATAATCTAAACGGAAATCAGGACCATCAGATAATTGACGTCCGGAACGATACCATGATATTTTGGGTTGTGGTGTTCCATTTACAAGACCTTCTATCACAACACATGCTCCTTCATCAGCTACAACATTTGCTAGAGGTTTTACAAATTCTGGTGGAATAGGTACTTCAACAATTACGTCTACTGGACGGTACTGGAAGAGTACGAATGATAAACAATAAAATAATATTCAGTTGATCCGTATAGAAGAAGAATATTTTTATTTAATAAATATGAGAACATTAAGGAATGAATGTAAAATCAAGATGGAGAAAATATTTTTCAAGAGCTAGTGAGTTAAAAAGTAGAGGAGCTTCTTAACTATTTTTTCAAAACGGTACATGTATTCGATTTTTTAGAGAATTAAGTTTAAAAAAAACATATTGATGATTGTATTGCGGTTCATTATGATTCTAGTAGCATTTTATTTGGGTTCAGGATTGGACAAACAATGATAACGTGTTCGCACTCAACAGTAACTAGCTTCAAGATGCAACTCCTAAAGTCTGAGCGAGAAGCTGTAACCAGTAGAGTCTAACTATGTCAGGTGTGAGACAGTTTTCTGCCACAGGCAATAGATAAGGGTTACGCAATACCTCGAATTGATTGAAGTTAGACACTAAAATGGTTAGATGCCGGCTCAGTGGTTCATAGTATAAGGGTTCATGTGCGAGGCCGGTCATGGGTCCGATTGCCACATGTGAGATCGTGGATTTGAGTTACTGAGGGGTCTCATCCCGGGACAAACATATGTCCACAAACCCTTATTCTGATTAAAAAATCTGTGTTTTTAATTATAGATTTAGATGAGTTGTAAGCTCTGGTTTTCAGTCATCAGGTGTTACTACAAAAGTAGACTTTCTAAATTATTCAATTTAAATAAATCCGATAAACAATTTCTCCAAAATGAGTAAGTTAAATTAGTGTGTGAAAGCTGTAGAAAGTGATGAGTATTTAACAGAAAAGTGTTCTGGGTCAAAAAGGGAAAAACTATTAGTTTCCAGTCACGTGGTATGGCATAATCAAAAGGATTGGTTGAAATCACTAAACTATTTAATACTGAATTCCAACCATATTATTTTATTTTAAGGTACTCATTGAAACTTTAAATATACCAGTCCAGTTTAAACACAATTAAGCAGAAGGATATGACAACCGTTTATCACTTCTTAGTTGATATTAGTTTTTTTCAGACTGTTATTTGTGATGACCAACTAGTCTTTATTAACAGTTAAATTCATCAGTCGATCTTAGCTACACCACTGGAAGTTATGGACGACCGTTTAGTCTAGTATGGGACTCCTCAGTGGTACGCATCCGCGACTGTCTCCACCCAAAAATTGATGATGGGCTGATCTATTGAAGTTAGACATTAATACCATTGGATATTCGCTCAGTGGTCTACAGGTTAAGTGTTCACTCACGAGACTGAAGGTCTTGAGCTCGAGTTGCGTGTGATGGATCGTAGATGCGCACCGTTGAGGAGTCCCACACTAGGACGAAACGGCAGTTCAGTACCTCCAGATTCTCAATAGTATTCTAGATCAGATTAACTCATGAATTCAACTATAAAAGCTACTACGATGTCCACAAATCCTCATTTTGATAGTTTTCATTAATTTGAATATTATTTTTGACTGTTAAACATCTATACTTCAAGTAGTCGCTCTCTACGCACACATAATAACATCAGAACATTTTTAGGGATATTTAACCTACTCTAGCGTAGAAATCAGTAATCAATTGACTTTTATGATGTTCAATCTGTGGTACAACTGGAACGACATTCATATTTGTTTCATGTTCAAAAGTCGACTCAAATATTGATGTTAAAGATGGTCTACTTGGTAGATGAGTTGAAATAGCAGTTTCATACTATTAAAATAAAAGAGATAGACAATATAATAGGAATTTTCTCAAAACATATCGATTGTATATTATCAATTTGTAAAGCTGGAATAAATATTATGCAGAAATATTATGTGTAAAAGGGACACATGATGTGTAAACTACTGTTCATAGTACATTTTTTAATTAACTAACTGAGTATTGCTTCATTTTCTATCAATAACGATAGTAAAAAAAGAACAGAAACGCCAAATATTTACCCTAGATAAGAGTAGAAGAAGTGAGACTGATACGACGGGGAAAAATAGGCAAAATCGTACTTATTGTGGCTTTTGTTCTACATTACGTCCGTTTTTTTAATTCAACGCGATAATTACTCAATGCTTTAAGTCACAAGCATTCTAAGTAACGATGGATACTGACTAATAGTGTAATTCAGGACCCACGTTTCATCCTAATTGGGACTCGTTATTTGGATGTACTTGCATTCCAGAATTGATGTTCACTCCAGTCTTTGTGTTCTTTCTTCGCTTCATATGTATTGGAGTGGTTCCTCGTTTGTTTCTTCAATTATAATTAATAAGCGATATAACAAGGACATAATAAGAACCATCCCACATCTCAAAACAATGTCAATATTCTATCGAACTAACGATAACGAAAATAACTTAGGAGAATGAATCTAGATTTTCTGAATAGAACAATTTCATCATTATGGAAATACTGACCAGATTACACTATTTTATACAACCTCAGTAAAATGACAGTTACCTTATTTAATTTTATGAATGAAATACTGTATGTCATTCCAGTTTAAAAAATCTTTGTAAATTAGTCTTTATGAAAATAGAACTTGGCACAAACGTTCTTATTAAATCATAATTTATATTTTTTCCCTTTCATCAACTAGATGTTCTTGTTTTATTCATTTCACTTCTCAAAACATATTTGATAACTTGATCATGTTCCTGTATCAGATAATGTTACATATCCTAATGAATTACGATAAATCCCATATGAACTAGTGTACGAATTACTATCATGATTGTTTTCATCTAATTCTCTAAATAAACTTCTTTAAAAACGAATAGAATATCAGGAACAACTATTGGGTTAAAACGATTTAATGAAGTCCAATTTATGGACGAACCAATCAGATATAAAATAATGAGTCATGACTCGAAATTTATCCATACATTTGGCTAAAGAGAGTTTTGACATTATAGCTGATGTTAATTGGTGATGAAAACCCTAAAACTCATTTTTAACCCTAACCATCAGCTGTAAATGAGAATTTTAACTGCTTTATAACCCTCATTTATTCTTAATCAGTAGGTGTCCAGCCTCAAGGTCACTTCAGTGTCGCTCAAAGGTCGTTCATAAATTATAGTTTCACTGCTTCATGTGATCTTTTTCCGAAGATTTGTGATGAAATATTAGAATTCTGTAAGTAAATATGGAGATCAGACAATTAGTTGAGTTTCTTTTTCTTATATGAGAGATAACTAAACCTTTTATACAATTATTCGCTACATTTTAATTGTGTCGGGTTACAAAGTATACTGATACAAACTTGCAATGTAATCCATATCATAATAATTTTGACCAAGATTAACTCTGTAACTGATATATATTATTCCTAGTGTTAAACATCAGTATCTTACTTGTTTTAATTGAGTTTCCATAAGATAGGTTTTTTCATAATGTAATCGACTTTCATAACCACTGATCACTTCAGTCTTTGCTGATAAATCTGTTGACAGTTGTGTTTTGTATTCAGGCACTAGCGGTATCAGTTCCATTTGATGCTCATGTTCACCTTCTGATGTATAACCTTCCTCTAAATGTGGATGGCTAGCAACTTTTGTATCTAATTCAGTACGATATTCTGGAACTATTGGTGTGACTTCAAGTTTGATAGGATGTTTAGTTTCAACAGCATATCCAGGCATCAATTCTGGTTTAGAGGATACGTCAGTGTTCAGTTCAGTTTTATATGAAGTAGTCATGGGAATAATATCCAATTTATGTTCATGTTCTTCTTCTGATGAATAACCAGCTTCAAGTATTGGATGACTTGCTATTTTTCGTTCCATTTTTGTATGATATTCCGGTACCATTGGAGTAATTTCAAATGATCGAATATGTTCAGTTTCTGTAGTATAGCCTGGTGTCAGCTCTGGTTTACTATAAATATCAGTTGTTAATTCAGTTTTATAATCAGTATGAGGTACAATAGGTACAACATTCATTTCATATTCACGTTCTTCTTCAGCTGCATAACCTTTTTCTAATATTGGCCTAGCTGGTAAATTATGTTCTAATGATGTTTGATATTCACGTCTCATTGGTGTAATATGTAATGTACGTTTATGCTCTTTTACTGAACTATAACCAGACATGATATATGGTCTACTTACTAGATTTCTTTCCATACGTGTTTTATAATGACGTACCATTGGTACGACGGACATACTATGTTCATGTTCTTCTTCTGATGAATAACCTGGTGAAAGACGTGGTTGACTAGCAACACGTCGTGAATAACGTGTTTCAATATTTGGTACAATTGGTGTAATTTGTTTTTTATATAAATGTTGTGTACTACTATAATGTTTTACTTGGCCTTGTAATTTTAATTGACTATCAATAGGTCGTATTATCTAAAGAATTAAAAATGAAAGTAATATTAGTTAAGGAACTATGACATAAAGATTATTAACCTTACATGTTGTTCACTATAGAATTATTGTTTCTCTTAGTGTTGTGTTTTGTAGTTTCTTTCTTGGGAAGATCTCCAGGTAATGAGGTAAAATAAATTAATTTGGAAGGTGTCCATCTACCTAAGAACATTGTAGTTTTTTGTTGTTTAGAAATGATATATTAACTTTTATATCCTAAATTCACTAATGCTTCAAACCTTGGATTGTTTGTTATAAAACAGAGAATATTTCCTTGTTTATAGTTATCTATTACACACTAGTGCAGGAAGTCGAAATTCTCAGATTCGATCTCGAAAACTGGCTAAACTACGTATTCAGTTAAGAAAATCCGAAAAGAATTGAAGGACTCACCTACTACTGTATAAATTAACTGATATAATCATATTGAACAGGTTTCCATTTTAGCTTAAACGACGATTGTTGTATGTATGATAATGATGTTCACTTAATAATGTCCACAACTCCATACTAATAATTACCATGTGCTCACTAGTGACTAGCTTCATGGGGGAATTCTCGGAGTTCTAGTGAAAAGCCGTGACCAGTGGAGTTTAATCCATTTTGAGTAGAAACAGGTATCTACTTCAGTACAATGTTCTCTCAATTTCGAGGATTGATTGGGGTTAGACATTAACACCGTTGAATCCGGCTCAGTGGTCTGGAGGTTAAGCGTTCGTACTTTAGACTGAAGGCCATGAGTTCGAATCCCTCCGGCGGGGTCGTAGATGTGAACTGGTGAGGTGTCTCACAATAGGACGAAATGGTCGTCTAATGCTTCCAGCTTTTCAATGTTGATCTAACACCAATCGGTTTATGATCTCAATAAAAAATTTAATAATATCCACAACCCCATATTGATAATATTCACTTCGTTCAATATATGTTTAGTATAATATAGAGTTCTCTAAGGTCTACTGTATTAACATCGTAGATGTTGGTTTAGTACTGACATGCATATTACGTAAACCAATACAGTGATAAAGTACAGATACTAATTCACAAGAAGCTTTGTATAAAATATCATTTGGTGACAAATAAAAGTTTCTAAGCTCCATAAAGACTTATTCACCTTAATGGGTACTAAACACATTCAAACTGCTATAATGCATTTCAATGCTCATAATACTTATCCTCAATAGAGTTCTGATGTCATCCTACAGTATAAACAATAGTAAAACTATATATTTGGATTCCGTCACATTGTTTCATTTTCAGAATAATATCCGATTTGTCAAAACACATGAGAACCATCAGATAGTAGTCAATATTAATCAGTTAAACATTAAAATCTAAAAGAAATAAGGCTAAAATAGTTCCCTAGACTATTACTGTATCGTTTAAGTTCACTTAATTAATTGACAACTGAAATGTGATCAACTTATATATTGATATCAAAAAGTGATCTGAGCAAAATGAAATGAATTTAACAATGTTTAATTTACATTTATCAGTATAGGGTTGTGAAGATTGTTGAGTTTTGATTGAGATCATGAATGGATCCATGTTAGACCAATTATTATGTTACTGGAATCATAGAGTTAGGAATTTATGCATACTAAGAAATTTCAACGTACAAAGAGGTATTTAACATATTTAACTACTAATTTTAAACTATCTCTAAACAATTTATTTTACCTCTGTTCGACTTAATGATTGTTCTTTGCGTGGTAATGTAAAGGTGAGTTGAATTGGTGGTGTTGGCTGTCTTGGTCTTATTTGTAAATGATGTCTTGTCAAATAGTATTGTGATGGTGGAGCTGATGTTTCTCTTTGAAATCGTACTGGTGATAAAGGTAATTGAACTGTAGCAAATGATTGTGGTGAAATGATTGGAGCAGTACTTGCTGGTGATGGAGGTAATGATGTATCACGTGGACATATTTGTCGTGTAACTGTATGCCTTGTTAAACTCATCGTAGATGGAGGTCTTTTAATTAATGTTTGACTATAACCAATAGGACTTATAAATGCTGAACAAGTAACTCTTCCATGGAGATTTTCAGCTATAGCTTGATAACGACCTATTGATCAATAAAGTATTTTAGGAAAATAACTTTAAAATTAATAGAAACAAAAGAAGAAGAATATGATTGAGCGACTAATTTAAGTCAGCATACTATTTTATGTTCTACTTTCCTTACTTGGCAACTGTCAACCTCGCTACACTTATTATGGAATCTGGGTGTAGGAACTGACATTTACATAACATGTAATAACTTTTCTTTATAAAAACTTTGGATATTATCTATCTAATTGAGCACAAATTATGAATGATAAATAGTAAACTATCTTCACTATTCAAGTAATTCATGATTTTATTATGCCCAAAATTTCCGAATCACAGTGACTCCTTACATAATGTTTAGTTTATTTCGATTTCTTCAAGATGAAAAGTTATTGGGGAACTTCTAACAGTTTGGCTTAGAAGTTTCGATTACTTACCTAACACAGTACTTTTTATTCTTAATTGAACTTAATGAAATAACTAACCAAGAATCTCATAAAATATTTAATAGGAAATGAGTACTTTTTAGAGAAAGCAAGTAGCATAATATTTTGGTTCATATAATTACCTTCGTACTTTATGTATTACACATTGTGTTAGTTTTTTTCCTCAGAATACAATATCTTAACTCATATTTTAATGATGTTCATATAAGCTTATAAGTGAAGAATTTGACAACGCCTTTTAGTGAAATGCAGGATGAAGGCTTCGCGATAATGAAGTAGATACATTTATATCTTACTTTATGAATCCCAAAATTCAGTGAACTTAGATTACAACTATTCGATGACGATAACAGAAACAAGTAACTTATTCTCTAAACTTTATTTTTATCAATGCAGAACTAAATTAGAATACAATATTGTTCATGAGATGATCATATTAGGTTTCATTGGCCTTTGAAAAGTATATGGTATTGACATAATAGTATTAAAAATTCCACCAACTAAAAATTTAATTTCAGAAAAGTCTTGGCATGAAAGCTATCTTGCATTTAGAAGTGTGAGATTAGAATTTATAAACGAACCAATCAAATTTAGGATAACACGTCTTGGATTTTGGCGCGAAATTCATTCATCCATTTGTCTAAATAGTGCTTTGGCATTTCGTGGTGAAAAATCATAAATCTAATCCCTAGCCCAATCCATTAATTGTTCATCATAATCCTTCTTCAAACTGCTTTATAAACCTCATTTAACCCTAGTATGTAGGTGGACATTCTCATGGTCATTTTAATGTTACTCAAAGGTCGTCCATAAATTATAGTCTCATCTTTTTTAGATTTAACTCCATTAAGAGCATTACTGTTAATAAAATAAGTCAGAATATGTATATTTCCTGTAACACTTTTCATAAAACTTATTTCTAGTGAACTTTTATAAGAAACTAAAAGTATTTCGATATATTTGATATCTGGTAGATAAAAATGATTATTTCATACGGTTAGTCTGATAAATCACCTTTCACTAAGTTAAGACAAATCAATCTAATACTTATTATTAGGTAAATCTAACAGAAAATGTTCACTATTAAAGCTAGGCTCTAAATCTTCATTTGATGGATTGGGTACTTCAGCGATTTCGTCTATATTTATCTTGATTTATCAAGTAACTATGTCATTCTATCTTAGTTGGATTAACTAGCAACCTATGGCGAATAAACAGTAAAAGTATACTAGTATTTTAGAAATACGTTTATATATGACTGAAATCCATTAAGAATGACCACACTTTAAACCGAGATAAAATCATAGTTTTATAGAAATAGAAAAGAAAAAAACCTTTATAATAAATAATAATTAGAATGTAGAATTACCTGCTGATTCTGGTCCTGGTCGTCGGATAATTAAACAATGATCATTTGGACCAGGTCCTTGACCAATAGTATAACGTTGGTCATCTGGTCTGATAATTATTCCATTATGTGTCCAATACACTATTGGTGTTGGAACACCAACTACTGAACATTCAAGTACCACTTCTTCTAAACGTTCTGATTCAATATAAACATCTCTGTAAGTATTTGAAACAAATAAAGGATATAATGTATGAATAAAAATAGATAAATTTATTAATTATCAACTTTTTTCCATTAAATATTTATATAATTTAATATTTGAATCCATGAGTCGATTTAAACTAGTTCATCAATGGAAACCTGAAAGCATTGCACGACCCTTTTGTCCCAGTATGAGACTCGTCAGCAGTACGCATACATGATCCTGCACAAGAAACTTGAACCCAGGACCTTTGGTCTCTCAAGCAAACACTTAAGGTTTAGACGACTGAGCTAGCATCAAATGGTTTTCTATGTTGGTCTAGCTTAAATCGACTCATGAATTGAACTATTAAATTAATACAATCTCCACAAACCCCCCATACTGATAAAATATTTATGTATCAAACTTACTTAAATATTCGCGTAAATTCCGGTGAACTTCCACTCATCACTGGTGAAATTGTTGGCAATAAATCAATAGATGTTCGTATAGATGGAAGTATTTCCATATATACAGTAGTAGAACAACTACCTAATGGATTTGTTGCTACAGCTTCATATAGACCAGTTTTATCTTTTTCAACTTTCGGTATATAAAGACGTGCAAAACCAGAATCTTGAAATGTCTAAAAGTTAATACATGAATACTTTTAGAATAAAATAAATCAATCTGTTAATTAACCAATAAAACAATGATAATAACTGAGATGATGGAGAAGATTTGTAGCTCAGGTAGAAGTTTTTGCTGATGATGTCGTTCAGAAGAACGGTGAAAGCTCCACGAGCAAACCATCCAGTTAAGAGAACAAAACTTCATCAAAAAAATAATTATAGCTATTTGTATATACGTGGATAAGAATTATCGATAAGTGGCGTTATAACATCATTCTAATCATCTTGTTCAGTACATTGGATACAAAGTTTCAAGTCTATGTTTACAACTTAATATGCATATATATGATTCATTATATAAGAACTTTTGTCTAAATTTGATTGAATAGGTTCACAGCATTTGGACACCGAGTTGTTGTGACACATTAAGCAGGAAGAATGTATTTGTAAAATCTCAGTGAATGAATTTGAAGTAAATCTAACATTTGGCCTGTCAATCTGGTTCAAGCCTTCTTCTCACTCAACCTCTGTATACACTTAATCTGTTATCTGAACACGCTTTTGTTTCACATTATATATCTCTTATACGCTAAAGCAAATAACTACTTTAAACATTTTTAACGTTGATTGGATGATCTATTCAGTATACAGTGAACGGGAGGACCATGTACCTATTTATAATGAGTAATTTTGATGATTGATTATAATTTCTTGAAATAACTTGGGTCAGGTTGCCAGGCGAAACGTTAGATTTTCCAACTACATATGATTGATTCGTTAATAATATTTTACACAGATTATTTACATTTGTAGTGAATTTGAGTAATGACAATGAGTATGATATCTTCTAGTCAGATATATTATTTAGTTACAGTATATTGAGCAGTAAGTTGTTTAATATAATTAATGAGATAACATCTTTTTCAACTAAGCTTTTAGGGGTTAATCTTTCTTTAGGAGGTCCACTTAAAGACTTAGAATACGCAGTTGACATAGTTCTAATTGTTGGCGATATCGACAAACATGTAAAGTTTTACTGGTCCACGTCAATGCCTGAACTAGTGATAAGGAATAAACTAGTCAAATGGTTTGATCACTTAACTTGTCTTAGGAGTCTCATCAACCCTGGTGCGTTAGTGTGACGAAATCTTAGTAAAGATTTCGTAAGTTTGGGTGGCCTTTACCAACTTGTCACCTGTAGAGTATACGGGATGTTCGTCTATCAACCAAAAGGAGTTCATACTGCATATTAATGCACTATGGTCTTAGTTGTGGTAGTGATACTTGGTCTTTGAGTGTATAAAACATGCGTACATTACAGATTTTTTTATCACGGGTATTTTTAAAGCATTGGTCGTCTTTCATCTTATCTGCCTAAAGTAGTTTCTGTCCATTCCTTGTCAATTCTAGAGTTTTCTATTTCGACGTGACTATTAGAGGGGCAATTAGAAAAGTAATGTGTTTTATACTTCAAAAAAGACTGACTGTTCTAACCTGAAAATTAGTTGAAGATTGTGGTTGTTTACCATCTTTAAGCCATACTATGGAAGGTATTGGCCTTCCAGTGAACTGACATGTTAATTCAACTGATCCACCTTCTACAACAGATAAACTTGGCGGTAATGGTTTTACCAACGTCGGTTCACTATCAGTTGGTTGTTCATCTTCACAAATCGCTAAAATGTAAGCATAGAAATAAATGTAAAGCTATATGCATTCTTTTTAGAGGTATGTGTTTATATATCATACATACTTCTTTTGATTAAACTTGTTTCCGTTATTATCTATATGAAGTCCAGATTAAGGCTATTGCACTATGTGAAAGTCGGTGGTATCATGGGATTTTTTTCTTCGTTATAAACGGTTTAAATACAACTTATTAGTAAAAATAATACGCTATTTTTTAAAAGATTGCTCGCTTTGAATTGAAGTCAGTTGGAGCTCTGGATAGCAGTTCTTCTATTCATTATTCATCAGAATCACTTCTCTAGCTGATGGTAGTTCGTAATATCTAAGGGATTCAAATGGGAGTAATCTCCACAACTCACTTTACTTAACAAATAACCCTATCATCAATCGAAAAGTAAATAGTACTAATTAAATCACATTGTATTAATGGATATAGTTTTGATTGAGATCATGAATCGATCAATGCCAGTTCAACATTGAAAACCTGAAAGCACTGAATAGCCGTTTCGTCCAAATACGGGATTCCTCACCAGTGCGCATCCACAATTCACGACCATCGATCTCGCACACGAACCCTTAACCCCTAAACCACCTAGCCCGCATCATGTGCTCGCTAATGATTGGCTTCGAGAGGTAACTCTCAGAGTTCTAGTTGGAAGCCGTTGCCCGTGTAGCTGATCCGTGTTTGATGTGAGACATTTACCCACCTAGGTTTTCAGTGGTGGTTCAGCATTACTCGATTCATAATCACAATTAAAAATTAACAATCTCTACAATCCTACACTGATAGATATAGTTTTTCCTGAAAATAATGGATGTCTGTACCTAGGTACGTAACACCGACTGTGAGTCTATTGATATTTTTCATCTGTTATTCTTTGTAGGGTAACTAGGAACAATTTATGATAGTAATTTGAGAAATTTCAGTATAGTCGTCTTATAGCTATATCCAAGATGAGTTTAATTTCATCTTTTACTTCAATTGTGAATATTAAAACGTGATCGTATAATGTGTGTGTAAATGTAAGCACGAAGTCAGCTATTCATTCAAAAATATTCTATTTCTAGGTAAACAAATTCCTGTTTATTTAATATTCATTCCGTTTAGGTAGTATGAGACTTAATATTGAAAGTAGAATTAAACTATTATCAGTGAAACTATAATTTATGGACGACCTTTCAGCGACGCCAAAGTGACCTTGAGAGCATCTACATACTTAATAGGTCTAAATGAAGGTTATAAAGCAGTTTGAAGAATAAAAACAATGATTTACAGTTGATTGTAAGGATTAGGATTTAGATTTATGGTTTTCATCACGAAATGACATCAGCTAAAATGTCGAAACGCTATTTGGTCGAATGGGTGAATAAATTTTGCGCCAAAATCCAAGATCTGTTATCCTAAATCTAATTGGTTCGTCTATAAATTATAGTCCCACCCTTTTATCTGTTAAATGAAGTAGTCTGAATACTAAACTAAACTTTGACTCTTAAAAATATTCAACTCACGTTCAACATCCATTCTACATGAACTAAATGCTTTTCCATAAGGATTTTCAGCTACACATGTATATTCACCTTGATCGTCAAGAAACACATCATAAAAGATTAAACAGTGATATTGTCCAATCTCTTTAGTTACATATGAATTAGATCTAGCTAATGGGATACCATTTTTAAGCCAAGTAACCTTTAAAAGTAGAAAATAGTAAAGATAATGTAATATTTAAAAATGAATTCAATTCAATAATATTATGCAGAAAAATGCTAACGATTCTATGGTGTTAATTTATAAAAATAATTGTATTAATTCATTAGATAAATATTTTAATAAAATATGAATGTACTGTGGTGTATGCTACTGATATCGACAGATATAATTAGCATGTATCATTAATCGAAAGTGTAATGCCTGGCGGTAGAAGGGTGTGAAGATCAACGAGAAGAGTACGAGAACAGAGAGTGATTGCTATGGAAATGAACGAATAATAAAGTCTGAGACCATTAATAGATATCTTAGAAATGAAGTATTTACTGTATGGTTCTTAGATTTTACCAAAAGATTCTGTAACTCCAAATTTGGTCGGTCCGCCTTTGTGTTCTCGTTCTCTATAGTGTTGTGTGACATCTGCTGTTTTGTAACCTTGATTTTCATCAGTAATTATTCATCTATTCACAAACAAGTGAATCGCTCTCATCATATTTTGGCCATATGTTTTATAATGTAAGGAACAATATATTTATATGTTCTATCGAAAGGTGATCAACCCTGTCAAAATGTAAAGATTTTTCCGTAAAGTAAAATTAACAGTATTTAAATGAACTTAATCGAGCTGTCATAATAAGATCACGGTATGAGTATAATTATGAGATGGTGGAGTATAATTATCAATGTGGTAATACAGCAATCATAAATTTTTTCGATAGAATTGAATGTTTGTTCAAAATTATGATGAGATATAAGAATAGTATGTGATTATAAATGATTGTTCTTAATTGACGTGACTAATCACGATAGTTCTGAATAACTCTGTATCCTTAATGAACTTACATTGTTCAATAATAATCAGCAATCTTTAAAATACAAATGAAAATGATAACATTATAGACAACATTACATTGTATGATAAGTGTCGATATCGTGTGTCAGAGTAAAAATCAACACAAAATCGGGTTAATTGATCTACCAAGGATCTAACAAGATAGAGAGTTTGTATTAAATGTAAATGTCAGTAACAATTTCATTTTCTGAATGTTTCTACAGATTTTATTGTTAACATACTGTTGTGAATTACTTTGTATAATTAATTTTAAATAAAGTTTTCTATCAATATAAGGCGTCAATCTTTGGTACTGGGTACTGTGAGAGTCACACAAGGTTAATGAAGATTGATCTTAGAGTTAGTAGAATTAAGATGTAAATGGTATTAATAATCTTGGAGGGTAGCGTACATAAATTTTGCTACAAATCAGTCTAACTTAAAAGACTAATATCAAAAGTGTTACACTGCTCATTTTATTTCAACCAAGATCGTTAAATCCCGTAAATAAACTCTCTACAACGTTATGATGCCTTTTTCCATAAATGGAATATTTGGTTGAAGGCATCCTCAACCTTACTATGTTTCCTAAATGCGTCATATCTAGGACTTCCAGCGCTTCATTATTCATAACCATATACTCTGTATGAAACAAAGAGCCGATAAAAATGTATTTTATTTCGATCCAAAATCCAAAATGTCATTTATAATTAAACTATTTTTATTTCCCTTCTTACAGAAACTTTTAATAACTCGATCAATCAATTCCACAAGATTATTAGATCTTTCTGTGTAACTTGACATGAGTCAAGATCTCAAGGAAGCATTTTTTTTCTACAACTTATGCTGATATTTTGAATGGATCAAGAGAGCTGTATCAATTGATGTGATTTCTGATGGGTTTTAGACTTTTCAGCTAACCATTAACCAATCAATGATTATAATTCAATTGTTATTATGAACTTTAACTTTCACCCTTTTTTTCCTTCATATCTGTCAAGTGGACAATTATCTGTCATAATTCTGACCTTACTCTTCTCGAACTCCCTGATTATTGTGCATCCTCGTTTGATATCTAAAATTCCGAATCACTTTATGATGCAAACTTTTATATCTTTCTGTAGCATATATATGAATACCAAACAACTATAAATATGAAGTAAATGATTTCATCGAAAAGAAAATTTTTTTTTCTGAATACTCTTCTTTTTGTTCACATTCTTGAAATCTAACCATTTACAAACATATTACTGAATCTTTAACAGTAGCTTAAAAACGTCCTTTAAAAAGGAATCGGGTTTAACGAACCAGTATTTAATTAAAATTAAGAAATGATGTAAGTTAGACCATCACTAAAAATCTGAAAGAGTTGAACGACGGATCGGTTCATGATTTAAGTGAAATTTCGAAAATCTCTACAACTCCAAACTGAAAGTCCATCAAGTTAATTTCTGATAATCAACTTGTCAGATTGATTCTTATTCTCATCAGTAAAAGGTTCAAAATATTGTACCAAATATTAAAAACAAGATGTTTCCTTCCTTCTATATTCAACTTAGACGTTTTACCAATAGCGAAATAGCAGCGATTATCGATAAGGAGTGATCAAAATACATGTGTGATTTTCTTAAGAAGTTAGTCCATCCCATATCAATTGAACACCGAGTCAATTTAAAAACAAGACTATAGCTGATACTATGAGGCTGTTGAAATCAATGGCTAGATTATTTTAAAGGTAGTATAGACAATGGTTTGACATCTACTGGACAACCACTGGGAATCCAGAAGCATAGTACGTTTAGTTTCGTTCTTATATGAGTCACCTCGTCAGCAAGGAGTCAAACTCAGAACCTTTAGGTTGCGTGACTAGACAGTCAATTTTAGATTGCTATTATAAACCTGAATATTATCTAACTTCTTAAATTCTTTGGTTATAGATCGTTCATGTCGATTTACTTTTCAATGAAAACATTTTCCATATAAACATTAATACCATGAAATTATTTGGTAAGTTAATGATTTAATTTATAAGAAAATTAAATTTTAGATTCACTTGGTGTTGTTTTACTTGAATCTTCCAATTGTTATTAAGGACTGAAATTGATCAGTCGCTTGTTGGCATATGTGCATACTGTGAGGATTGCCCTGATATAGCCTTAAGTCACAAGCTTTTTAAGCAAAGATAGATAGTGACTAGCAGCGGAATCCGGGACAAAGTGCATTTCGTCCTATTTGGCACTAATCAGTTGGATGTACCACCATCTCGAAGTTCATATTCACTCTGGGACTCGAACCCAGTACCGTTGGCTTCAAACACCATCACGTTATTCACTTGTTTAAAAAATTCAAAGTAAACGATGCAAAGAAGAAATGAATATTTTACCTGTGGTGCAGGAATCCCAGTAATTTGACATTCTAATTTGATTTTTTCGGCTTCATTCACTCCAGAATTTTGCAATGGTAGAATAAACTGTGGGGGTCTGCCATAATCTGATACTGGACGTCCTCCCGTGGCATTTGTTTGTATTCTTCAGATATTTTTATTAAAAATTTTTAAAAAGTCAGACATGATTGTTGTTAGATCAGTCATGAAAGCAAACATAAAATAAATAGTGTGTAATGTGTAAGTACTTCAAAACGTATCATTTGATCAGGATACTTGATACTTATTTGTGATCAACTTTACCTAATAAAATCTGGTTAACCTGGTAGTATCATCAGTTCACATGAACATACCACAAAGTTTATTATACTAACATAGTACGTTGACGCAATTGACGGTTATTTGGTTTTAGACGAAACGCTATCACATTATTTAGTCATGAGCTAAGAACGTATAATAAGTCGCAGACTTTTGAAAAAAGCATCAGTAAAGGTATCTTATTAACCATTAGGATGTTATCCATTCAATCTTTCATATCAGTAGTGAAATTTTAAGTTATAGTAACAAAGTTCACTCACCTTAAAGGTACAGAGGCTGTTGTTGTAGGTGGTACTGAAACAGCTCTTTGAGTATATTTTGGATAGGCTCCTTTAACTGCACTAACTGGAATCACTTGTTCTTCTGTGACTCCGGTAGGTGATTGAACTATTCGTGGCACTTTAACTGGTTCAAATACTTCATCTAAATCAGACTGTAAATCCCTTCTACGACGTGAAGCTGTTGGTCGTAGTGTCACTTGTGACGGTAATAAAGATTCTCTTGTATCTGTTGGTTGAACAGTAACATTGCAATATGTAGTAGCTGAGCCTGCTGCATTACGAACTGTACAAGTATACTTTCCGTCTTCTAAATCAGAAACCTAAATAAATGAAGCACGAAATAACGATCATAAGAAAAAATCCCTTCAGGATCTGAACATGTTTAATTCAACACAAAATTTTAATAATCTACTTTTGAATTCTTTGAATGAAGACGTAAAATCATTTAAATATAAATATGTTACCATTCAATCACAAGACAAAGGAATATTCATTAATAAGCACTTAGTTCATGAAAGATATGAAAATAGTTACAAATTTGTTCTCTTAATTCAAATTGGACAATGTAGTTAGACTAATGTTAACGATAACCGCTGAGATATATACCACGTTAATAAATAACAAGTGAAACTAGCCCTGAACTTTATTCTCATCTTTTTCTGTCTTTCTTAAATAAGATATACTCTAATCCGTGAAAGAAGTCATTCCTCCTGAAGGTTTTGGTGTACGTCGCACCAATTCTTTTTGTAAAAGTACTATTGATTGACAATGATTACAAAAGTGAAAAGATGTATCTTATTTTTCCTTATGCATTTTTAAATGAAAATTAGAATGTATTAAAGTAAAACCTATGCCTTTTAGATAAAACACATTGTAAATTATGTCATTTATCACAAAAGATATAGAGCATCCCTGAATAGGCAGATTACTGTAATCATATATAAACTGAACATTTTGTTGGCCACCATTCATCAGCCAATTCATCTAATTAGACAAGTATTATTTGATTAAAAGTAATGTAATAATGATATATATATAATCTTTCAATGAAATTAAGGTGAATGTTTTGCTAATAGTTTTCTTGAAAAAATTACTATTGTGGTATGTGCTACTGATGTTGATATCTATGAGTAGTATGTATCATCAATCAAAAGTGAAATACTTGGTAGCATAAGGTTAAGAAGATAGAAGAAAAGAGAACAAGAACAGTAAATGAGTCCTATGGAAATGAAGGAACGGTTAAGTTTAATACAGTTAATTGACATTTTGCAAATGAAGTATCTACCGTATGAATATTAGATTTTACTAAGTTTTTCTGTAATTTTGTGTTCAAATATGTTCGACTGTCCCCACTTGTGTTCTTGTTCACTGAACTATAACTTTAGTGTTACGTGAAAGATGAGGTCTTTTATTAACCAGAAATATTATGGTACATAGTGCTGATTATAATAAAAACTTGAGATTATTTCAGTGTATGCCATGATGTAGACACTAGAAAACGTATTCAATGTAGCCATGTAAAGATCAATCAGTTTAATCTATAAGATCTTTCAAACAGTAACAGTGAATCATAAGACTAGCAATATTTCAGGAAGCATCGGACTTCTGACTGTGCGAGATATGTCACTAAGTATGCCTATAGTTACCAAATAAAACTAAGCAAGGTTACGTGCTGTGATGTTGAATAACTAAGAGTTTATAAACCATCCCAAAGTAAATTTTGCAAAATGTATATCTCTGACTAAAATGAAATCTGCTTAGTTCACCTTTCCAACAATATTTGAAGATTATTTCATTAAAAAATGAGAGAATAGTAATTCAGACTTTGTTTAATTATGATTAAAACTTACCATAAGAAGATGTAAAGTGATCATATTATTTAATTCCATTGTAATACGTCGACGACCCACTTCTCCTTGAATTGGCAAATCATTATGATACCAATCTACTTCAACTGGAAGTTCACTCTTTAATGTAGATAAACATTGTGAAAAATGACTTCAATTAAATGTTGTTGTTTTTTTTACTGTAACTCAATTAACATTACACACTGATCATTTAAACGTTAACTATTTTGTTTCAGTTTTACCTGAGATTCCCGATTAAAGTATCTTCATTTCAAAAAAGGTGTATTTTTTGTTAAACTTAGATATCAAGTCCCAAAGTGAATATCAGACTTGGGATGCAGGTACACCCAGCTGACGAGTCCCAAATAGGACGGAGCGCGCGTCCTGGATTCCACGGCCACTCACCATCTATCTTTGCATATAAACTTAGGTATAATTTTAAGATAATGATTTGGATATATGATTATAGAATGTAATGAGAAATTACTGAAAAGAATATTCGGCGAGATTACAATTTATGGACGAACCAATCAGATTTACGATAACATGTCTTGGATTTCGGCGAGGAATTCTTTATCCATACGGTTAAATAGCGTTTTGGCATTTTAGCTTATGTCGGTTCGTGATGAAAACCCTAAATCTAATCCTTATTTCTAACCATCAATTGTAAGTCATAATCCTTATCCGTCACACAGGTTTAAAACCCCCGTTTAGCCCTGGTCAGTTGGTGGACATTCTCAAGGCCACTTAACGTCGCTCAAAGGCCGTCCATAAATTATGGTTTCCCCGAATATTCTTCACTTAAATATTTGTGCATTTAATGGTGCGAGAAACAGAATATTCTAATTATTCTATAGAAGTCTTTAGATCTATACAAACATATATAATATATGAAACTCCTCGGAAATACTAATATCTGGTAGAATAAGGGGAGTTTATTTGGACACACTCACTGATCATGGGAATACCAAATGAATAATTCACTTTTTTAAATCATATATTAACTACTATCTGTATATAATCAATAATAATAAACCGAATAACACTACCTAAAGGTTAGTCTATATTAATTAATGTATAAGCAAAGATGGATAGTGGTTAGCAATAGAATCCATGACACATGTGTCGTCCTATTTGGGACTGATCAGCTGGATGTATCTGTGCAAATTCAATTATTCAACATTTTGGATAGAACAGTAAATTATTTATTTGCTGGTTACAACTGTTTTACAAAAAAGATACATATTTCTAAGAGAATAATTGTTCAGTGAATAATAAATAATGCTGATCATTTAGGATAGTTGTTTTTATATACCAGATTCTTGTTTTGAAATGATTTAGCACCCAACATGCTGACGGGGATTATCAACCAATATTAAAATCTGAACAAAATCAAAAATTATTTGCATAAATGTAAATGTATATATTTCTTAAAAGATTGATAGATTTCAGTATAGGGTTGTAGAAAGTGTTGCGTTTTAGTTGATATCATGAACCGATCATTGTTAGACCAGTAAAACTCAAAAATCTTTACCACCCTATATTGATAATTATATTGTGCTCACTGGTGATTAGCTTCAACAGATAGTACTAGGAGTTCTAGTAAGAGTTCGTGATCAGAAAAGTTCAGCCGTGTCAATGGAAGATAGTCACACAATATTATGGATTTGTTGAAGTCAGACATGAACAACGTTGGATGTCGGCTCAGTGGTCTATAGGTTAAGGGTTCGCGTACGAGACCAAGGCTTCTGGGTTTGAGTTGGGTGTGAAGGATTGTGGATGTGCATCATTGAGGAGTCCCATACTAAGACGAAACGGCCGTCCGATGCTTCCAGGTTTTCAGTGGTGGTCTAACACTGATAGTTTCATGATCTCAAATGACAGACTTAATTGTAATTTTCGCTATATATCATTTCGATTAAAAGAATGACAATTAACATAGAATTTATATTGACTAGGTCACGTATCCTAGATTACAAAGATGGGAATATGACCAATTAATTCTTTACTGAATATAAAAACATTTGGTCTATTAATTAGTAAATAGTCATTTAGGTTAAATACATTAGAATTAAAGAGGACTGTCCACCCCTATGTCAGGATTAAAATTTCACATTGATTGACTTGAATTGATGTCGACTAGTGGATTCCAGTCTCGAAATCACAATCTGCTTAATACATTTGTGATTAGTGCATTTTGTTCTTTACAATTTATTTCATATGAGCTGTTAAAAATAACTTATTTGATTCGTTAGGTGTTGATTGCCAAATTCAGTTACTCTAAACACGGTGCAGTCGTTTTTCTCATATGGGATTCAAAATAATCAGTATGTATCTGGATTAGTCAGTTTCGGGAATGTCAAACTAACAAAACGTTCTAATGAGAACGTAGGTATCACTACCAAAGTTTGACTTGATCATTTCGAATGAATTGAGCATTGGGTAGACTGTAATATCCCAATGAGTGGCTCAGTGTAAGCCATTTCTTTAGAGTAGATAAATAATCATATCAAAATTAATCCAGGTTTAATTAATATAAAGAAACAACACAAGAATATTATGTGCGATCAATAAAAAAACAGGTCTGAACAAATCAATGTCATGTCATTTCGGTCAAGGTGATTTATAAGCGATATGTATGTAAATTTGTGCGTGTGTGTGTGTAGGTGTACAAGGTCAGGGATGAAGAAATGTGACCTTCGTGGTGAGAAAGGATAGAGCTTCATTTGTATGTATAATAATAGTGTGAAATATGAATAATATCAGATATGGTATTTTGGATAGATAGTCCAAGTCGGATGTGTAGTGAGGCCTTCTTTTCTATTGAGAGCAATGGGATTAAGCATTATATGGAAAGCTTCAGCTACTCTCCTTTCATTGTAATCGGAAAAATCTTTTTGTAATAATTCACTTGGTATCGTTTTACTTGAATCTTCCCATTGATGTTTAGGACTGCAATTGATCAATCTCTTATTGGCATATGTGCATACTGTGCGTATTGCCTCGATATTGCCTTAATTTACAAGCATTATAAGCAAAGATAACACAGTGACGTTTGAAGCTAACGGTACTGGGTTCGAGTCCCATAGTGAACATCAATTCAGATGCAGGTACATCCAGCTGACGAGTCCCTAATAGGACAAAACGTGCTTTGTCCTGGGTTCCACTGCTAGCAACTATTCATCTTTGCTTTTTGTAATATTTTGATGTTTTTGAAATCGATTTGGTGGTTCTTGAAAATGGCGTGAAATGCTATTTGCCGGTATTATTATGTGGTTTCTTTATGTACTTAATATGTTCTTTGGTTTTCGCAAGATGATTCTCTAATATAGAACGCATCACAATCGGCACATCTTAATTTGTAGACACAGTTCTGTGTTGACATATAGGGAAAGTTTTTCTTTTAAGCGAACTAAAGTATTTCAAATTGTGTTCGTTGTTTTGTAATATACTTTAATTCTGTGTTGTTAATGAGAAGTATTAATTGCCCAAATACAGTGGAGAATGAAATAATAACTCACTAAAGACAGTTTGGTGATTGGAGCGTATTGTAAATTGATTATTGTTGAAATATAGATCTGTAAAAGCTAACTAAGCAGCCTAAGTATAATGTGTTCGTCAGGTAACCTGAAATACATAGTTTCAATCCTTATCTGAATCATAGAAGCCTCATACTAGGAAGAAACAGATGTCCAATATCTCTTCATTCCTAATAGTTCAGTGCATGATATCAGTTTGAATATCGACTAAATTAGATAAATACTTAGCAATGTTCTACGTATATTAAATTATAAGTGACAATTTATTCTTTCAAAATATATCTTTATCTCAATAGTAATAATTATTCATATTTCTCACCTTATACTGAACAGTTAATTTGCATCTATCACCAACTTTAAGATTAACATTTTGTAATGGTTGAATAATTATTGGTGGCTTAACTGGATTTATATCCACTTGACAAGTGGTTGAACATTCACCATAAGGATTAGTAGCACGACATAAATATAATCCAGAATGATTCATTATTCGACATTGTGGAATCTGTTATCAAAAAATTAGGATGTATAAATTAGAACAAGTGACTGTTTAAATTAAAAATGTATTACAGTATTAGTTAACGTTGGATCAATCGTATCAAGTTGGTATTTTAGAAAATGTATTTAAACTTTGTAGTATTCCATTCATAATGAAATATAAGGGATTACCATGTTATTGTTATGTTACAGAATGTTCGTTGTATTACTACTACTTTCAAAGGGTATAGAAGCGGTAAAGCACTTCCTTCAGGTAATCAGCACCTTTTGCCATAGCTCATTCCTTCAATGGGAAAAGGATGACAGAGAAGGTTGGCTCTAAGAAAGCTTACCAGACCTTGCCCTGAAAAATTTCGGCCGTACGGTCTGAGGAGTATGGAGCAGAAATATTAAAAACTCATCACAAAGTGGTCACGTGCAAACGACCTCAGATAGTTGTTTTTTGGATTGTGTAGTCACAATTTCAGGCCTTCATGATCGATATCAACCCAGTTCGAAGTTGTTTTAATCTTTGATTTGGATCACTTTGTTGTGAAGTTTTTATTTTTCTTCCAAACAATATCATCATGAAACACTTCAAGGAGAAATCACTCCATTCGACTAAGAGATTGCATCAACCACACTATATTAAGCTACAAATATTCTCCATCATCTTAGGAACAAGTATCTATCGGTTGTTTGAGCAACAGAGAAGGGATAAACACCGTTTAACCTCCAAGTTCATTGATAACTGACTGAAGGGATGGTAGACTATCCATTTAAATAAATCTACTTTGATTTCGAAATACAAGTTAACATCAATCAATCAACTACAATATTAAAACAAACAAAAAACTTAATATGTGTATCCTTACCCTCAATATTCCTGATCCAGCTAATTGAGTAATTTTAAAATCAGGATTTTGATCAATTAATTGACCATTTCTATACCATGATAAAATTGGTACAGGTAACCCAACTGCTTGACAATCTAAAACCAATTCACTAGTTTCATCTATACACATGGATTTAAGATGTCTATAAGTAAAATAAACATTAATATTATAATTAGTTCTTGATTATATACAAAGTATTTGTCGGTAAAATTTCTACTGTCAATGTGGACAATATGATGAGTATATTCTAAATACATTTACTCTAATGAAAGTGACAATTAGTTAGTGAGGAACATCAATAGAACTGAATAAAATTTCATATTTTAGATAATACCAAGCGAGTAGCAAAATAGCTAGAGTTATCATTCTTCTTCTTTTTCTTTGTCTTCTACTACTACTACTACTACTACTACTACTTCGTATTTCAGAATGGAAGTTCATGAATGTTTAGATATTAAATTGTGTAGTTAACTAAATTGTTAAGATATTTTGTTTAAAAAAGAGTATCAGAGAACTTTCTCACTGTCCGTTGATTGGATACCATCAGAAAACATCCTACTGTAGGAGGAAACAAACCAATTTCCAGTTGAATAGGAGACTAGAAAAAGATGTTAGAAATAATTAGGACATATATTGAGGAAATTATCAAACTGTATCACGAAGCAAGCGATAACTTGGAAGTCTGAATAAAAAGACCAGGGAACCCATCGCAATGAGAATTAAAAGCAGGCATAAAAATAATGAATAGCAACTGGAAACAGCTTGAAAGGAATGCTCGGGACAGAGTTGAATGGAGAATGGTGGTGAGTGGTCTCGGTTCTCGTTCTCTTCTCTTCGATCTTCGTAACCTTTACTTTCGATTATTAGCACATACTAATTCTATTTGTCGACATCGGTAGCATACACCAAACTGATTTGATTATTTTTAAAAATGTTTTAATAATATACATTACGGTAGGTTGTAAATGTTTACAGTTATAACAAGAGATCGTGTTATGATTGCTCATGATTGTACATGACTAACAGTTGGTAAGCATTCAAACGACAATTTATAACAATGAAGAACAAATGATGGAAATTCACAAGTGATTTATTCAATGTATGGTTCTCATATCTTAGCAAGTGATCCTCACCTGTCTTTCCATTCATTACATAGGTTACTTAAAACACATATTATAGTTTATAAGAACCCAATGTTATTATTGATTATTAGTTGAAAAATAATACCCTAACTATCATGTTTTCAGTTAAACAAAATAAAAAACAAATGATCTTACTTGATAAATTCAGGCGGATCACCAAGTTCAGGAATAGGTTTTTGTTCTCTTACATTCCTAGTAGGTTGAACTAAACTTTCATTGACTGGTACTGGACTAATTGTATCTATTATTGTTAACGTACATTTTGTCTCAGCTTTACCATATGGTGTACTAATATAACATGTGAATATAGCATTATCTTCATTTAAAGTTTCAGATATTTTCAAACTTGCTGTGTTCTCTGTTAAATTAACTTCATAGTCTGGAGTAACTACAGGTATTCCATCTTTGTACCAAGTTACTTGTAATTGATTAGTATCATACGGGTTAGCGTCTAGAAAAATTGAAGGACTTAAACAGTGATTTAATCATGAATAATGTATTTAATTTTTATTTTATCCTGCTAAAGATTTAAATCTTAATCATTCATTAAATGAGTATTTATGACAACTGTATCTAAAGATTTGTTACCAAGCTTATGATCTTTTATGCTTATTTAAGGCTTATATTAAAATCTGAAATGAAGCATTACAATTATCCATAAATATTATGCCATTTGATGAAAGATAAAGAATGTGTTATGTAACGCATACTATCTTCTCGGTTGTTTATTCTTTTTATAGTAAAGACAAAATTATATCCGTTAATTATGTTAAACGATAACTCGGGATACCGAAGTGACATTCAACAGACTGAATCAGCTCTCTTCCTTAATCTTTTCTTGATTATTTTATAACCCTTTATTTATCTAATCTTATTGGTGATTATTAATTTTCTCGTGTCAAAGTACTGATGACTTATTAATTACCAAAGTTAGGAATTATTTTTAAGATTTTATTCTTTGATTATTAATGTTTAATTAAAGCTTTACGGAATTCATTTCATTCTTTGTAGACATGAAGGCCATTGATGGGGTGAACATTAAAATCCTCACTATCCTATAATCTTACATTAAAATAAGACAATTAGCTAACAATTTCTGGTCAATAATTATTCTCCAGTAGATGTTACTCAACGATGAAAATGTTGGCTCAGTGGTCTACAGGTGAAAAGTTTGCACACAAAACTGAAGGTTATGGGTTTGAATCGGGCGTGTGGGATCGTGGACGAGCACTGCTGGAGAGTCTCATACTACAACGAAACAGCCATAGGCCGTACAGTGTTTCCTAGTTTTCAATAGTAGTCTAACATTGATCCATTCATGATGTTATTCTAAAGTATGAATATTTATTTTATTCACAGTTTTGATATTGTATTCATATAAATCATGATATTATAGCCAACTATATTCCAAATGTTTCAAATACAAAATATGTTATCATTTTAACTCTTATTTTTACTATTATTAGATTATAAGTAGTTAAGGACAAATTATGGCATAAATAAATAAACGATTGTTATCTTTTAAATGTATCAATGCTAAGGTTGGGATTGATAGTTTCAAATAAATTGAACTACTTCTCTGAAGAAGTGACTTACATTAATTCGCTAAACATCAGAAATACGAGATTACTATTTTGCTTTGAATGGAGATTTAACAAAATATAGTTTTAGTAATTTGACGGTTGGATTCATAATTCAGTTAAAGCTAGACCATTTTGGGAAACTTGGAGACACTGGAAGGCCGTTTCGTTCTGGTATGGGACTCCTCAGCAGTACGCATACACGATACCGTACGCGGGATTCAAACCGAGGATCTATCGGTCATGTGAACGAATGTCTAGACCATTGGGCCGGCCGGCATCAAACGGTGTTGTCTAACTCTAACCAATCCATGAATTTGCGCGAACACCTTCCATTGTATTCAGCGAGTTACTGTCTTACAACAAACCCGGCTGAACTCCACTGGTCACTGCTTCTCACTAGAACTCCAGGAAAAACTTCTTGAAGCCAGTTACTAATAAGCGGGGTTTTGTTGAGATTTCGGTAATTTAACACTAGGACGAAACAAACATCCAATGCTTCCAGGTTTTCCATGGTGTTCTAGCTTATATTGACTTATGAATTCAGCTATTAAAAAAATAGTTTGTTTTGAAATGACTGCTTACCTGGTGGAAGACCAGAATCAAATATTGTTTCCATAATAATTTTTTTACCTTCTTCTATAGTTATATTTTCTAATGGTTTAATAATTATTGGTGGTTTAGCTTTTGTTGGCATTGTAAGTGTAGTGGCTTTCATTTGATCATCATATACATGTGTAGGTTGTAAACGTTGTAAATTAATAGATTGTTCTGTTCTTATACGAATCTCATCTGATAATTGATTTAAATTATTAATAGATGATTGAAACTCATTTACAATAGGTTGGATAAATTGTTTTGCTTCCATAGCTTAAAGAATAAGTCAAAAAGAAGAACAGAAGGAAAAGAATCAGATTAGGATTATCAATATGGGATAGTAAAGTAATACGGTAGGAAATGAACAACTTTCATAATTCATAGTAAAAAGAAATATATGAATATTTCAAGATGAATGCATGAATATTATTGTTGAAAGGATGCTTGAATGATACATGATGTATGATAACTGGAATATAACTAATCATTAGTGTATTGTATTGTATGGAAGTTTCTTAGTAATTTATTCTTCAACTATCAGTTTACAGTAGTGTAGTACACTACTAGTCGAGTCAGAGCTTATGACGAACTGTCATCTACTTTTTCAAACTCAAGTGCTATCCGTCAAGGCTGTCCACTTTCTCCATTTTTGTTTAATTTCATCATGGACCTGCTGATGGAAACAACGTTCTCGTCGACTGAATTTTCAGGCGTTGATCTCCTTCCAGGAGGTTCACTTATCGACTTAGAATACGCGGATGACATAGTCCTGTTTGGTGAGGACGCTGATAAAATGCAGAGTTTTTTGATAGCACTGAGCAACAATGCCAGAATGGTTGGGATGCGTTTCTCCTCCTCTAAACGCAAGTTGTTGATTCACGACTGGTCTGCGTCAACACCTGAACTAAGGATAGGGAGTGAAGTAGTCGCACGCGTTGACAACTTCACTTATCTTGAAAGTCTGATCAGCCCTAATGGGTTGGTGTCTGATGAAATCTCAGCACGGATCCGAAAAGCTCGTTTGGCTTTTGCTAACTTACGTCACCTATGGCGAAAGCGAGATATTGGTCTATGGAATAAAGGAGAGTATACTGCGCAGCGGTTGGTTCTGTTCTACTTTACGCCTGCGAAACGTGGCCATTAAGAGTAGAAGATACTCGTAAGTTACAAATAGTTGACCACGGATGTCTTTGAAATATTGCTGCTGTCTGCTGGGATCATAGGGCTAGTAATAGTGAGGTTAGACTCAGGGTATCAGGGAATCATGATGGTAAATCAGTTGATGAGGTTGTGAATCTTCATCGACTGAGATGGTTAGGCCACATGTTGCGTATGCCTGAACACCGATTACCACGACGCTCAATGCTCACTAGTGTAGGGGATGGTAGGAAGAAAGTTAAGCGTGGCCAAACCAAAACATGGCATCAGTCCATGAAGTTATTAACTTCTAGTCTGAACCATGTTGGTAGATGCAGACTACTTGGCTGAGGTCTGCGCTACTATCGTAACCAGTGGTTAGAGACTCTGAGTGATATGGCTCAGAATCGATCACAAAGGCTTGGGTATATGCACTCTTTGTCTTCCTTTAAACCGTGAGGTTAAAATTATTTTATATCTTTCTTTCTATGAATTAATTCTTTCTTCATGTATTATATCCTTATATACAATCTTCTTTTATATATTGCCACTACATCTATGAATTTGGTGTTCATCTTGTTGTGCTGATGAGGCATGGTAACTTGGACCGATATGCATATGTGTCTGGTCCTACGTTGTATCTGACTGACTGACGTTTATGACCATTTTATTGAATAATTATCTTGTGGTGTGCTACTGATGTTGACAGATATTAGTAGTATGTATCATCAATCGAAAACGATATGTCTGATGGCAGAAAGTTAAGAAGATTGAAGAAAGGAGAATGAGAACAGAGATTGATTAATATGGAATTAAAAGAACAATGAAGTGTGAGACGTTTGACGGATATTTTACTAAAGGAACAGTTAAGTTTAAGACAATTGATTGACATTAGATGGTGGTCGACAAGAAACCCTGGACCCGGGTTTCGTGCTACTTGGCAACTGTCAGCAACGTGTATCTGCAATCTTGAGGCAACTGGTGCTCCCTGACGAACTTGATCCCGTATCACCCAACTTCACAGTCAGAGACATTACCACTGAGCTATCCGGGCCGCGACCGACCTCCTGTAGAACTGAGATGTAATCACAATTGATTGATCACTGGGCGTTGATCAATGTCATGTGTGTCAAGTCCTTATTAGTGCAGATCGAATGCTATCGACTATGTTGCAATGTGGCCACCAGTCTAGGTGGATCGGATAGCTCAGTGGTAACGTCAATCAATTGTAATCGCAACTGATTGACATTTTGCAAATGAAGAATTTACAGTATGGTTCTCAGATTTTACTAAGATATTCTGTAATTTTGTGTTGAAATACATTTGATTTTGCCTATTTGTGTTCTCGTTCACTACAATCTCATTATAGTAAAACATTGATAATCTGTTATTCAGTTATCTTAACAATAAAAAACACCCCAAAGTAATTTCATTGATCTTCAACCTCATTTCTTCTGTTTGGCTTTACCTAGTGTGTCATTTCTGTGTTTGTTTTGGTTATTCCTTCTTTAGAATGAAACAGTTGCCATATTCATCAGGATATTCAGCTATTCTTTAAAGAATGTAAGTTAGAATAGAGAATTATCCTTTAAATAAATACGTAATCTAGCTGATATACTTTCATTAACAAAAATTGAGTAAACTTACGGCGTGGATATTGAATAGATAATTGTTCCAAGACTGGTATATGTGTATCAGCTAGTACTCGTCCTCTATTAATTTGTTCTGATATATCAAAACGTATCTCTTCAATCTGATAACGATTTTCTGAAGAAATTTCTGGTAGTTGATTTTTAACACGATCTAAATTAAATGTTATCTGTGATAAGGCTTTCTGTGCTGTATCTACTGCATTTAATAAGCGCAGAGTTAAATTAATTTCAGTACGACATCGTACAGTTTCTTGTGTGAATGTTGTTAAACGTGTTTCAAGATGTTCATGACGTTTTGAAACATTTAACAAATCAATATTTGTTCCAGTATATTCCGTTGGTGATGGTTCACCTTGAATTAACTGTAATTTCATATCAGGCGCACTAGAACGTATTCGACTGTGTAAAACCTGAAAGTGATAAAAAATATATAGATACTTATATCAGTTATTTATTATTAAATCCAGCTTTTCATATCAAGTTAATGGGGATTTTATTTATAGTATAGCATTGTTTGATAATGGAGAAAATTTGTAGTTCAGGTGAATGATTTAGATGGAGTTTTGCCCTCTGAGCTGGATGGTTTGATCGTGGAGCTTTTTAGATGAAGTTTTGTGCTGATGATGTCGTTCAGAAGAACGATGAAAGCTCCACGACCAAACCATCCAGCTCAGAGAACAAAATGCCATCAAAGTCATTTGATAGATTATTTAACTGCATTCTAACGTCTCCAGCCACACCAAAGATTAATAGTAGCCTAGATTTGTACCATGATTTATAAACTTCAGGTCGTACATGAGTTTATGTAACTTATTTTTAGCTAACCTTTAATAAATGCAATATCATTCACAGTGAGTAAAGCATATATTAATATATATTGAAAACTGTTAACCTTATTCTCAAAACAACATAATATTGTTTATAAGCAAAGATGGATAGTGGCTAGCAGTGGAATACAGGACACGCATTTCGTCCTATAAAGTTTATAACTTCAGGCAATATCGAGGCAGTCCGCACAGGATGCACATATGCCAACAAGAGACTGGTCAATTGCAGTTCTAAATAAAAATAGGAAGATACAAGTAAACAACATCAAGTGAATAATATTATTTACTTTTCAATGACTTATTCTAGTATTAATTAATCGTATATCAAAGTTGAATTTTGCTCTAAGATGAGTAGATTCACTTCTCTTTAAAGTAAGCATAGAAACATAATAAAAATTTTAAAATTCAATCATTTAATTTAAAGAATAATACACTATTAAAAACTAACAAAATGTTGTTTTTGATTAAGGTCATGAACCAATCGATGTTAGACCACTATTGAAAACCTGGAAGCACTGGACGGCCGTTTCGTCTGATTGTGGGACTCCTCAGCACTGCGCATCCACGATCCCGCTCTCGAGGTTCGAACCCAGAGTCCCCAACCTCTTCGCGAATGCTTAACACCTCAACCACTGAGTCGTCATTCAACCGTGTTAATGTCTAACCCCAACAAATCCTCGAAATTTCGCGACCATCTTCCATTGTACTGAGATAGATACGTGTTTCTACTCGACATGGATTAACTCCACTGGTCACGGCTTCTCACTAGAACTCCGATAATTCCCTCATGAAGCTAGTCACTCGTGAGCACATGATGTAACATCAATCGGTTCATGATCTCAATCAAAAACATAATTATCTCTACAACTCTATACTGAAAATATTATTTATTATCTAATAATATATACTTACTGGTATCGTAGCCTCAATTTGACTAAGATCTCTATCAGCAATTTGAACTTGTGATAATGGTGCATTTAATGAAACCATTCCCATAATCTGTTGTAATTTTCTTTCAGCTGAAATAATTTCTGCTTCTATCTCCTTGAAAATATATAATATATACATCATAAAACATTTAAGTTTTGTTATATAACTAATTACAAAATAGATTATCGTATAGAAGAGTATTCTAGTATTACTATATACTGAGTAAAGTGCACAAATAAATGAATGAAAAATTTAAACCCAGGACCTTCAGTCTCGTGATTCAACTCTTGACCTGAGACGGCATCCAACGTTGTTAATATCTAACTCCAACTAGTTCGCGATATTGCGCGACTATCTTCAGTGGGTAACTGCTTTACACTCGACACCGACTGGACTCCACTGGTCACGGCTCCTTACTAGAACTCCAAAAATTACCTCTCAAGGATTGTCACTAGTGAGTATATGATAATTATCAGTATGAGGTTGTGGAGATTGTTGAAGTTTCATTGTTTGTTTTATTTTATTTAAATTATACGTTTTATAATGCACTTTCATAGCACTCACTCTTAGTTTTACCCTATTACCCAAAATCATTTTTACTTTTCCATAAACTCTGAGAATTCCAACAGTAAACAATTTTATCAGGTCTTAAGTTGTCAGTGACATACTGATTATAACGCATAGTTTAAAGAGAAAAGTGCTTTTCTATCTTTAAAACATTTTTTTCGTAGAGTTTCTCGACATTAGGGCTGTCTTCGATTCGTTGGATAGGATTGTTCTCTGGGATTGTCTATTGAAGAAGGGTGTGCCTGAGAAGTTTGTTGACATCCTAAAGGCCCTATACTATATACAAACACCTCAGGTAGAGTGAGGGCATACAACCACTTCTCTCCATTGTTTCATTCAAGCAGTGGGGTTAGGCAGGGTTGCCCATTCCTCCTTAACTTTGCCATCGATGACGTTCTGGAAACAGCTCTGATGGATGTAAGTAACGGCGGTGTAGATATGTTGCCTGGAGAAAGACTTCTCGACCTTGAGTATGCGGATGATATTTTCTTACTGTGTGATGACGCTCAAGCCATGCAATCCACAATTAATCAGTTGGCAATTAGCGTCCTTAGGTATGGTATGTGCTTTGCACCTTCGAAGTGCAAAGTACTTCTACAAGACAGGCAGGATTCTAATCCTGTACTCACCCTGGATGGTGAGCAGATAGAAGTAGTCGAGAAGTTCGTGTATCTGGATAGCTGCATAAGTACTGGTTAGGGTGTGAGTGATGAGATCAATGCACGAATAGTGAAAGCCAGAGCGGCTTATGCCAATGTGGGCCATTTTTGGCGCATTCGTGATGTTAGTCTGGCTGTAAAAGGTCGGATCCACAGCTCATCAGTGAGAGCAGTTCTCTTCTATGCTTGTGAAACCTGGCCCCCTCGAGCTGAGGATGTTAGACGACTCTCTGTGTTCGATCATCGTTGTCTCCGAAGGATTTCTGACATCCAGTGGCAACACCATGTCAGTAACACAGAGGTTCGGCATCGTGTGTTTGGGCACAGAGATGATAATGCAACTGGTGTCACCATCTTGAAACATCGACTTCAGTGGTCTGGACATGTTCTACGAATGTCGTCCCAGAGAATTTCACGTCGTGCATTGTTTGCGAACGCCGGGACTGGTTGAGAAAAGCGGAGAGGTGGTCAGTGTATGACATGGTGTCGTGGTATGAAAGAAAGCTGCAAAGGGCTGGCTTGTGTTGGTCCTTCACGACTTCCTGTCTGGGGTCTGAGAGATGGTGCAACACAGTGGCTAGAGACGTTATCAGATATGGCTCAGAATAGAAGCCAGTGGCGATCCTGCTGTAACCTTCTTTTACTTTCTTCATTTCACACTTGAATAATAACAACAGAACTTTGCTCTTATCATTAATTAAATCATAAGTTGATTTTATTAATGATTCAAAACATGGTTACGTTTGCGAAAGTAATAGCTTATAACATTATTTAAACTATTGTGAGATGATGAAGAAGATTTGTAGCTCAGTCGGATAATTCATGTGGCGTTAAGTTCTTGGAGCTGTACGGTTTGGTCATGGACCTTTCATCGTTCTTCTGAACAATACTATTGATTTGATTATTGGTCCTATATCTGTCCACGATTATTCTGATTGGTTAATTGTTTGGGTCGATTTCAATGTGTTTGTTGACTGCTGATTGACCGGAGTGCCAAGCTTCTAAAAATTCCTTCTGCCCAAGATCTCAACATTTTACCAGTCGAATGCGTGTACACAGTTGTTCACAAGCATGAATGTAATCGAGGATAGATCACGGCGTTTGACGGTTAATTGATCCTCATGCCGGCAAAGATGAAATGGGCGTCCACTTTAACCAATGTAGCGTTTTCGGAAGTTAAGATTAAATAATTATGTCAGACTATATATACATATATATATATATATATATATATATATATATATATATATATATATATATATATATAATGTTAAGTAACGAGAACGATGAGACTACTTTTCGAAAGTTCTCCAATGAAAACACCAAATAAACAACTTAAATCGAAATAATTTTACCTCAATAGTTGTTAACTGTCCAAAATGTGTACCACGTCGTTCCAGTTGTATACTTCTTGATGTCCATGCTTTATCCCATGCGTTCCACCTTGTTTCTAAACCAGCTAATTGTAAACACATTTCTGAACGTAAACGTTTTCCCATAGTTGATAATGGTAGACCAGAAGTGAATTTATTCGGAACTTCAATAAATCTCCAACTTTGACTATTATAGTCATGATCATCCGGTTGTGCACCAATCATGGAGCCTAATTGTTGAGCTTCTGTTTTTAAATTCAGTGTTAAATGATCTATTTCATTGCGTTCATTATGATGAACCCTTAAAGCTTCTGCAAGTTCATGTGGTTGATTCGGCAATGGTGTTCTGGACATACGTGAAAGTGATGATGTTATCGATTCATCCAACTATATTATCACAAAAATATATAATAGACATAATGTCTATACAAATGGTTATACATTTTTAATGAGTAAATAAATTACTTGACAACATTAAAAATCAACTCATAATTAACAGACTCTTGACTAAATTCTTCAAAGTATTCACAAATGCTTAGAAAGTTATGATAAATGATGAAACAGAAAACACATATTGGTTATTGTTTAATTATCTGGTTAGTAGAAATAGATTTGGATTGAAAATAGTTTCCATTAAAGGCTGATATTCTTTACAGTAGTAGTAACGGTTAGAAATCTTTGAAAAATTGTTTTAAATGTTCGTTTATAACTAACTTTGAAATGAACTTCGATAGGACTATTATTTATGGACGAACCAATCACATATAAGATAATAGGTCTCAGATTTTGGCGCGAAATTCACTCATCCATTTGGATAAATAGAGTTTTGGCATTAAAATTAATGTCATTTCGTAATAAAAACCTGAAATCTAATCTCTAACCTTAATCGTCAACTGTAAATCAAGATCCTAATTCCTCACACAGGTTTATAACCCTCATTTGGTCCTGGTTATTAAGTGAACAATCTCAGGGTCAGTCTAGCGTCTCTCAAAGGTCATCCATAAATTATAGTCTCACCTGAACTTCTGAAGTTTCAGTGCAAAATCTTGACTAACAATATCTAGTCATTATCAGAATGTGTTTTGTGGAGATTTTTAGAAATTTTCACAGATTGAACTCATGAGTCAGTTGAAGCTAGACCACCATTGAAAACCTGGAAGCACTGGACGGCCGTTTCGTCCTAATATGGGACTCCTCAGCAGTGCGCATCCACGACCCCGCACCACTCGCGGCTCGAACCCAGGACCTACCGGCTTCGCGCGCGAGCACTTAACCATTAGACCACTGAGCCGGCATACAATCTGTGAAAATTTCTAAAAATCTCCACAAAACACATTCTGATAATAACAATCACCTGCTCACTAGTGACTGACTTCAGGAGATACTTCTGGAGTTCTAGTGAGAAGTCGTTACCCGTGGAGTTCAACCAGGTCTGTTGTGAGATAGGAACTCACTGAAGACAATGGTGTACGGTAGCGCAACTTCGTGGATTGGTTGAAGTTAGACATTAACACCGTTGGATGCCGGCTCAGTGGTCTAATGGTTAAGTGCTCGCGCGCGAAACCAGTAGGTCCTGGGTTCGAGCCGCGGGTGGTGCGGGGTCGTGGATGCGCACTGCTGAGGAGTCCCATATTAGGACGAAACGGCCGTCCAGTGCTTCCAGGCTTTCAATGGTGATCTAGCTTCAACTGACTCATGAGTTCAATCTGTGAAAATATCTAGTCATGTTGGGATTGAAATAAAGTTATAAATGGTTATTAATGTTTATCACGAATTAACTGTAGTTTAATTTATGAACTGTTTAACTCTGAATCAAAAGCCTTAAATTAAACTTTACGTTATGAGACTGATCTTCTGAGTTCAGTTTTCCATAGATACCACTGTGAAGTATTAATCTACAGTTCTCCTATGAATCTGGTGTTCGTCTTGCTGTGCTAATGGGGTGTGGCAACTTGGACCGATGCATGAATGTGCCTGGTCCTACGTTGTAACTGGCTAACTGATAGTTCTTCAGTTATTACCATATAGTGATATTCATTTAATAATATGATATAACTTACACGATGAGCTGTTTCTGTAAATATAGTCCATTGTTCTTGAGCAAGTTTATATTGATCCCATAATTGTTGACAGTTATCCCAAGAATCGCGTAATTGATTTAAACGTTTATTATTTAGTTCTAATTGAACTTGACAAAAATGAACTGTTTCGGTTATTTGCAAATCTTGATCAGCTCTTTGAGTAATCTGTATAAGAAAAAGATCGAAAGAATAAATATTCGCTAAAAAAGTTTCGTAAAAATATTACTAGGTTGTTTACTGTTATAGTTAGTTATATTGTAGCGAACAGAACACGGGTGGGGACAATCGAATGTTTATAATAGAAAATTACAGGACTTGTTGATAAAATCTAACAATCTTAAAGTAAATACTTAATCTGCAAAATGTCCATCTATTGTCTCAAAATGACTCAGACTTCATTGTTCTTGCATTTTCATACAAATTGCATACTGTATCCATTCTTTACTGTTCGATCCTCTTGTCTCTCTACTGCCAGACCTTCTGTTCACGACTAACATCATACTCTACTTATGTCAATATAAGTGGCACACACCACAATATAATATACCTTTGTGGGCCAGAGTAATTTCACATTGGTTTTCAGAAGAACGAGACACCATATAGGCTTTAACGCTACAATGTGAATAGTACAACTCAATCCTGTGGCGCAACCACACAGGTACAAAGCACTCTGGTGGACCATTCGCACCGTTCATATACACATTCACGTCACATGTATAGTTATTCCTATCGATGATCACGTGAATCAATTATACACAGTATAAACACGGCAAAGTTGATCTATTCCGCTCACATGACAGTCAAATTCATTTACGTTACCAATGGCGACACGCCTTACAGTGTCCCAATGACAATGGCGCTTTAGAACACCGAAAAGCAACCATCAGTATGAATGAAATCGTTTCACTGCCAGACGGCATCATTATTTCAAGATTCTTCCGAGGTATGTATTATGCATTTATAAAATGCTAATAATTTTAACAGTTGAATTCATGAATCGATCTAAGCTAAACCATCATTGAAAACCTGGAAACATTGGACGGGTGTTTCGTCCTAGTATGGGACTTCTCAGCAATCCACACCCACGATCTCACACGCCCAACTTGAACCCAGGACTCGATAAACTACTCACATCTTGGTGCTAAGTTACATTATTATAATCATTACCTCATTTACCCTTCTGTCTGAATATATATTTTACTCAAATACTCCTAGGAATATTCTATGTGGGTTCCGTATCTTCTTATTGTTTTTGTTTTAGAAAAGACACTACAAAATTAAGGAAAAAAACTCTAGTTTGATCCAAATGATTGTTTTGTTATACTTACGTGATTGATAAATTGACGAATGATTATTTGTTCTTCTTCTAAACTACTTGTAGTCATATTTAATTCACGTCGAATTCGTTCAGCTATTTGTTGTGTATCGGCAGTACCAATTACCCAACTTGGATGAAAATCTAAATTAGTTGTTGTTAATTTTATTTTATCAGTTTCATTCATTTTTTGAATTGTCGAATTAAAATGAGCATCATTCTCACGTATACCCTTTAGTAAAGAAGAGAATTGACTAGCTAATTCCAATCGTAATTGAATTATTTGCCTATAACGTGTCCAACAAGATGACAGTTCATTTAAACGATCCTGCAGAAAGAAATTTAAAAAAAGAGTAAACCGGGTGATATTTAAATGGCGTTTGACGGTTTTATCTTATATGGAGGAAAATCAGTCGATTTTTACGGGAGCACATTAGTCGTTTGTGATAATAAAATAAAATAACCTTTACTAGTAGGAACTTATTTTCTCTATCCATAAAAGATAAGCTTCCAAGTCTGATCGCCTCCATCTACATTTACCAGTTCATCTGCTCTTTTGAAACAAGGCACATTGGTCGAAGCCAGTGCTCGCTTTCAACTCGGATACAGGAACACAACCCAGTTTGGTTTTACAAGGGTGAGTGGAAAGCAGTTAGGAGCTCTATACTTGAACACCTAATCGACTATAATCATTCTACTGATCCACAGTTTGATTTTAAGGCTGTGTATATGATTCGTTCAAATCTTCCTAGATGTCTTCGTATCCAACTCCTAAAAATAGCCGAAGCACTTGCCAACCATGAGCTGAAGACAGAACTATACGTACAAAAGGAGTACGTCATATCGTTATTGTTAATTATTATTATCACTGCACTTCTCCCTTTACTTATGTCTCATATTACATCATCTTGGTTTATCCCTTTTCACATTTCCTCACGGAACTAGTAGTTTAACAAAACGTTCTCACACATATTTACCAGAAGGGGTTTTGTGGAGATTGTAGTAATTTCAATAGTTGAGATCATGAGTCAGTTTAAGCTAGACCACCATGAAATCCTGGAAACACAGGACGACCGTTTCATCCTATTGTGGGACTCCTCAACAGTGAGAATCCACGGTCCCGCCGCGCGAGATTGAAACCCAGGACCTATCAGTCTTGAAAAGAGATTCCTTCGCTAAACTTGGTGAAATTGGTGTTCTTAACTGGTATTTTATTTGAAAGAATAGAACTTTTTATATTCAGTAATTATATGAATAATGTCGATTATTAAAATATACTAGACTTTGAAAAGACTGTAGATGACTGGAATAGGTCTTAACAGCCGCAGCAAAAGATCTGTTTGGGATATCTTTTTCTACGGATCTGTAAAAAAGTAAATGGACTAGTTTTCATGTTTAGGCTGATAACGTTAACTAGAACGGTCATAAAAGTTTCACAATAGAATTGTCCAACTCACTCAATATAACGTTAATAACACCTTTATCTTTGGTTTAAAATATCATCATCATCATCATCATCATCATCATCATCATCATCATCATCATCATCATCATCATCAACAGCAACGATACCAACAGCAACATCTCAGAATCCTATAAGCATTTCAAATATTTTTGTGACACTATATCCCTTCGCTGTTAGGTACAAGGGAAGAATCAGAATTCTCATAGGATTTCACGATAGCTGAACACAAGGTCAGATAATTCAATTTTCTGTTCAGTTATGCTGATAGGATTATTTCACACGCATTACGTCTCAATCTGTTAACTGAATATGGTATTTTGTTAGATTGGCTTTATTTAAGTAACTAGAATGTACCATCACTTCGTAATCACTTCTGAACAAATAACGACACAATCAATTAAAAAGTGTCCCAGTGATAATGAACTGGAGATTACCTGTGAGCTCGATCTACCAGCAGGTGGAGATAGTCGACTAATCGCAATTCTTAATTCTTCTAACTCAGGTTCTCTAGATTGCAGCTCACGTTGAAGACGCCGATGTACATCTTCAAAATCTGCTAGTTGTTCGACTGTTGTGCCATACTTTCCATATTCCACGAGCGAACGGTGAATCCTTTGACTTAACCACATGCTCAGCTAAAACAAAAATGAGCAGAAAAAAATTTGAGTCATACGTTGGTATTGTGATGTCGAACTAATGCATTGTATTTTTATACTACTTATAAGTAGTTAAACAATCATTACATTAATATGGGCTCGGTAGAATTCCATCTTAATGTAAAGACAATTGTTAATATCGTCGTAACAATAAAAAAGTAACTAGCTAAAAAGAAATACGTATCATAACCTACTTCATTTAACCGAAATTCTGTTTCTTCACGTTTCTGTACTTTAATAGTTAATTCTTTATGTTGGTTCAGCAGATCTCGGCATCTAGTAATACCTTCTTCAACTTCACGCATTTTTCCAGTAACTGAAGCTGATGCTATTGTAGTGAGATCCAATTCATCAATGTAAGATTGGGTTGTCACACCAAGTTGTGATCTTAAATTAGATGGCCTAATTTTTTCATTATAACTTGTTCTTAACTCATTCATTGTTTGTTTTAATCCAGGTACTCGTACTTCTAGATCAGTTAATTTATTATAATAAATTTCCTCTAATCCAGTTTGCTGAAGATCTCGTGTCCTTTTCATATCGGATTCAAGCTGATAGATTTGGCTAAGTAACTGAAGGGAAAAAAATTGAGAAGAGACAATCTTAGATGGACAACTTATAAAATATTGTGGGGATTTAAAAAGTTAAACATGCATTATTTCTCTTTTAAGTTCTAATTTATCACTTGACAGGAGCTTTCATTCAATACTGTAAGTTCCAGCGATAAACTTTAGCTAAAGTGAAAATGTTTGTAAATTATCCTCTATAAACGTCCATAAAATTAACTGATTTAATAATAATAATAATAATAATAAGTTCCAGTGCTTCCAGGTTTTCCATGGTGGTCTAGCTTCAACTGACTCATGATCTCAACTATTGAAATAATAATAATAATAAGCTAATCATTTCAAACTCACCACATTGATTTCACTATAATAAATCACACTAGTATGCAATTGACGTCTTCGATTTTCAATTCGATCTAAAAATTCCCAAATATAAGATTCAGTAGTTCTTAATCGTGTAATTAATTCAGAATATGCACCGTGTGTAACACGCCATGTATCGGAATCATGAATACTTTTCAATTCATTTTCATTATCTACATCCATACTTAATGATGTAGAATGAATTCCTAATTCTTGTTCTTGTGCACGTAATATTTCAGAAACACTTTTTTCACGTTTTCTACGCCAAGAATCGGTAGTTGTTGCTTGATGAAGATCTTGAGTTAAATGTGAATGAGCACTTTGTAAATCACGTACTTCGTCTGCTAATGTCATCAGTCTATCTAAATTAGTTTGACATTCAGATAAACTTGTTCCAACTTGTAAGTCTGAAAAACGTGGTTCACCAGTCTAGAATAGAAAAGATAATAAAAATTGATTACTTGTATTGTAAATGATCTATTTGTTGTTAAAAACCATTTGTATATTGTTATAAGTAACTATACACTGTGTAATTGCTGACTAATATCATATTATTACGATAGCCGAATTAATTCATATGTGTGAAATGATGTATGCTCTCATTTATAGCTACTGTTTTATTCAATAAGAGCATACTCATCAGATAAGTAGTCATGTAAAAAACATTGTTGCTGAAAGTGATTATTTAAAGCAATTCTCGGAGTTCTGGTGAGAAGCCGTGACCAGTGGAGCTAATCCATGTCGAGTAGAAACACGTATCTACCTCAGTACAATTGAAGATGGTCGCGAAATTTCGAGGATTTGTTGAAGTTACACATTAACACGGTTGGATGACGACTCAGTGGTTGAGATGTTAAGCATTCGCGTGCGAGATCGGGTTCGAATCTCGCGAGCGGGATCGTGGATGCGTACTGGTGAGGAGTCCCATAATAGGACGAAACGGCCGTCCAGTGCTTCCAGGTTTTCAATAGTGGTCTAACATCGATTGGTTCATGATCTCAATCAAAAACTTCATGATCCCCAAAACCTTATACTGATAAAACAGTAATGCCCGTTATACAATCCATTCTTATAGTCATCTTTGTTAAGATAAGTAGTGAATACCTAGTGAAAGTATATACTTTTAAAAGTATATTAGATCTTAGAGAATTAATTTAAAATATTTACCTTTACAAACCAATCAACAATACGTTCTAATTCTGCTTCCATAGAAACAACAGTTAATCTTAATTGAAGTAGATGATCACGACGATTCCAAATATCTTCTGCATGTCTTCTAGTCATTCCAGCTTTTGAAGTAATTGCAGCTACGTGTTCACGTGCTACAATACTTGCATGTCTAGGACCAGTGTTTGATGTAGAAGTTGAACTGCCAGTTTGGCTTGACATACGACCAAGTAGTTCTAATAAATTATTAGCTGAATTCAGGAGATTATGAGATGGTTCTAACAAACCAGTACGTTTTAGATTTTCATGTTCCTATTATCAGTGATAAATTGAAAATTTAATAACAAATTTAAACGACAAAAGATATTCTATTATATTGTCATATACAACGGATATGTATATGTGTAGTGAACGAATGTAATTGAATACAAAATTTCAGAACTTCTTAGTAAAATCTGAGCACCGTACCGTAAGTACTTCATTTGCAAACTTTCTATCAATCGTCCCAGGCTTTATTACTCTTTCGTTTCCACGCCAATCATTCTCCGTTCTTGTTTTCTTTTCTTTGATCTTCTTAACTTTCTACCACCAGGTACTTCACTTTCGATTGATGATACATACTACATATATCTGTCGATATCAGTAGCACACACCACATATAGATTTTTCTATCTGTACTCTTTTGCTCAATTTAAACATAATTTTCATTATGGAATGAAATTAGCTTAAATAATAAAAAAAACTGAAGGTCCTGTTTTATATCCCGTCAGTCATGAGAGTAAAGGATCATAGTTTATCAGATTAATATGAAACAATCATCTAAATCTGTTTTTAATGTTTTAGTCCTCAAGTAAAACCATTAACTTGCTTGTGGTTTTTAGATTTTTAGAAATTTGAATCTTGGTGTTTTCAGGTCTGTTTGCCCATTGCAGAAGACGTCCTTTTAACGTAAGTGTGATTTAAGATGGTATTTTTGTTGTTCAGTGGATCTTTATGATTTCGCCTGAAGCCTATCTAGGACTACTGCAGGTCTCACGCTCAGATAAAAGAGGAGAATCGACCATAGGGTTAGCGACCCAATCCTGTAGAAAACTAACTCGCTAAAAAAACGCAAACTAGACAAAAATAATTCAAACCATTTAAACTCTGCCCTGGCAGTTAGAAGGTCTTTATTTAGAAGAGTTATGACGTCTCATGGTGAAAGCCGAGTTCCTTCGGAAGACACGAGGTGATGCCTCTTCTGACAACCAGAACAACAATTAATTTAGGTATATTTAGTGTTTTTACAATGTGGGATACCGGGAGAATCATCCAAGTTACTGTAAAAATGAAAAGATACATCCCGGAAGTGCCTGTAATTAGAACACCCTTAACTCAAAACAACTGTCAACCAACACCAAAGTCAGCATTTTCAACACAGATGGGGGGGGCAGAAACTTGGAGAACTACGAAATCCATCATCCTGAACTGTTTAATAACAGTTGTGCACGTAAAATACTTCGGATCCGTTGGCCAGACACTATCAGTAACAACCTACTATGGGAGATTCCAGAATAGGAAGAAATCAGAAAGAAACGCTGGAAGTGGATAGAAAAGACATTGAGGAACAAGGCAAGCTCTCACTTATACTCCTCAAGAGCAAAAGAGAAGAGGAAGATCAAAAGACACATTACGCCGAGTAAGGGAGATAGACACTAGAAGAATGAACAAAAATTGGATCGATCTATAAAGGAAGGCCCAGAACAGAGTGAGTTGGAGAATGTTGATCGACTGCCTATGCTCCATTGGGAGTAACAGGCGTAAATAAGTAAGTGTATCTTTATGCAGTGATAGTGATCATAGATATATTTCATAATCTTTTTCTTTTAGATCTCTACAAAATAAATCTTTACCAGTTTATTTTCCAGATTAACCAAAGTTAGGAAATAAAGAGAAATTTCCATATTCAGATTTAGGAATTAAAGTTTATTTCAAAAACGACCTCTTTAAACCAACATCACTTTTCAAGCAAGAAAAAAGAACAGATGAATCACTAATGAAGAACCCAAAAATATGTCAACATTGGTGTTTCAAAGGAAAAAAAATGAAGAAAATTGTGAATCATCACGTTAACATCATGTTCTATTTGTAAAATAACATTTTTTTTATTTACAATCCAAAAAGGTAATTGAATAGTATTGTTGTTAACGCATACACAGTAACAGTGTACACAATTCTAGTTATTTTGTTTTCTTTTTGTAAGGTAAATTTGTTTACAGATTCTTCCTTTTAGTTGTTAACAAACACAAGAAGAATAACCATAATTTGTTTATATTCTCGAAATAAGTAGTAAACTATGGGTTGTTATTCATTGACACCATAGTTATTATTATTATTACAGTATGACTTTAATTTATGGACGACCTTTGAGCAACGCAAAAGTGACCTTGGAATGTCTACCACCTGTAACTCCTCGTGGACGAACATAGGCCGGCCACCAGCATTCTCCATCCAACTCTGTTCTGGCCAATCTTTCCCAGTTGCTATTCATCCTTTTCATGTCTGCTTCGAATTCATGACACAGTGTGTTCTTCGAACTATCACTTTTCCACCTACTTACCAGGATTATATATTAGTTCGACGAACTAGGATTACGATTTATAATTGAATGTTAGGCTTAGGAATTAAATTTAATGCTTTCATCATGAACTGACATCAGCTATAATGCTGAAATGATATTCAGCCAAATGAGTGAATGAATTTCGCGCCGAAATCCAAGACCTGCTATCCCATATCTGATTGGTTCGTCCATATATTATAGTCTTGCCATATAAACATATATGGAAATGGAGGAATAACAAAGTCTGAGACAAATGATGGATATTTTGCAAATGAAGTATTTACTGTATTGTTCTCGGATTTTACCAAGATATTCTATAATACTGTATTAAAATACGTGTGATCGTTCCCACCGATGTTGTCGTATACAACAATACTACTACGAACCAAAGAAGCAAGGATAGTGATAATGCATGAACTTACTTCAATTAAACGACGAACTGAACTGATATCATGACCCCAACTACCAGTAATGCATAAATGTTCAACTCTTTCAGCTTGTTGAATTACATTGTCAGCTGAATTAAAGCATTCCATAGCTAAATCTAATAATCTTCCACGTTGAGTTAATATACCGAGTAAATCACGCCAAGCACGATTTAATGATTCAGCCATTGCTGCATACACTTGACTTTGGTTATCTGAAGTTTGCTGTGTAACTAAATCGTCAGCTTTTGATAAAAGTTCTGATATTTGTTCTTGTTTCGACTGTAAAAGAACAATACAATACTCATATAGAAACTATGAAATGAAGAAATAGCATAAATACTAACATCGTTAATTTACCTGTTTTGTTAGCTTAGCGACATGTTGGGTGATTCAAGACGGTCTTCAAGAAGCTCTAACCCAGATTTCATGCTATTTGGCACTTGTAACAAACGTACTGACTACCTTCAACCTCCTAACATTACGACATGATACATACAATGTCGAGTCACATAGACTAGTGGTCACATTGAAACTTAATCGAGGGAATTCAACTAGTATTACAAAGGACTAAACAAACATGACATTAGACACTACCAAATGGTCAGTCAATTGTAGTTCAGAGGCCTTCTGGAGTATGTGGATTTGTTGATATGACATTCAGTCAACTAGCTTATACAAACTAAAAGTCAAGCGTTATTAGCTGTCAATTATAAACTAGATAATAATTAGTTTATTTGCTCATGATAGAGATATTGATTATGATCAAAGATATAAAGCTTTTTATTGAAAAGATAACTTGGGTTTTGGTAAAGTTTTATCAATCACTGAAATAAACGATGCTCATTAATATACTCTGATTTCCAGGAAAGTTAGTTCAGTAGTATAACAACAAAAAATTATTAGCGTTCATAAAACTATTATTCATGTTTTATAGTTGAATTCATGAGTCCATTGAAGGTAGACCACCATGGAAAACCTGAAAGCACTGGACAGACGTTTTGTCCTGTTGTTGGACTCCTCAGCAGTGCGCATCCACGGTCCCGCTACGCGAGATTCAAACGCAGGATCTATCAATCTCGTGCGCAAACGCTTAACTTCTACACTACTGAGCCGACCGGCATCCAACGGTGTTAATATCTAACTTCAACCAATAATGTCCATAATTTTATTAGTTAAATAAATAATTCTGTACAGGTCGATACTGTACTGAATAAATTTAATGAAGCACGACAACTTTAAATGAATATAATCTTATCTCTAAATTCCTATCATGGTTATCAAAAATTTTTAGTCAAGTAAGAATATTTAGTTTAATATTAAATGTAAACTTTGTAAACAATTTCTAGTTTTTCTGGTTTTAAGCTTTAATAGAAAACTAGATCACGTTGAGTGATTATTTCATTTTTTTTCCATAGAAGATACTACTGATAACTTACCAATAAAAACTATTTGTTTCTAATGTAAGACACTTCATGAATATTGCTCAGTATCGGGGAATTGGCTGAAGTTACAGATATGAAACTAGAAATATATATTGTACCTGTGACAAAACCTATGTTCAATATTTTTTTCAGAATGGGAATTTGTGGATGAGTCCCAAGTAGATCAAAATGCGCTTCCTGAATTCCACTACTAGCCACTATCGATCTTTGCTTAAAAAGCTTGTGAAGTAAGGCAATATCGAGGCAATTTGCTCAGTATACACATATGCCAATAACAGACTGATCAATTGCAGACGGGATGATTCAAATAAACAATACCAAGTAGAGTCAAACGTCACCCCATTGCACAAGCGAGTAGCTATCAAAACTCAGTAGCTAAGTGGATAGCGCGATAGAGTTTGAAGCGAACTGTACTAGGTTCGTGTCCTAGAGTGAACATCAACACTAAGATGCAGGTACATCCAGTTGACGAGTCCCAAATAGGAGGAAACGCGCATCAAACTGCTTTCCACAACTAGTCACCATCTATCTATTACAAGAAAAAATATCGATTATTTTCCTTGGAACATTCTTAATCGGCTTATCTTGATCAATACATCGTTTCAGTTGGGTTTTTTTCTTCCAATAAACAGAATTTTGGAAGAAAACAGTTGTTGTTGTTTTCTTTATTTTTTTTCATATTTTCTTAGTTATAATTGACAGAATATATACCATTTTCATTAATGTCTTAACTATACCTGTTGTATACATGAATGAATGTATACATGAAAAAAATTGAATGAATGGTTAACTGGCACAAAAAAGAAACTAAATTACTATAAATACTACTATTATAACTACTAACATTAAGAAGAAAATTTATTTGAAACTTAAACTATGTTGTTATTTATTATAGAATGAATCATAAGTCATTCTAGTAATTCATTTCATGTGTTGTTTTATTTGATTATTATAAAGAAACATTCAAAATGTTAATTAAATAAGATAGGGTATCAAATGTATAGAGATTATAATTTATGGATGAACCAATCAGGTGTAAGATAACAGGTCTCGGATTTTGGCACAAAATTCACTCATCTATTTGGCTATATAGATTCATGGTATTATAACTGATATCAGTTCGTGATGAAAACCCTAAACCTAATTCATAACTATAACCATCAACTGTAAAATTATAATTATAATTCCTCATACAGCTTTATAACCCTCATTTGGTTCTAGTTATTATTTGGACACTCTCAAAGTCAATCTAATGTCGCTCGAATGTCATCCATAAATTATAGTCTCAGCATAGATTCTATTATTATACATATGTAAAATTGTTTTATTAATCAATATGGGGTTATGGAGATCGTTAAGTTTAGATTGATATCATGAATGTCTTATTAATTCCATTATGATAGATCAGATTAGATTTTATAGCAATAATCAATAATTAATTTAATGATGACTTTATTTGACATTATCAACAAATTTGATCTAAAAAAATTGATGATTAACGTCCAAAATATTAAGCTTCTATTTTATAGTGAGTTATCTGTTTAGCTTTTGGATTATTTTTTCTGGTTAACGTTTTTTAGCGAGTTAGTTTTCTATGGGATGAGGTCGCCAACCTCATGCCCAACCCTTCTTCTTTATCTGGGCTTGGGACGGACAGTGACCCCAAAAGGGCTCCAGGCGGAGATAGACATGAGGAAAATGAACAATAATTGGATAGAAATAAAAAAGAACGGTCCAGGACAGAATGGGTTGGAGAATGTTGGTCGGCGGCCTACGCTCCATTAAGGGTAACAGGCATAAGTAAGTGAGTAATCTGTTAAGCTTTGTAAAGAACTTTTCACTACTCTACAATTTGATTTGATTGTTTTTAGATAGTAGATCAAGTGAATGAAAGGTTTTCAAGCTATATGGAGTAATTTTGATAGTTAAGATCTTGAGTCGATTGAAGCTAGACCACCATGGAAAACCTGGAAGTACTGGACAGTGGTCTAGCTTCAACTGACTTATGATCTTAACTATTAAAATTACTATAATATTCGCAAAACCCCTTCTATATAAGGTAGTAAATAGCTTTTTTAATAATTTATAAAAATTGTGTAAAAATATTCCCCCTTTAGATCTGTTGGTTAATACGAAATGGTTATTACTAGTGTTTCCGCATGTCGATTAATCCATAATATATCATGATCATCTACTCAAATTATTAGTGTATTTATTTTTGTTATCAGATGGTTTAGCTATAAAATTTAAGAATGTGTCCATGGAGATTAGTTCACCAACGACTGGTTATTTTTTACTTAGTAATAATGAAATATAAAATGTAATTGTTCTTCAACAAAACACTGATCCTCTATATAATGAGGATTTCAATAACAGTTTGTTTCTGGTTACTAATTCTAGTTATAGCTCTTAAAACGATTGTACAAGGCTATCTGTGTTGGAAATGGATGTATATATTTTTTCTCATAGCATAACTGGATACTCAACATAATAAATGTTAAGGAAATCTACTTTTTATCCCGATGAGAATAATGAGTGGTAACTGTCGGAATCTATTTCTGGACCAATACTAGACGTATGTCTTTATCATATAATTGTTAAATAACTAAACTATGCATATTTATGTTCCTCTTATCATAAGCTTTATTTTGACCCATAAACTATTGTTATACGATTTACCATTCTTGAGTTATTCCCAGTCTATCAATTACTATCTTCCACATTCACAGCCACATTTGGCTAAATCTTGTACAAATGTTGTTTCCTATTTTATAGTACGATGTAGTCTATTTGGTTGGTATATAAACCTAGTATCACGGAGGCTGAGATTAGTGTTCTGGACTCAACAGGCAGTGCTAGGCGTGAAACAGGACCGGTAAAAACTCTAGACTGATCGTACGGGTTTTATACGTCATTAGTCCAGTCGAAAATTCAATGTTCTCTAATTGACGGTATCATTAAGTTATACATTAATAAGGACATGGGGCACAAGTTATAACAAAATGATTCTCATTTATCTTATCTGTATTTTAATTTCATTCGCAAATGATGGGTATTTTTGATTTAATTCTGAAGTCACCTAATTTATCTATATCCTAAGATCATTGAATACATTACTTAAATGAGTAAGTTTATAAATAATCATAATAAAACTGGATGTCTCTATTGAGTTATTCACCAAAATAGATATCAATTTGTAACTGAGATCTAGATTCATTAAACGATAGTCTATTATTAATGGCCTTACAGTTAATCCTTCTAAGTATCAAACTCTTAATTTTAGCTTGAGACATCAAGTGCATTAGAATATCCTATCAGAAGCCCGTAAAATGTATACTATTAGAAATTCTATAATTAAAAAAGTAGCATGTCTAAAGTCATTTATTTTTGTATACATTTTTCCATCGATCTCTCTTCTGTTTGGGAACCCGGGCAGTATCCCAGCCCTCACATAAATCGAATGATTCGTGTGGCGCATATCTTATTGGTGTCTCCTTGTACCTATGTTTGTGTTTAAATAATAATAATAATAATAATAATAATAATAATAATAATAATAATAATAGTAAAAATAATGATAATAATCGATCTACCGACCTCTCTTAGCCTCTTCATGTTTTATTGATATCAAAGAAAGTTTTCCGTTTGACTTATTATATAAGGAGACTATGTGCTTTTGGCATTATTCTACATTTACTTTAATGATTCATAAATTTTTGTATATTGCAATAATCTATCGTGTTAACAGCAGTCTACCTAATTCCGTCAGACTGCGAATCCTACAGACGGCTGAAGTAATTGCTATTCGGATCAAAAAGCCATGGCTTTGTATCCAAAAGAAGTATGTTTAGCCATTCCTTTTACTCTGGCCAACTTTGGGGCCAACTAGTCAATAATTAATTTTATAATATGGTGACGTAATCTGATTAATGTTCATTTTATGTCCCAAACTTATCTTATTACTATTACTATGATCTTTACCACTGTGCTTACCACTTCTATCATTGTTATTATTATTATGAATACACTTGTTAAGCTTTTTAAGGAATTTGCTCAATATCTACCCCTAAATCTACTATATCTGACCTAATTCTTAGTATTCTACATATTACGTAATTTCCAATTTGTAATCACAATATTCTCTCTCTCTCTTACCCCATGTTGACCACATTTATTCTGTTCATTTATCGCACAATTTCACTTTGCTTATAAACTGATTCAAGTTAACACTTTTTTAAACAGCCCAAATATTAACGATCTGAATTGATTTTATATAACAAACAACAATTCTCAATTCATATATTACAATAACCAAATGATGTACTCTCTGCCTTAAATCTGGCCAATCTTATGGATTATTAATTTGGTCATGAGATAATTGTAGAACCTGATGAGAAATTATTGAAAAGAATATTCTTCGTTCATACAATTGTGTTTTAATTTTATCTATTATTCCCTACTGTTCCTTATTATTCTTTCTCGGGAATTTGAGAAAAGATTTTGCTATGTTACGAAAAGAGTTAAAGGCAGTTAACAGTGTATATGTGTAGTGGATCTTTTGAGGTCATTATGAATATGGTTGTGGTTTAGACATTTAAAATCTTACAGACTTCTGATAAGTGTTGTTTTATTAGATATTAATCACTCAATTCATTCAGATTTTTCTCCTGGATTATCTTCTGATAGAATGAAATGACAATACATTAGAATTTACGAATATATGCAAAGGTATAAAAGCTCTACAATATCTTATCTAATGAATATACATTGTGGAGAATAGGTTGTAAGAACTGGCCTAGTTAAAAACTTGTACTTATCCTATTAGAGAAGAGTTTCAGTTCATTTCAGATAGTCTATTTACATATTTCATGTACTTTGTGCTGAGAATTCCATATTGTACTAAACATATAATATTGAATAAAGTTATGGGTAATAATAGTTAAGGGCAACAACAATCAAACTAGAGCATTTATGAAATAAGTAGCATTGTAACACTTATGCTTTCTTCTCTAGTTAGTTTGATGCATCCTTTTCTTTCAAGTCTGACTCCTATAAGTTGTACGTCAATATATATATATATATATATATATATATACAATATCACTATTAATGATCATTTTCATGAGTTGCTTGACCGCAGCCAAATGCTTAAGATATTTCAAGGAATTTAAATCACAACTAAAAACAAATCATTTTAAGCAGATATGAGTGATGGCCAACATTGGAATCCAGAATGCATGTTTCATCCTATTCATGACTCGTCAGTTAAATGAACGTGCATCTGAGATGTGTTGATGATTAATTTGGGACTCGAGTCCATTATCGTTTGCTTCAAACACCATCACATAATTCCCTTAGCTACTGAATGTAGATAGCCATTAGTTTTTGCATTATTAGCGGATATGACTTAAGACAATATCGAAGCAAAAGGAACAGGATGCATATATGCCAATAACAGAGTGATCATTTACAGTGATGGCCAACATTGGAATCCAGAATGCATGTTTCATCCTATTCATGACTCGTCAGTTAAATGAACGTGCATCTGAGATGTGTTGATGATTAGTTTGGGACTCGAGTCCATTATCGTTTGCTTCAAACACCATCACATAATTCCCTTAGCTACTGAATGTAGATAGCCATTAGTTTTTGCATTATTAGCGGATATGACTTAAGACAATATCGAAGCAAAAGGAACAGGATGCATATATGCCAATAACAGAGTGATCATTTACAGTCCTAACCATCAATTGGAAAAATCAAACAACCAATACAAAAATGAAGTAATGACAACAAGTAAATTATCGCCATTTATTATATTAGAAATCAACTGTCAATTTTATAAGAAACTGTCTACTCTTCCACACCAATATCTTATCTGGGTTGAGAATGTATATATATGTCTATTCCAATGAAAATAAGATCAACAAAATAGAATTTTATTCTTTATTTCTAAAAATAACTTACCGCTAATTTAGTACATAAATGTTGATGTATTTCATGTAATGAACGAGCTTCATCAGCATTTGCACCAATATCATAAAGATCTGGCTCCATACGTTGAATTCGAACACGTATCCAACTTCCACACTTTAACAAAGACAAAGAAAATGAAATAATTTAGTCATAAATTTAGTAATGATGTTTCATTGAATCATTTTTTTCACAGTACATAAATATCTTGACTTGAATCTTACAGAATAGTGTACCATCATTCTTAGTAAAAAAAAGACCCAGGGAAAAATCGTAATAAACTGATGTTATTCTCACTGATCTGCTTTGCAAAGTGTAATACTCAAGAAGCTAGACTACTATTCAAAACCTGGAGGCGCTAGACGGCCGTTTTATCCTATCACAGGACTCCTCAGCAGTGCTCATTCACGCTCATGTTGGTGGTACTTGAACTCAATGCCTTCTACTTTGCGCGCAAACGCCCAGCCTCTACATCATGGATCCGGTTCCAAAAGGAGTTCAATTCTAACTTTAATCAATTTATGATGGTGAGCAGCCGTTCATCCACTGCTTGAGGTAGATATCTGTCTCATATCCGATGTGTATTGAACTCTACTGATCACGGCTTCTCATTAGAACTTCAGGAGTTACCCTTTAAGTTAGTCACTAGTGAGGACATGATTGTAATCAGCAAGGAGATTTATGGTGATTGTAGTATTTTCAAGGTTGAAATTGCAAGTCGATTCAAGTCCAGTGCTTCTAGAATTTCAATTGTGATCTGGCTTAGAATGACTCATGATTTCAACTATATAAAACTACTACAATCTCTGCAAATACCCATACTGATGATATTAGTATAAACAACGTGATCTAATTTTATGTTCAGTTCCTTAAATATTGAGGTGGATATATGATGACCAATGGATAACCAGGATTATTATCAATGGATTCTTCTACTTTTAGAAAGTAATGTTTGTAAAATAAGTACCATTCATTAGAGGATGACATTTCAGGTTGTTGACATAATAAATTTCGACCGTACGCTGTACAAAAACATTCGTGATAATAGGTTATATTTTCTTGCTTATAGGAGTTTAAAGAAATGAACAATACTATAAAGAATTAATGGACTTAATTAAGTTTATTTTAAAAAGTAACAAAGGATAGTGATAGCCTATGACTGAATGAGTATTCCACTAAAAAGTGTCGAAAAATGGCTTCAGTATCGGTCACCAACACTATCCTTTAAGTGTTTTGGTAACGATTACATTATGTTTATTTAAGATTCCATCTGCATTTTGTTGTTATCTATGCTACAAAACATATCATTTGGGGTCAGTTGACAAGAAACTATTGAAAATCTTACATAAACCTTGAACTATATCTTCATCAACCTTTTGTTAATTACTTACAACATTAATAAAGCTAACAACGTTGGACGGCCTGCTTGAATATCTGAGCTACTTGTTTCTGCAATCTCGATATTTCAACAAGTTATCTGGAGTTTTCTTGTTTGTTCTAACACATCATTATGCCTATTTGTCTCATAACCTATTCAGGTCCGTTTGTGAAAAGTTTACGACATTTCTCTGTACAAGTTACAAAAGAACTCAATCAGAGACATTATGGTTGCTGGCAATATACCTCGAAAAGAATGTACATTATTCAGATGTCAATTCCTGAACTGTTAACATCTAGTTGGCGATCACTCAATATTTATCGTCAGGATCAATCAAGAAAAAAGAAATGAGAAACTTGTTGAAATACTTTGTGCTGAAAATTCTGTATTATACCAAAAGTATAATACTGAATAAGGCTAATAATAATAATAATAATAACAAATATAAAATATATGTATTTGCAACCAATTAGGTGAGACTGAGACGTATTTCCATTATCTTTTACACATCAGGAAGATTTGTCTGTAATTTTGAAGAAACTAATCCTTTCTTAGTATTTCGAGCAGTATTATTGGGCTCGAACATTCAGTTTCAACCACTGAGTTACACATAGACTATGAAATCATGTAACCTGTAGATTATAAATTGTTTAGATTAGTATGTTGAAAAATGTTTCGTTTATACTGTATTTAATAGACACATCTGAGTTTTAAGGAATGTACATGATATGCCCGGTATCTATTAAATACAAAGCCATTGAATTATTTAGAGCTATTTTATTTCTCAGTCTGAGATTCCTTGTAACTTGTTCGGAAATGTGAACATGTACTCTTCTCTGTGTGTGCTTTCAAAATTACTTTTGACTATTACAATGGCAGATACTGAATCATTTGAGATAACTAATCCTGGACTACTAGTTTGAGTAAGAAGATTTTTCATTCTAAACTAAAATCATCATAATGTTAGGATTAGCAATCACAATGTTTTACTCTATAATTGAGATCAAGTTTTGGATATCTCATATGTTGTCAAGAGATTGAAATGAAATCGGAATTCACTTGAACTACAAACTAAACTATCTCATCTTGGTACGGTTCAATAAATTAGGGACAACTGATTTAAATGAACACTTGATTTCGTTAAACCGTTATAGTTCGTGACTTTAAACAATCAATTCCGAAGGCATAACTGGGATTTACGACAACGTAACTTCCAAATTGCAATGAAAATGAAACCAAACAAACATGATATTATCAGTATGGACTTGTACAGATTATTGAGTTTTAATTCATTGCATCTTGACAACTGTCTTCAAAGAGTTTTTTAAAATTCTCTTTATTTAAGCACTAAGATATTTCAAATAGATGTAACTATTTTAATGGTTGAAATCATCAGTTAATTAAGGCTAGACCATCATGAAAAACCTGGAATCACTAAGCGGCCGTCCTGCAATAGTATGGGATTAATAAGCAGTGTGCATCGACGACACCAATCGTCTGGCGCACAAACGCTCAAATTATAGACTACTGAGCCGGCCGGTATCCAACGCTGTTAATGTCTTACTTCAACTAACCCACGAAATTCACCCACCATACAATATTGTCCTCAGTGAGTTACTATCTCACAACTGACCCGGTTGAACTCCACTGATCACGGCTTCTCTCTAGATCTCTAGGAGATAAGTTTTGGATACACACTGCTGAGGAGTCCCATACTAAGACGAGACGGCCATCCAATGTTTCCAGGTTTTCCATGTTTGTCTATGTTTAATTGACTCATGAATTCTACTATTAAATTACTAAAATCTCCACAAAATCTTTCTCTGATTAAAATGTAACTATGATAAAAAGGTGTCAAAAACACCCTCAGTAGTTTGAATGCCAAACTAATTAAACATTTAACGACTTTCTCACTGTTCATGAATAATTGTTTAGGTGAAACTATAATTTATGGAAGAACCAATCAGATTTACGATAACATGTCTAGGATTTTGACGCGAAATTCACTCATCCAATAAGTTATAGAGCATTTTGACATTTTAGCTGATATCAATTCATGATGAAAGCCCTAAATCTAATTCCTAACTCTAACCATCAATTATAAATCATAATCTTTATTCTTTACACAGGTTTATAACTCTCATTTAGCCCTAGTAAGTAGGTGGACATTCTCAATGCCACTTTGATCTCGCTCAAAAGTCGTTCATAAATTATCGTCTCACCACTGTTCACCATTGTAGATCGAAATTCTAGCAAAAATATAAACCACACGGGTAACCAATAAATATACTCTGCAATGAGTTTTCAACTATTTTCACAGATTTAAGTTCAAAGTAATGACTTAAAGAATCAGGTACACATCTACCCCTCTACAATCTCATTAGTTATATGTATTATAGTGAATAAGAACACAAGTGGGGACAATCTAATGTAATCTAATATAAAATGATAGAACATCTTATTGAAATCTGAGAAGCATACAGTGAATAATTCATTTGCAAAACGTTAATCAATTGTCTCAGACTTGACTGATTCTTCCTTTCCACACCAATCACTCTGTTCTCGTTCTCTTTTCTTCGTTTTATTAACCTTCTGTCTCCAAATATTTCACTTTCGATTGATGAGACATATTACTTATATCTGTCGAGATCAGTAGCACACACCACAGTATTACATTTTGTTCCTTCTTGTTGTAATATATGAATACTTATCATACATTACTCAGTCCTATACACAACACAGTCGCTCTTACAATGAAAATTACAACCTTCAAATTATACAACGAACATCATTATTCGTAGACGACTGGGTTACAATCCATTCACTTTATAATCAGACAAATTTCTTAACCAATGTCATTTGTGAATTAAGTAATTGTCAAGACGAAAGTTGTCACAAACATTATAAAATATCCGTAAACTAACGTTATACTTAGTGATAAATTCACTTGGTATTGTTTGTTTGAATCTACTTATTGATATTTAAGAGTGCAATCTCTTAAGAGTGCAGCCTCTTATTTATTGGCATATGGGCATACTGTGCGTATTGCATCCTGGATTCCATTGTTAGCCAGTATACATCTTAGTATATAAAGAATGATAGTTTTAGATTTTAATCACACATTTAATTATATATATCGATTTATTCCCATAATTTGTCAAAATTTCAAAACAGTTGTGTAATTAGAAGAAATATTATTTGAGCTATAGTATGTCACGGCGGGAGTGTTGTTTGCGAAATTGAAAGCACGAAAAACGAATGTTCAGCACTTTAACCGGGTTGGTGGATACGAAGAGTTCACCTAGGGGAGTTGAAAAACTCTGATCCCAAATCAATGATGCACATGGGCTCCAATATCTTGAGGGAACAAATGGTGTACGAACTAATCGTTGGTCACTGGCTACCACGAGACTGCATCTCCTGACGTTGCTCCACTGCCTTGTGGATTAGATCTTTAGATCGAAGGCTCCGAATATGGCTTCAAAAGAAAACCACATGTCTCGGTTTGGGCAATCGGACAGTATCCCAGTCCTCACACAAATCGACTGATTTATGTGGCGCATATCTATATGGTGCATCCTTGTACCAATATTTATGTGTTTAAATAAATAAATAATAAAAAAATTTTTAGAAAAAACTAATATAATTACAAACAACATGAATAACAATAGAAAACTTACACGTAATACAGCAAGTACAATACGTGCATTACCAGCTTGTAATGCAACTGTACTAATTGTTGTTGTTGTTGGATAACCATCAGAGAAATCAGATGAATCACAGGAACTTGCTTTATCTGACATAATTTTTTTTTTATTAATATATTTATTGAATTAATGGAATCAAATCAACTATAATTTAATTATTATAAATACTGCTTCTAGATAGATTGAATTAAACGAAAATAAACTTGATGTATTCTATTGTACATAATGTGCTCAAATGATGTTATCGTTTAGTTTAAATAAAATACCAACGTATACATATATATACACTTACATATACATATGATAGAAGAGATATTTAAGGAGAGAAAAAGTAAAGGGGAGTACTTTGTAAAAACACTCGGCTATTATAATAACTAATAGTACATACACTAAATGAATATCAATTATATCGATGGATAAATGTAAATATTGGAGAATAGATTAGTTCACGTATGTATATGTATATTTGTAATAATATATATATATAAGGTTGGTATTATTATTATTTGTTTTCCACTGTTCTTTGATACTCTTCAAAGAAATCTTGTTGAATAGGATTCTTCGAAAATTTTATATCATACAGAAATGTTGAATTAATTATTTCTTCCTAAAAAGTAAGAATACGTACTATTCAACAGATTTTTACCGAGTTTACTAATTAAATATAAACAATCATCATGTTTTATAATGATCGGTACCTATTGTCTATCCTACCCTTAAGTGATATTTTTTTTGTAACTAGTCAAATATGTACAGACTTTAGCGTACACATAAACATATACACACATATACATATATATATACAAGTAAGTATGTACACTTTGGTTTCCAATACACACCACTTTTTACCCATTTACATAAACATCAATTCTATAAACCTTTCGATCATTTCCTAAACACTTGAATTTTATTGGTTGAAATAACACTCATATAATATAACTTTAATTCCCATTCTGTTGTTTAATACATATCCTATAAACTATTGAAATATATCAATATGTGCATATTATTTAGATTGTTAAAACAAAATAATTGGTTAAATAAAGAAATCCGCCCACAATTATGTTGTGACAGTACATTTACATTGATGCTTATTCTTATATTACACATTTGCATTTGGACCCTTATGTATATATGAATTACTAAATTCATATAACCATCGGTGTTATATTGGTGTATACATGTATACATTTTTGTGTATCATTATATAATGAAATATTTCCCAAAATAGAAGTTAAACAAAATCAATTAAATTTTATTGATCTATTTGGCAAGGATTTTGTGATTTTTTTCTTAAAATGATAATAAGGAAATTAGTTCATTTTCCCACATTAAGAATAAAGAATTAAGCTTATCTTTTTCATGATAGATATGATAGAATTAATTGAAATCAACATTCAGAATAAAATTTAATATCTAGTGAGGGGATAAACATAATAATAGTTATGTAACTCAAAGACTAGTAGACTTCATTTTTCATTATTCATGTCTTATTCTGTCAGATAAATCAAAGTTGAAATTGTAGATTATTGGAAGTATCAGAACTAATCATTGGTTTGAAAGCTGTGAATATACTCTACTGTTCAATCTTAAAAGAGAATGAATTATCTCTTTTCAACGAATTTATTATCAAGCTGTACAATCGTATATATATGAAAATTTTGTTTTTGTAAAAGTACTAATTCCGTGAGGAAATGTGAACACAGTTAATAAAAAGGGTTATAATACAAGATTACGTAACATCAATTGATTTATGATCTCAATCAAAAACTTAACAATCTCCACAACCCCCATACTGATAATTAATATGTGCTCACTGGTGACTAGCTTCGTGAAGGAATTCTCGGAGTTCTAGTGAGAAGCCGCGACCAGTGGAGCTAATCCGTGTCGGGTAGAGACAGGTATCTACATCAGTACAATGGAAGTTGTTCGCACAATTTCGTGGATTGGTTGATGTTATACACTAACACCATTGGATGCCGGCTCAGTGGTCTAGTTGGTTAAGGACCGATAGGCCCTGGGTTCGAATCCCGCAGGGAGCGGGATCGTGGATGCGCACTGCTGAAGAGTCCCGCAATAGGACGAAACGGCCGGCCAGTGCTTCCAAGTTTCCAACGGTGGTCTAACATCAACTGATTTATGATCTCAATTAAAATGTTTTTGTGTGAAAAATAATAAATAAGGTGATATGATGAGTAATTACCAATAAAACAATGAGAATATAAAACATGAGTAAAGGGGGAAATGCAGTAATAATAATAATAATAATAATAATAGGATAATTAAAATAATTAAGGCCAGGGTAACGATAACGATAAGACGTACTTCTTTTGTACGTATAGTTCTGTCTTCAGCTCATGGTTGGCAAGTGCTTCGGCTATTTTTAGGAGTTGGATACGAAGACATCTAGGAAGATTTGAACGAATCATATACACAGCCTTAAAATCAAACTGTGGATCAGTAGAATGATTATAGTCGATTAGGTGTTCAAGTATAGAGCTCCTAACTGCTTTCCACTCACCCTTGTAAAACCAAACTGGGTTGTGTTCCTGTATCCGAGTTGAAAGCGAGCACTGGCTTCGACCAATGTGCCTTGTTTCAAAAGAGCAGATGAATTGGTAAGTGCTGATGGAGGCGATCAGACTTGGAAGCTTATCTTTTGTGGATACAGAAAATAAGTTTCTACTAGTGCCACATTAAATGTTATTTTAATCGTTGTCGTTAAACTATTTTTGATTAATTCAGATATTCGATTACCTTTAAATTCCGAACTTATATAGAGGTTTTTCCTTGGGACGAAATAACCAGATTTCCTGTCGCAACTACTTCTTTTCATATTCCTTTCTATGAAACGATCTTGATAGCCATTTTTCGTAGAAGTTTTCCTGAGGAATGCGAGTTCTTCGTCAATGCATTGGCTACTGCCTATCCGATGTATTCGGTGACATAAAGAATGAATGAGATTTCTCTTTCTACTTAAAGGAACCCAGCTATAGAAGTTGGTTAGCTAGCCATCCCATGTTTTTTTTCTAAAGATTTATCTCTCTAAGGAACAATTACTCCTTCTCGTCAGATGCACACCGAGAAAAGAGACTGATTGGTCTCTCTTACTTTCAAACGTGAAGTCTATGGAAGGATAGCATGAGTTGAAGGAGTGTAAGATATCCTCTGATTAATTTTTATCGTCACAAACAACTAATGTGCCGTCTATGTATCTTAGGTATATGTGAATTTTAACAGAATGTTTTATCGCAAAACTGGAAAACGACTAACTCAGTTCAATGATTAATCGATCTATTGTGGGGCTCAAAACTCCTGAGTTCGGTTTCTGCTAAACACATAGGTGCTTACTTTTGAGAAGTTCCAGATTAGAACGAAGCAGTAATTCAATGATTTGCACTTTTCAACGATTTTCTAATGCACGTCATACAGTGCTATCGAAATAAATTGTACATCGTTGTGGAGGACATACGCTAAAAAGGAATTTCAAATATTTTATTTTGAAATTGGCTAATGAATTAAATGCTGAAGCGTAATTTTCTTATTATTGTATTCTTAAAAGTATTTATGAATCAAACATTTAACAAATTAATTCAAGCAGGAACTAATGTATTTAAATGTTTTGATGTTTCCCTTCATTTATTAATACTTTGATCAAGATCAGAGTGAAATTATCACAGTTACCGTTATTGCTAAAATGCTCTGACACAACAAGAAATTAAAGTCATGAGAAAGTTATATGAATTCAAATTCAAGATTACAGGCACATCTTGTTGACGAGTGTGTCAAGTAGCAGGAAACCCTGGACACGGGTTGACTACCTCCAACCACCATCTAATATCAACATAGTGCACGCAATGTCGAGTCACCGAGACTAGTGGACACATTGAAATTTGGTTGGTAGCGTTCGAGCTGCACTAATAAGAGCTATACATACGACATTGATCACCACCAGTGATCAATTAATTGTAATTTTATTGTTAAATAATACCAAATTTTAGGCATAGGGTCAAGGTGATTATTGAGTTTTTATTATGATCATGAACGTAGGTCCTGGATTTTAATCCCGCACACGAAGTCGTGAATGAGCATTACTGAGGAGTTTCATAATAGAACGAAACAATCATCCGGTGCTCCCAAGTTTCCAATGGTGATCTAAACATTGATCTATTCATGGTCTTAATAAAAATATCAAGTTCAGCAAAACATGCTTGATCCATATTCTACTGTTTCAAGAGATTGACGTTCAGAAGGTAGACTGGAAATAAAAACAACCATAATTTATTTATTTCCATATATTGACTTAAAAACATTTGCGTAGGCAATTTCAATACTTGTAAATTTTTATTACATTTTTGTATTATCACATAAAATAACTGATACTAACCTCTTCCTTATTTTGAAATGACATTTCAGAGGAATTTAACTAACTTTGTTTTGTTTTTATATTTCAAATTAATGACTGAAAATGATCAACAAAAATGTCACCTTAGTGTTCTAATGATTGTCAATGATAAATTCTGTTGCTAGATATTATATATTACTGACTAGTGTTATATATTACTTATGTCGATATGAGTAGTACACACTATAATTCTTGTTTGCACCATAAATTCATTTATACTATTAATGTGAAGTTCCATTTTTTTTCAGGAAAAAAAACCCAATTGAAATACCAGGAGTCTACATGAGTGATCACAAATATGTTTTCATTATTTAGATTCATCATTTGTATGATTATATGAGAAGGTTAAACTAGAAATTATCACTTAAATTAAGCTGGTTACATAACTAGAAAATTTTCAATCCAATGATGAGTAACGGATATACTTGGACAGTTAGACATATCAGTGAAAAACTAATGAATAAATGAGAGATAGTGATAGGTCTGTGCTACTGGTCAATACTTAGTGCTTAAGTTTCATAAGAAACAAATATGTGCTAGTGGTTGAAAATCTGGCTTCATGTACTGCCGGGGAGAGATGTACATTTATGAATCTATTCATGTAATGTAGTCAATTCTGATTAGTTAGTGAAAGCATTACACTCACTCTGGGTTTTTACATACCAATATGTAGTTAGGCTCGCATATAAAA